GAAATTTTAAATCAAAATCTTGCACACAGTTCATGTAAGTGTAGGCCAATTTTAATTATTTAAATCAATTACTTGAGCAACTGTGGATTGGAATAAAAATATTGGAATAAAAATACATTGGTTAGATGCATTGCTTTTGGTTTTATTTAGCAGTGTCACTTCTGTTTGAGAGCTGAGACATTTCCTTTTGGCCCAGACATGAACTGAAAAACTTGAGTATAAGGCATAGCTATGACAGCTACGGCCACCGATATTTGCAATGTCAAGTATTACAATTACACAGATTAATCAAACCGTAATTGGAATGTCTTGATTACAAGTTTAATTTATAAGTGCTTTATGGTGTTACATTAAAGTGCATAGTACATTACCATTACAAAAAGTCTCCCACTTCTATAGAAACCTGTTGCAGATTTTCACACCATACTTTGGATCCGCCAATTTTGATTTAAGTATAAGGTTAAAGGGTGAAGAATGAAAATGAGACAGATAAAAGTTGTTTTGTGAAAAAGACAGCATGACATTTTTAAAACTAATAAATGAATATTGCTGATACTTTTGCTCAAGTTTGAAAATGTCTGTGCTGACTTTTCCTACAGTTGTTTATTAGTATCATTTAAAAAAACGAGGCTTGTCAAACTGATTTTGGCGTTTTCTGCAGCACCTAATCTGAAAAGTAAAAATCCACATTTCTACAATGTGCTCTACATTACATTTAAATTAATTATAAAAAATTACAAGGCCTGTGTAAACAGCCTAGTGGGCTTTGCCTTTGTCCAAATTGTGTTTTGTTTGTGATGATATAATGCATACATTGCTGATATGGGCTGAACTATTTTGAAAAATAATTACACAACATTGATGAATAATATGAATAAGCTGCCAGATTTCTGAAAAAAAGAGTGATATATTTGAAGAATCTCATTCATCACAGAGCATGTTTTGTAAATTTCTAAACTACATAAGGTATTATAATTAGGCAAAAACTTTTAGTCTAGTGGCGGACAACATTTCTTGAAGGTGCACAGTGTGACTTTTTGGTTCTGGGTTCCTCCCTGGTTTTTATAACTCAAAAATATCAAGAAAACCAGCCATTCTAACTGTGAGTGGGGTCGCCTCTCCACAGATCTGACCTGTAACGTGGTTGGAAGATGGAAATATTTAATACCATACTGTGAAACATTTTAAAAAACAATAACATCTCCATGGAGAAAAGTATTTGACAGGCCCTCCACCAGAAAAGTTACACATTGCACTTTTAAAATGATAGTACTTTTACGATTTGAAGTTTGTGATTATTGAAATTATAATTTCAATTTGTTATTCAAGCCTCACTCATTTCTCCAAATTGTCTTTTGGTTACTGCTGTATTGGTTCGCAGTGATCAGTCCCCCAGCATCAGTCCCCTGCTGTGCTGTCCAAACATGTCCAGACGAGACACTCCCCTACATCACACTCTAATCCGGCCATGCTCCAGGCTGTAAGCGCCTCTCCCAAGGGACAGTGCCTCTTTTTGGAGATAAAATGGATTCACTCTGGCCTAAATTGCTACTAGCTTTGGGCCAGTGGTGTCAAACTCACTTTCACTGATAGCTGCAACAGAACAAGTGAATCGGATCTAGAACAAAGATATTCAGTGCTCTGTCTGATTGAGCTGCTTGCTTATAGCCAAACTACATACTATTTGCAAAACATTAACTCAATTGTGGGTGTTCAACATGATGTTAAATAATAGGTTACATAGTTGGAGATCATTACATTTTACAAGCACAAAGGAAAGCCTCTAATTAGCACTGGGGTAAGCAGTTTCAGAGCTAAGAAGATACAATTTCACCCTCAATCAGGAAGTATGTGTGACACATAAGACGTTAGGTTAATTTGACTTGAGGGTAAATGGTCACATTTTTCTATAGCGCTTTTCCACCTTCAAGGCACTCAAAGCGCTTTACAACAAGGAACCACTCACCCATTCACACACACATTCACACACACATTCACACACCAGTGTACGCAGACACTGTGGGCAAGGTGGGTTAAGTGTCTTGCCCAAGGACACAACGACAGCATTCATCTGTGGGAGCTGGAATCACACCAGCCAACCTGTGGGTCAGTTGATCTGACCACTCAACCTGTGATGTTTATGTCAAGAGCTGGATTCGAACCGCCAACCTTCAGATCAGTGGGCGAATGTTCTACCAACTGAGCGACTGCTGCCCTTGATCACAACATTCTAGAGTGCCACAGAGCAGATGTTTTCACCTGGTTTATATATATATATATATATATATATATATATATATATATATATATATTTTTTATTTTTATTTTTTTTTACAATAGCTTAAAAAAATGTGAAAAGTTATTGAAACTCAAATATTAATTGATATTAAAACGAGTATTGAAGCTAGATACTTGTTTAAGCAAGTATCGATACTGGAAAAAAAAAAAAATTCATAACTGGATATAAAAAATGTGACCTTTCTAGAACACTTAGAAAGGTCACATTTGAGTTGAGTTGAGTTTAATCAGAACAAGTGTAAGACCACACAATAAACAAATAGTATTTCTTTAAAAAAGAGCTTTTAGAATTATAATTTGGGCGTCAAAATTGGTATCAAGTATCAAGTGTTTTTTTAGTATTCTTTAGTATTGACATAGAGTTTGAAATGTTAGTATTGTGACAACACTAATTCAAACACATCATAGTTCAAATGTGAAAGGACTAAGTTTGTGAATCCAATTCTCAACAACTGAGGTTCAACTTCTGTGGTTCATAAGTTTGGAGGCCTCTGTCATCAGAAATTATGACCAATTATGTCCAAGAATGTAAAGAACGCAATCTGCAATGAAACGTTCTTCACATGAGAAACTATTTTAATTATTAATTGATGTTTTGGACACCCAACAATAACAAAGACACCACAATCAGGAAGTTGTAGCCCTTATAGCTCCTTCTGTACAAACAAAAGTCCAACTTTTATGAGTTTTGTCTATTGTATCATTATATGTACCCTCTAAACTGTAAAACAGTTCACTCATCAGCAATCACTAACATAACAAACTGAAATTTGAAAGAAATTTGGATTGGACACAATATGCTAGTAGTCTGTCTCACAGTCAGAGGTCACGTTTAGTCCCGATTTAGTAATGTGTAATTTTCTGCATTTTTATACAGATGCATGCCCAAGCTATGTCCTGAATTTAGCCTAAGTAGTAGCAACAGTAGTAGCAGCAGTAGTTTCATACAGTGCAAGTCACATTCACAGGACCGAAATTAATCTTTCCCGAATATCTTTAGAATGATCTTGAGCTGAATCAGAATAAGTATAAAACTGCATAGACTAGTATACACATGGATCCTTATGGAACATATCTGGATGACTGAGGGATTACATACAGTAGATATAAAGCCACGTGGTAATATGAAAGAAAGTATGATGACATAATGTTGAAAATGCCATTCAACTGTCTACATAAAGTGTTTTTTATCATCATTGTGGTATTGAAATTGGTATTGAGTATCGAATCTATTCCTTAATATCAAAATCAAGGTTGAAATTTTTGTATTGTGACGACACTAATCACTAGAACATCACTTTTAGCAGTTTATCCCAAGACAACGTATCTCACAATAGGCTATGCAGACTCTAGAGAAAGCAGTCTTTCCGGTCTTGTTCTTACTGTTAATCAAATAGGATACACTAGAAAATTAAACAACTGGAGGGCATGACGTCCAACAAAATTATCTAAGGAGGCCTATGACAGTTTAAAGAAGCGTAGATCAGCAACAGTCCTTACACAGTCAGCAACCATTCACTTCAGCTAACTACCCATAATGCTAGGGTTCACAGCGAGAAATTATGGTGTAATTACAACGCAGTGCAAATCCAAGAAGAAACCAGGGGAAGGTTGAAATCTAGCTAAAAGAACATCCAGCCAATAATGTTACTGGGGAAAACTACAGTCGTTACAGCTGTTGGCAACCTTAATATAACCCCACACTTTCTTCTTGACAAAGGCCAAACAGCTATGTCAGGGTGATTGTGGTGAAATGCAACACTGGTATGTCCAAACACAGAGGCTGCACTGTACAGACACAACACAATACATGGCTGATACAAATCCATGCACTTGTGACCCATATCCCTGTTGCTTATGGAAATGTTATGAGTAAAGAAGCAGTTTAACTTATTTAACTATAATAATCTATGACCTTTCCCAACAAAACCAAAATTTGTAGATTATAAGATTAATAATGCAGTGGCAAAGGTTATGATGTTCTGCATTATATTTCTCCTATACATTTAGGGGATTCATTTATTATGTGTGAGTCAAACTACATAATAATAGGCTAGGCTATAAATCGTAACTAAAGTTAATTGTTAAACAGTAGGTACCAAGTCATAAACGAACTTTAAGCAAATATGCCATGCCACATCCTCAATTTAATCTTGGTGTGTAGCCTACGGTGATTATTGCCGTCTGCATATAGCCGATGGAGCATACAACAATCAAAACAGGCTGCTCCAGCAAGTAACACAGGAAATTTCAAGAGAGTATTGAAGTTAGTGGATACAAACTTCGGTTCTGAATAACCACGTAGTCCAGAATAAAGTATATGCCGTGAGTCATAGGATACAGAGTTGTGTTGAATTTCATTGTCTCATTTCTTACATCAGGGGCTATTTATGCGTAATGTAAGAAGTGAGGCACCATCAATCAAGATTTTACCAAAATTATTTCTCATTGATATGTTACAACTAAGCCGAAAGAAACACTGTGCTGCTTAGCATAAAATTAGGTGGTTTCTGTGATTAAAATTAAAGCGTTACTTAGAGGGAGCGTGCCATACATTTCAAATTATGAAATTGATGAGGGATATTTGGCGTGACGTCCTCTTAATACACAGGCTAGCGCAGAGCTAGCGGTTAGCTGCGCTTCTGTTGAGGCACACCCTGCGTATTTTCCTAAAAGCACACAAGTCATTTTTACTAATTTACCTCTTTCTTGTCCTGCAGGCACTCCAGCACCGACAGATTATTATTCCAGGAATTCTTGGGGCAAAGCCGGGTCAGATCGTCCCTGCACACCGCCTCCTCAGCCAACTTCCAGCCGGTAGAGCGCCTCCGAGGCAGCGAGGCCCCGGCTCCCGGGCTCCTCTCCCCGGCTGCTGGGATAACAGCGGGCGGCACAGGGCCTCCCGGCGGATTCGGGGCGTTTTCGACATTAGCGTTAACTTTGTTGCTTTCGGCTCGGTTCGGATGCACACAGGAGAAGATGCACATCAAAAGCAGGAGCAGAGGAACACGTATACAGTCCGCCATCTTCACAGAGCCAGAGCCTGCCGCTGCATTCACGAGCTGTCGGAAAAATGGGATTCAGGAGGAGTTCCCTGGAGATGGCAGCGGGGCTCATGCATATTCATGAGCTGAGGTGCGTTTACTTACTTGCTTTATCCTGTTTTGTGTGTTTATGTCTCTGCTCGTGTGGTGCAAAAATTTCACCTGAAAACGAAATAGTTGAGCGGTGTCATTTTTAAAAAAAAAATTAGGAATCAGCAAATAAAAATCTAAAAAAAAAGAAAAAGGATAAGACAGGTGCACAGCAGAAAAAAAAATATTTTGTTCAAAATTCTTTTTCTCCATTAACTCGAGTTTGCATAATTGTCAATTCAGTAAATTTGTCTTTCTTCATGAAAAACAAATAAATTGCATGTGACCACAGAAATATGCCACCTAGGCCTATAATATCATTTTATATTAAAGTAGAATAATACAATTTCTGAGCACCTCTCTTTTACATTAATATGAATGTGCTTTATCTGATAATAACAAACATGTCAGATATCTGAAGAGCACACTAGGTGTGACTGGTATGCTATTGTCAGTGTGTCATTTGATCTGAGTAACCTCCTAAGCCAGAAAACCTGTCCTGCAGCCTATCATTGTCTATTGTGCTTCATCATTACATTGTTACAGAGTTATATTAAGAGACAAGTGTGGTGGTGAAGCTAGAAATAAATTATTAATAAAGAATAATAGCCTTTGATTCATAATTTATTAGTAATCTAAACTCATATTTGTCACAAGGCATGCAGTTTTTGATGCTATGAACTATGAACATAGATTGATGGATGATTTGAAGGTATGTAGTAGACGTTTAAAAGGTGTAGGCCTACTCTAACTATATAACTATATAATCCTATTCTTCAATTCCATTAAAGTCAATGTCAAAATCCAAGTAGTCACTAAAAGAAAGTAGCAGTGTAATTACAGTGTAGTACATAACAACATAATAAGTTGGTCTATTTGTAAAAAGGTTGAGTAAATGTATCTTGTAGTTCTGTAACTGTAGTTGGTTATACCAGATGTTACAGTGACCCATGGGATAAACCCTGGATGTGTTTGTACATGGTTGAGTTGAACAGAAGTTTACAGTTAATTCCTAAAGCAGAGACGTTTACTTTGAATTTAAAGAACAAACTCAAACATGGGTTGAATTCGCCTACTAGTATATGCTTAGGCTTTGGGCTCAGAGCAGTAATAATAAAGGGAACGTATACAGTGAGACTACACCGATTAATGTTTGGGCAATGGAGATGTCTTTGTAGACTTCAGAAATAACAGAAAAGAAGTCACTGGTAAATTTCTTGACACTATTAATTCAAATTTGTTTTATGTGAACTATTTAATTATTAAAGGGCCCAAAATTTTCTTGTCTATGTTTTAATGTTGTTTTGTCATCAAAAACGTACCCAGAGTTGTTTTGTTTCATTCACACATGTTTAACACACAAATACTGCATATTTAAGCATATATTTAGAGCTCCTCTTTCAAACAGAAAACACTGTTCCACCTTGTGATGTCATGTGGTAATGTCATGTCTACCCTTTCACTAGAATCATTTGGATAACTTCAGCTCTGGAATTTCTAATATGTACTGAACTAAAGGTAAAAAAACACAACTTTAGAAATAATAACATTCTCACTTAAAGCTCACAAGAGTCACTTGTATAATACAGGACCTTTAAACTTCTTTTAATCCAGCCAGTTCTGTAGAGAGACAAGTTCAGTTTCTTTTAATTTAACTTCATGACAGTCAAAAAAAAATAGAGATCACACTGGCACCGTTAACACTTTCATTTAGAAAGGTCTTGTAGCATTATAAGGGCATTTCCTGTTGTTATTAATAACTTCAGTGTTCATGTGATTTAATTTAGTGAAGGCAAAACAATGCACAAGCTCTTGATAAAAATAACACATACTTTTATTAACATTTAAGTTGTACACAAACATGTCTATATAAAACACATATATTTACACACAACTTCCACCGAAACCAGGAAGTGGTTACATCGGCAGCAGTCGTTTGGCACTTGGCTTTCAACCAGGAGCAAAGCTGAAAGTATATACCAGAAATATATATAGTTTTGTGGCAGTTAAAATCTATTAATAAAATAAAATACATCAGTTAAAGTAGTTTTCCATGTGACATTTGTTTGCAAAATTATCCAAGTCAAAATACAGTATTTTTTTTTAACAGAGTCAAAGCTGGACTGCAGTAGCTCATTGTAAGATTATTACATGATGTTAAACTACAGACAATATAATGATGCAATTAATAACAATCCTTGGAAACTTTTTTATTTTAAGTATTGCGGTTTATGTTTGAAACTGGCATTTTGTTCAGAGTGCACATTATAAACTACAGGAACATCACAATCACAAATCACAAACTCAAATTATGATTTCGATTTGGTTGTGATATATTGTGTAGCTCCAATTTCAACACTACAAACATTTTGTTTAGAGAAGATGTTATTTTTTTGTTTATGTCCAGAATGTGTGGATAAATTATAGTTGGTACAAAGTCAGCAATCCAAACACATTAAATCACACCTTGAATAAACAATTGGATTAAAATCAATGCAGTATCTAAATGTACAGTTAATTTCAAATGTGTCAAATATTGATAGGTTCAGAATTTTACATGTAAACCAGCCAATATACTCTTTAGGCCAAGTATAAGCCTGAAAAAAGCAATGCCAAATCAAAATGTTGAATTGTAGGTAGCTAATTTATGATGAAAAGGCCAAAGTGAAAAATGTAACACCATAATCAGCTAAAATAAAATGTTAAAACTGTAATTAAACTGAAATATTCTCAAATATTCTTGTTGACTGATAATTGTCATGAGCTGTTTTATTATAAATAGCCATTCAGCTGGTCTAGCCAAGTACACACAATTTCAGCAGGAAAACTACTAGTTGCCTGCAAGTTTTGATGAGGCAGGAATTATTTACATTTATATGCACATTAAAAGGTACACTGTGCAACTGTTCTGATGGTGGGTCTGCCATTTGCCTGTATCTATGTTGATGATATTGCTTTTGTCTGGAAAGTTCCACAAAAGAGCATTACACTTAACTGCTCGTCTCTATGAAAATAAATAAGTATGATGGCATGGTGGATTATTCAAGGCAAAGCAATAACATACACACTAAGACAAGCAGTTGGCAGACCCTACACTAAAAAAGTTACATACTGCACCTTTAATATGTAGGCAATTAATGTAACAGCTCTTGCGGCTCTGCTCCTGGTTGAAGAATTGAAAATGCGTAAACCCAAGGCAAAAGCTTTAGCAGCATTTGTTTTTTCTCCACAATTTGGAGTCTGGGAATGTGTCCATTTTACTCCCACTTGTACAACTTGAGCATCTTCTCTGTGAGCGACGCCAAAAAGTGTTCTCCACTCACAGAGAAAGGGCTAATGTCCAGTACAGGGAGGTCGGCTGGGAGCTTCTGGAGTAAAACACCACTGCCAGCATCCCACACCTGAAGGAGAAGGGAGGGACAGTTCAAAGCTTACACACACTGCTGTGAAGTTTACAATGAGAAACAACACATGACAATTGTGATCATGCAAACTGATACTTTTGAGCACCATTACAACTTGATGTTAATATATTTTTGTAGAGTGTATGTGTTAGGCAGCTGGTTAGCAGCAGAACATAATTTATTGACACACTGCAGAGACTGGGGGTATTCTACATGTACGCTATCTCTATATTGGAATATTACCATGGAGACACAATGCACAGATAGCAAATTAGTTTTAAGATGGTCTGAAAACTAAGGATTCATGGTCTTGTTTAGGTGTTTGTTTTTCAACAAAAAGACAACTGAAAAACTGTTGGTGAATGCTAGCTAACTTGTAACTGTAAATTTAAGTGTGAGAGACTTGTTTAAGAGTTTAATCAGTTCACCTGCTGTAGTCCCAACTAAATCAGCGATTTCTGGTTAGATTATGTAAAAAAAAAAAAAAAAAAAACTTAGATTAAGTCCCCCCCACCCCAGGAATGCTGATGATGTCAGCTGTAAATATTCAATTGGAAAAACAAAGTGGAAATTTATCTAAAATCATGCATTTAAAGCACACAAGTAGGCAAAGCAATAAGCAATACATTGGTTATGCAGTCTTTATTTTAGCATAGTAGCCTTTAAAAACCCTTACTAAATCTACTGCACCGAACTGCTTGTGAGATAATGCGATGAATGATAATGTAAGTGAATAAAGGAGGGCACGCAGGTGGTAAAGTGAAAAGTAGCCAGCAGACAAAGAGGGGTTGAATCACTCCACTCCAGTCTTATCAGGCGTCGGAAGAAAAGCATGAGATGTTATCTGTGGTACCAGTCCTGCACATTAAGATAGAGGACCTTGGAAGTCTTTATTCTGAGTTTAAGAAAGTTTAGATTAAAGGATTTGGGTGAGATTTGGATAGTGAATGTACAGCTCTAGCTCAAACTATGAATAGTCAGTAGTCACAAATTTGAATAATCATTGTCATTTCCACTCGTTTATGATACCTGGGTCACTGTAATTGAAAGGTCTCTAACCAGTTCTCTGTCAGTAAATGCATGTGGTTAGGAGCAAAATTCAGGACACTGGTGAGCTTTATTATGGACTTTGTCAGAGGGGACAGTTTGTTTGAGAGAAGAGGATAGTGTGTGATTAAATGTCCCTTACCATGGTTGAGTTGGAGGCCTCATCTCCAGCACAGACCAGAGTTCCTGATCCCTCTGGACTCCTAAAGACAGAGTTCTTGGTGAGAAGTTTACAGGACGTCCCGGCGTAGAAGGTCTGCACAGGGGAGCAGGAGCAGGCTGGAGCCTCACTGGAGTCCTGCTGTGGCGTTCGGTTTAGGGCCATGAGGACGCAGCGGAGGGAAGGGTTAGAGCGGCCTGACAAACCACATAAAAAATTTCAACTTAGTGTTAATAAATTTTTTAAGAGTTTAGATGTCGAGTAGCAGGCAAATGGTGATTTGACTGACAGAAGCTTGACTTTACTTTATTGAGCTTTTAACCAACATTGTTCCTTCATCTAAAACATACCTTAAGTCAGACATGACCAAAGTACGGCCCGTGGGCCAAATGTGGCCCTCAGACAAATTTTTCTTGGCCCTCAGGCTTCCAGGTGAATTGGCCCAAATTATCTTGCATCAATTATAAATTAACTTTTCACTGCAAGTTTTTTGAAAATCTACCTTGATAAAACTAAGTATTAAATATTTAGTGTGTGGTTTTAAAGATCTTAGCATGAATAAAGTCTGATGGCTAATTCTAACGTGTTAAACATGCACATATTTCAATTATTTACAGTACTGAGCTCCAGTCTACGGCCCTCGATTGGCCCTCTGCTTTGTTTGTGTTTAGAGATGTGGCCCTTGATGAAAAAAGTTTGGACACCCTTGCCTTAAGTTATATTTAGCTTAAATTACCCTTGTTTGATAAATCCTGTTTAGGAAGTAAGCACTTACGAACTGAATTTCCCAGATGATGTCACAGGTAAAAGTTCAGAGGTCACCTGGGCCGTTTTTGAGTCCATAAATCATCACCAGACTTATTCAGAGAATTTCAGCCATCAAAATAAAACAACAGCATGCATATATTAGCATGTCAGAAGCATGCTAGGTTTCTGGGGATGGGTTCACATATGTCTTACAGGTGTTTTAAAAGCAAATATATCTTTAGAGATAAATAAGACCAGATAATTGAGTGTTGGGATGGATAAGGTAACTTCATGCGCCAGGGATCCCTCCCGGGATTCCTGGCGCATGTCGAGTGACACATCCTGGGCTGCATCAGACACCATGCTCTGGAGCTATGACATTGTTACCTCTACCTGTCCCTCAAGTGTGACGGTCTCACCTCAGGTGGGTGAACTGGGGCAGCTTCAGAGGCCATTTCTCCACTATCTGGGGGTGCTTTATCTTCACACCACTGGACTATGCCATTCTCGTTCTGAATTATGCCCACTGTTACCAACATAGGAAGAACATCTGGAGGCAGTAGGTGGAGGTTGTTACCTCTGTCTTCTGTAAATGTGTCATGCAGTGTTTTAGATGGTTCTTCGACAGGAACGCCAGATGTGGCCTTTTCTATAAGCGTTTCAGATGGTTCCAGGTGTACTGATGATGACTGAATTTCTACCTCAGAATGGTTCCCTTGAGGAACTGAAGTGTCCTCTGTTGCTTCTTCCAGAGGCTCCTTACACTCTGTAACCTCCTCATTAGACCGATTTGGTATAACTGGAGTCGTGTGTTTCTGGGGAGTTGGTTGTGGCTCATTATAAATATAATTATAACCAAAGGAGTTGAGCATTTTGACTGCAGCAGCATTTTTTGCCTTCCTTGACTCGCCCATTCCCACCGTTTGGTCTGCTACAGTCAGTTGCATATGATGGATCCAAGGCTCAGATTCCATGTCCACTTTCAATAACCTGTACTGAGGGGGGTTTCCACGCCACTTTGTCACCAGTATATCCAGACACTGCACTGGGTTTTCTTTTGGCTTAAACATGGGTGGTTCTCGCCAGCAGACACCAGTGCGTTTATGTTTCCTTACCCTCCAATAACTGTCCTCCTCCTCGGGTGGAGGAGTTAGGCGGAGCAGGTCTGGGAAAATACATTGTGCTGCCAGCTTTTTTGCAAGCATTTTGGTTGGTGCTTCTGCTTCAGCAGAGAATTCTCCAACTGTTACGCGAAAGGTGAAGATTGGAGGGGGACCTTCTTTCTTCACCTCTTTAAAATCTACTGGCATGCAGTGCTTACATCCTAGTTCATAGACTTGAGTAACTTCATGTTTGTAGTTAACATCTATCCTTTTGTGCAAGGGCAGTGTGTTTCCTCCACAGTTTGCCATTGTAGTGGTTCTTAAGTTAGACTCTGTAAACTGGTGAGTTTTTTTTTTGTTTTTTTTAAATGCTATTATAATCTTTCTATACCAAATTTGAGGGACAAACCCGTCAAATTACTGAATTATATATTCCAAGGTGTCATTCACAGTGTGCATGAGTAACCTCTGCCCTCACCTGGCCTGTATGTGACCAAACAGTGTCTGCTCGCTGGCTCCACCTGGATGTCAGTGCAGCCAGAGGTCTCCAGAGGTAGGATGTGGGGTCTGTAGGTGGTTTCGTTCACCTGCTCCCAAAAACAGCCCCCTTCTAGAGAGCCAGCGATCAGTCCACCACAAGGGAATGAGCTGGAGGCTGCCCGGGGCACATAACAAAGAGAAGCAACGGGACACCTGAGGATGAGAAATAGGGCTTAGCTAAATTCATATCTCTTTATTTCCACATATTTTTAGATTATTCCTTATGGCTTTAAAATATTTTACTAGACCAGAATATATTATATGAAAACAGCATTTATGAGATCAAAGTGGTTGAAATACAATCAGTACAATGTTCAAAACTGGGATTAATACGTAGTTTAATTGTTTAGGAATTAGAAATGTTACAGTTTTACAAATCACAATTACAGACACCGTTATATGGTCAGTTGTCAGGTGTTAGGCGTCATGCTGTGTTATAATGGTGTCATTTTTTTTCATTTACAATATCTAATACATTGTCATTTGTATGTGACCAGCTTTAAGAAATATAACTTTCTGGACTTCCTAGTTTATTTTCATGGGAAAAAAATTGATCTAAAGACTTTGTACGCTTAGTTATATATTGTCCTGTGTCTATAATAAATTATGATTTTGGTTCCACTGGAAAAATCTTAGAGAAACCAATTTTACTTGGGATCAAACCTTCACTCTTATAACTTTAGATTTTAAGCTTATGTGTTACCTGGAGCGCAGAGGTTGTAGCTCCTGGATGTGGGTGCTGGTGTCTCGAGTGTCGTAGACCAGCACAGAGCCGTTGATGAGGCCAGCGTATACATAGTTACTGTTGTCAAGGCACCAGCAGCAGCTCCACACAGGTCGACCCGCGTTATATGTCTGCACCACAGTGTTGGTCAGCAGGCTGGGGCAACATAACAATGAGTACAGATCCAGCAATGGGGATGTCATAAGATCACATTTTAGTGTTAAATTAATTGTGTTACAAGTTTACAATAATTTGCATTCATTGTCCTCATTACCAAACTGAACTAACTTGATTTAGTCAAGTTAATGTGACATGAAGAGACATATCAAAAAAACACTTTAAAAAGTGTAGGAGTATAAATTGCTAAATTACAAAACTCTGCTTTTAAAATTCTTTCAAGATAATTTCTTTATAATCAAAAAAAAAAAAAAACCTGCATGTTATTTTTATAATTTATTTTATTTTATGTATTCAATCTAAGATACTACAGCAAATAGCAAACAGGCCAACCCGCCCTGCACCTCATAGTGCAGCTGCTGGCCTGGTATGTGCATTTTAGGAAAACGTAATTACTCTGATTTAAAATTCTTTAGACTATAAATTGATATAATCTACCTTTAGAAATCATGTCTAGTACTAATACTATACTCCTGTGTTACAAAAGGACAGGAAAGGAAAGTTGCACTGGTGTTAGAAATTCAAACATGAGTGTAATTAATTAAGATACATTTTTGCATTCAAAATAATATAAGATCATGATGCACTGAGTTTTTATTTAAGCGAAATGTAAACAAATGCATAGGACCATAAAGCATCGACAAATATATATACAATATCTGACCTTGCACAGACAGCATACCTGGTGAGTTTGATGGTGTTGTCCAGAGCGGCTGACAGCAGCAGACTGTCGTTCTGTCTGTTAAAAGAGAGGCCTCTGATCTGTTTGCTGTGGATTGGGACGTATTGACTCGCTTTCATGTTCACAACACTCATCTTCTTCACCCCACAACCTGCAAACAGAGAATAGAAAGGAAATTTTAAAGTGGTTTACCAACATGTTATACAGAATGAGTCAGCTGTGGTCAATGTGGGCTGTGGTATCTAAATGCTTATAACCTATGGCTTATTTCCACAGCGTGTGACTAAAAATATTAATGATTAAGAAAAAAAGCATGACTTGTTTGCTTTAATAGATCCATTAATAAAATATTTTCTATACACTCATACTAGCGTTGTCTATTACTGATAAGACTAGTACAGAAACTTGATACTAATTTGATATTTGAGAATAAAATGGCATGCATACAACATTTTGTGTGTTTGTTTGAAAATTACATCCTACTTCATATAATAATTTCCAGAGAGGGTTTTTTAATAAGTGTGGTCAAAATCATATCAATATCTTCCTTAGTATTGAAATCAAATCACACTCCAAATTATAGACGTACAGTGGTGATTGTTGAACATTTTAGCATCTAAAATATATAAGGTCTTTTAACTACCATCATCTACAGATATTACACAATACATTAAAAATGCCAAGCTAGGTGGACACTTGCACACAAGTCACAAGTCCTCTGTACATACGTGTTACAAGTTTGTTAGTTCTCTTCATTAGAATCAAATATTTGTCCATGTGATTGAGTTGTGTCTTTTATACGGAAAGTGAATGTCTGTTGTCACTAATTGAAGTGTTTTTTGTTAGAACATCAGCCCATTTTAAAGCTACAAGCCATATCTACCTAGGGGTTGCAAAACAGCCACCTGAACCTGAATGAAAAAATGCAATGGGATGTATAGACTTGCCTGGGATCAGTGTGGCATGAGGAGAGGGCTGAGAGGCCAGGAGGCAGCTCAGGGGTTCGCAGTAGGCCAAAACTCGACAGCCTCCATTCTGAGACATCAACACAGCTTTGGAGAAACCATACTGGCCCACTCTGGATCCATCCGTTCTCTGTGATGAACCAGGGAGCAGAGAGGACGACGACGAGGAAGAGGAGGAGGTAGAGGGAATGGAGCTTCGACCCGTTTGGGACATTAAAGACCTCAACTCCTGCACATTACAGAATACAGAGGTGAGAAACAACTGGACTACGTTGGGTTTACCTGCAGTAGTAGGGCACCCAGTTGAGTAAGAGGCCAGGTTAGTTCAAAAGTAGAATAAAAAAATCAGTTTACAATAAATTAAAGAGTTAGGTTCAGATCAACAACAAGCACAACCCTTAACTCCTCTGTGTGGGAAAGGACTGCAAATACAAGGACAACCATAAAAGCAGAACTTAGTCTATAGGATTTATATAAAAAACATTAATTTAGGAACATGGAGAAGAGCAATGTGGTTCAACAGCCTTGATAAATCCATAAATTATCCTTTCAATTCTTACAGTAGAAGCATGTTAACCACAGCTCATTCAAAACTAGCTCTGCCAGCAGTACTACAAAAAAAAAATCAATTTAATTTTCTTTTGTAAAATGGACTCCAGCTTGACCAAAAAATGTGCTCAAATGCAACTAAACTGCTTGGAAATATCTTAAAAGAGTGAAAAAGTAATCTTTGTAACTACCGTATTTTTCGGACTATAAGTCGCACTTTTTTTTAAGGTTTGGGTGGTCACTCCAGGCTCGTGTGTCAGTATCTAGCACTACTATTACTCCTGTACCACTACCACTAGCACTCTGCTGCACATGCCTCCTGTAGAAATAGCCGCTGTCTCACCGTAAATAGTGAAATATTCAGCCAAAAATGGTAATGGAGCAGCAGAAAGAAAGTTTGGAGTGAGCGAGAAACTTGTGAGAGACTGGCGGAAAGCGGCCAGTTATGTTATGTTGTTTATGCTATAATAATAATATAATAATAATTACTGTTAATATGTTACGTTAACATATTAACGCTTGTTCATCCTGTTGTTTTGTATTCTGTTTTTATTACTATAACTTGCCTTTCAAGATGAAATGTCGGTTCCTGGTCTCTGATTTTACAAAATACTTTTCCCCAAAAAGTGCGACTTATAGTCCAGTGAGACTTATACATGTTTTTTTCTTCTTCATTGTGCATTTTTTGGCTGGTGCAACTTATACTCCGGAGCAACTCCAGAAAATACGTTAATTGAAGTGGAATGCTTTCCTCCATTAACAACATAAATCTGTAGTTTCTTGTGTGAAATCCTTTGTACCTGTAGTTCCTTCTGCATCTGTCCACACTGGTTGGTGACCACCTGAAGTCTGAGTTTGTCTTGAGCTGACTCCAGTTCAGCTTTTCTCCTGAGAGACTGCTCATGTTCCAACGCTCTGGAAAGGAAGACACACAAGCCATGTTATGAGTGAGGATGATGTATACAGCATGCAAGTTATTAGCCCATTTCAATGATAATGCAATTACAAGCATTTAGTGCTATCATTACTGTCATTAAAATGATTCAAGATTTTAAATGAGTAATTCCCTCCTCCAATGAAATAAAAGTTCCATCCATGGCCTATACAACTTTAAGCATACTGGAACAAAACAATGTATTTATTTTAACACTCAGTTTTATAATGCAAGAGCAACACCAACTGAAAAAAGATCTTTTAATTGTGAACTCACTCGAGTACCATTTAACACAGTCTCTCACCTTTTTAAACTCTCTTGTTCAGAGTTGTCGAGTGCTCTCAGCTTTGTAACATACAACTTTACAATGTCAGACCGCTTTGCCTTTTTGTTGCACTGAATAAAACAGACATTCAGTTATACAGGAAAAGCAGCCTATAATTTTTTTTTTTTTTGTGCTGAATATTCTAACCTGGGGGCATTTAGCAGCCACTCCAGCTGACTTGATCCACCTCTGGATACAAGTGAAGCCGAAGAGATGCCCACAGCGCAGGGCAGAGGGTCTGTGCTCCCCGGCTGTGGTCCAAGGCTCAAAGCAAATAGTGCAGGTATCACCTTCTCCCTCCTCCATGTGTGGTGATGCAGATAGATCAGAGGCTGGAGCTTCTGGGACTGCCTGCACAAGCAGCCATGCAAGAATCACATACACAGTTAATATTATGGTCATGAGGACACATTTACAGGATGAAATTAAATAGTTTATCATATTACTCTAAGTTTTAAATAAAGAAGATTCATATAAAACCAAGAAAAGAAATGTACTTTTTTATTCTGTGGAAGAATGTTCAAATAAGAACACCAATATGTAACGCTACTTCCATTTTGTGATTATTCTTGGTTTTATGAATAAAGCGAACGAGCATGGATTCCCTACTAGTTCAGAATTACAATAAAGTTTCGTAAAGTGATGAGTGCTCAATTCTATTCTTTTGCTATCCTTAAAACTCTGTGTTGCAGCGCGTAAATGTGCACATTGTGGGACAAATAGGTTCTCTTGTCTTGTGAAATGTATTTATGTACATTACCTGGGCACTTTGAGTTGGAGCATCGGTGCTCTCTATGGTTGGAGCTGAACTGGTGCCTTAAAACAGAAACATGATAAACAAATACATATATAACCAGGAGTGTCGAGTTTAGATGACAATCTACTTACATTATATTTCAAAGTAAATTCATTTTGACATTTTTATAGCACATACATAAATTATATCTTTTATATTTTTGTGGAATTTTACAAAAGTGACCTCATTAATGTTTTCTGGTGATTTGTCAAATAATATGAGTAAATATGGTGTGGTAATGTACACTGACACATATGCCATTTCATCTTCTTTTGAAAATGCCATAGGACTGTGAAATTAATTGAGTTTTAATTAAGATTCAGTCATCCTTAATCCTCAATAATCACTGACAGGCAAACATGTCAGTAAAAATGTGCTTTGGAGCAGACTCACACATATGTGTTGAACACCATTTTGGCTGTTTTTTAATAAGACCAACTTTTTATGTGATCAATTAATATAAGGAAATTCATTAATATTTTTTTGACATATCACCCAGCCCTAACAATAGATAGACACTTTACTGAAATTATTACAATGCCATACAGTAAAATAGATACAAGAATACTGTCCACTTGCTTCATTTGAAACATCACATCACAGCACATTACAGAATCTGAAAATAACCACTAATCTACTCACTGTCTCTCCCTCACACAAACTCACTTGGTTCTTGTGCTTCGGGCTGTGGAACTGTCCCGTTAACGTGGGGGCTAGCAGGGGGGTCTGGTTGGGCAGTCTCAGGGCCAGTGGAGAGGGCAGCTGGAGCAGCTTGGTTGGTGGCATCCTCCTCATCTGAGTCACTGATTTCTGTGGTACTGCTGGACTCTGGGTCTGCAGCATTGGCAGCTGGAGCTCGGAGCAGGAAGTCAGGAAATCCTCTAGAGGGCGCAGCCGTTTGACTGGGGTAGTGCACTCTCAGGCCCTGTCTTCAGAATACAGACAGCATACATAAGTGTCAAAGAAGGCAACTTTTTGGGAAGCTATCAATCAAAACAAAAACTTGTAGTCTTGTAATGAGCTCCCAGTGTTATTTCAAATGATAATAATCTTGAATGTGAATTTTATCATTTCACAATATCACAATACTCACCTTAGTCTCCTGCGTATCTGTGGCGTAGTTCGGCCCGCAGCTCTCTGACTGAAGGCCCAGGTGGCGGGGAGTCGTGGAGGGACCTGTCTCCTCACACTGTCCCCTTCCTCTTCCTCCTCCTCCTCCACTTCTGTGCTGCTCCCAGAGTCTGACACCACATAGGGCTCATTTGGGTTCTGGGCCTCGGCCTGAGCTCCAGCGCTGCCCTGAACCCCTGGAGAGTCCACCTCCATCGCCTCCATCTAAAAAAGTTAATTTATTTTGAGATATATTTTAAAATTACTGACACAAACTAAGCCCTGCCCAAATGTAAATGATATGCACCATTCCAGTCTTACATTAAGTCTTTTCATAGGTGATTAAATAGCTGATTAAATAATACATTAGACATAAAACCACAAAGCACTGTGGCATACACGGTAAAAAGCGAACAGTCAATGATTTATCAGCAGAGTAATTTTCATCACACACCATCGGCTCAAAGCCTATAGTGTAGTGTAAAGGTAATTGGCCTACTACCAGTCAAGTCTTTCACAATTCCAACAGTCCCTTTCAAGTGTGTACTTGGAGATCGCTGAATACTGTATATTCATTGAGAACGCGCGTACTGTTGACAGCGGCACAGCAGACCGTCTCCAGACCCACTCCAGACCGTGGATTTTAAGGCCTTGTAGCAAAACAAAGCTAATGAAGTAAATTATGAACGGACACAAGTGTCTATTTGCTTTGCAATAAGCGTTGCACTTGCACTTTAGGCGAGTTAATTTAGCTGACCAGTCATAAAGTAATATTTCTTTTATATAAAAGCACAAGATGACCGATTATGTAGCTGCCGGATTTGTATCAACGCTGTGTATGCAGTTGCTGCCTTATTTGTCTCGAACTCTTTCCTGCGCATGCGTAAAATGGGCTGCCATCTTGAGTATGGCAACAGCACATGGGCAAACATAAGTCAGATCTTCTCAAATTTTACCAGACATCTAAGTAAAATCACAATAATAATTTGTCTGTTGTTGCCAATATATACTCATCAAACCCCACACAACCGCTCTTACATATTAGCTAGTTATTTAGAGGAAAAACATAAAATGAAGTTTGTTGCTTACAGATAGCTAGCTAACTTTAATTGAAAACACAAAACTAGTTAGCTGCTGACACCTACGAGGTGGTTAGTCTAAGGCAAAGTATATTAAACGTTTCTGTTGTTAATCTAACCCCGTAATGTAAATCACAGAAAGAGTGCGTACCTTAGTTATAGGGCAGACACTAGCCAAGGTAGATTAGCAATTTGCTAACTTCGCGGGTCGAAGAGGGACGCTTACCTTGGAGTAAATGGAGGTTTAGTCGCTGTAGATAAAACTCTGGAGGATATTTCCCCTCATTACCATAAACCTATTGCTGCTAAAACAAACTATTTGCAGTATCGTCTTGTAATTATAATTTAAACCTGTGACAGGGATTGGGCGCATTATTTTCCTTCGGATCGAATCTCCCGGCGCCCGTCCACTCGCCCCGCCTCATCCTGCGCGGACGTCACTGTCAAAGGTCATTTGCGCAACAAAGATATTTCATAATCGTATCAGCAGCAACCAGCAACTGATAGATCCATGTTGTGGCTACATCAAAGTGTCCAAACTTCAGGAAGTTAAAAAAAAACCTTTGCCTATACACCACTTGCTTGTTTCCACAGTTAATCAGAACAGGCGTGGAACAGGTATATATTAATTTTCAGTTTTTTTTTTTTTTTTTTTGTTTTTTTAATAAAAACACCCCAAATTAAATATGCTTACATGCAAAATATCAGTGTCATAGGTTACTATGAAACAGTTACTCATGGCAAACAAATCTCCATGACAAGGTGTACCTGTAAGAAGCCCACTGGCCTACTAACAAGACAACTCATTATTGTGGCACATAGTTTTGTTTTGTTTTATTATGTTTTATTAGCACATCAAATTGAGCATGCTCAGAAAATTATTTGGAAGATTGTTGTAGTCTCAGACAGCCATACACGGTTAGTAAAGACAAAGAATAAGATACACATCTTTCTCAGTATATACAGTATATATACATACATACTTACATACATACCACAACATTATTTTCATTTTATTGTATGAAACATTTTAGTTGGCCACCAGGCCTATCCCTTTTAAAATGTTCTATGTTTGAGGTGCCAAGTAGTTCTGCCTGACTACCACTAGATAGAGATATTGCTACTCATATTTCAGCAGTTGCGTAGTGCTAGTTATATTCCCTCAATACATTTTATGAAGTACAATTTTGCATTTAGTTTTTTGTTTTTTGTTTTTCCCACAAAAACGTTCTTGATTTCATTTGACATACTTTAATAAAGTATAAAATATGTCTACTATGGTCAAGGTAAAGGCTTGATTTTTGTAGGTCACGGTGATTCCAGAGGTAGTTGTGTCACCACACTGCGCAGTTTATCCACCAATACTGTAAAATAATGAAAGAATAACATTGTTAACACATAAATTAACATTACTGTTGAAACTGTTTATCTGAAAACACAACTTGTGTACCTCCAGCTGATGGTCTGTGGAAGCTCTCATAGGCTCGACATGCATTGATCAGATCCCCGAGCGCTTTGGGGCAATCCTCAGGAAGTGGCTCCATATATTTCTCTTTGCCCACTCTCTCAAGCATTTCCTTATTTGTCCATTTCGCTTTAGTTACTGGATCTGCAAAACAGCAACATCAATACAACAACTCAACCACTGAGTAAAATTATTTTAAATACAGTATTTGTGTGATAGAGGAGTGAAGACAGAATAAACATCAAAATACATTCGTCCTATATATGTATCTTATTAATATCTTTACTTTACACACCTTCAAAGGGATGGCGACGAGTTGCAATTTCCCACATGACAATACCAAAACTAAAAAGAAACAAAAATGTAATACTTCTTTAGTCAGTTCACACGTAATTGAAGCTATAATTCATATATACTTTAAACTTGTGCAAAAAACAAAAAAATAAATTAATAAAAATCCTGTAAAATAACATAGGTATAAAATAACATAGGTTTAATGTAGGGAGGTAAAATAATGTGGGCACCATTTACTAAAAAGTTAATGTTATTTTTTTAAACCCGTGCTGCGGTATGTAACTTTTCTGATAATTGTAACTCCACCATCTCATGAAGGTGTTATTACTTTGTTTAGCTCAGTATGGCTTTAAACATCTATATATTTACATCTTTTTTCTGGAACATGCAGATGATGCCAACAGACCAAGTTACAAGTCAGTCACAAGTCAGATCTGCAGAGAGGAGACCCCCACCCACAGTAAAAATGCGCAGTATTTTTAAAAGTATTTTTGCGTAATAAAAATTATGTGTACATATATATATATATATATATATATATATATATATATATATATATATATATATATATAGATATAGATAGATAGATAGATATAGATATAGATATATATATAGATATAGATAGATAGATATAGATATATATATATAGATATATAGATATAGATAGATAGATAGATAGATAGATAGATAGATATGGGTTTAAGCATAGTCTGAAGTCCAAGGGTTGTAATGACTTTAACTTCTTAAAAAAATAAAATAAAGAACTCATAAAACACAAAGACACTTAGCCGTCTGACCTGTAAACTTCACATTCTTTGCTGTAGGGGTAGTCGATGCTGTTGAGCATTTGTGGAGGAGAGTAGCACAAGGACCGGCTCTGTCGATCATGTCTGTTCTTTTTCAACGAGGTCTCTGTTTTGGCGAGCTCAAAGCCTCCTAACTGGACACACAAAACTACATCAGTACTTACTTACATTTACCCTTCCCTTGGATCTGGCTCTCCAAGCAACCACTTTACAGTGGGCTATGATACCATAACAAGATAAGATAACCTTTATGTCCTTGTTGTCTACGATTTATATTTCGTATTACCAGTTGATTTTGTTTCTGTATTTTTTTGGTACCTTCACTCTATAGCCTTCAGCCACAAGAAACTTGTCGCTGTTGATGCACCCATGGACCTTTGACTTAGCCTCAGTTTGATGTAACCTATCAAAAATAAAAATAACATTCAATCCAAACCCAGTGTACAATATATAGACCAACTTTTTTCATGCTCTCACCTGTATAACCCCTTGGCGGCATCCAGACACATGCGTGCTTTTCTCATCCAGGATAATTTACAGTCCGAGTCTAGGACCTGCCTGAGACTGCCCTTCTCACAGTATTCCATGATGATCAGGTACTCTGGATACGGACCTAAACAGTAAGCCAAAAAAAAGGTAAAAGGAGGTGATAATAACTCCTTTATTCACATTTACAAATTTTACTGAAGTGACATAAAATAAAAAATAAGCCTTAAAAATGCTAAATCGTTATATGACTATATTATGTGACAACAAAACTAAAGTAAGAGCAAAATTCTTGATAATGTTTTACCTTCTTTATTCTTGACACAAATGCCAAACATTCGGAGGATGTTTGGTGACTCAAAAAGCCTCATCGTTTGAACCTCCTTGTTAAAAACATTATTGATCTCACTAAAAGGAGGAAAACAAAGTAAAAAGTGACAAAAACGCACTGTATTGCCTTGTAATGTTTCAGCAGACAGAATGTGTTGTAGTCGATGATGCAAAGACCCATTTTGGTCAATAGAGGCATGGGGAGAATTTGGCATATTTGTTTTATAAGCAACATAAAACATATTATTAGAGGTATTAGTTAAGGTTGATCTCTATCTCAACTGCTTTTTTCCCATAATAGAGCTGTTAGCTGAGGCTAATAATGCACATAATATCATATGTGATTTTAATATTGCAATCAAGCTGGTGGCAACTTAACTGTTCTGAAAGTAGCAAGTTAGTAAGTTATTAAATCTGTGACAATTTTCCACTGAAACATTTTAAAGTACAGGATAAAAACATTGTGCAAGTGGTTAAGTTTATCTAAATACTAATTTAAAAATTCATGTGTATTTTAAATGTATGTAGAGTATGTTACCAATGCTTTTATACAGTGATATAGCACTAACTTTTAACTTTAGATTTTTTCCACTTTTATGGTCTTTTAGTGGACAACAAACCTGAAGCTAGTGTCTGCCTGGTCAATAAAGCGCTTGATGGCCACAGTGAAGCCATTGTACTCTCCTTTATAAACCTCAGAGGTAGGGGTCACCATGAAGGGCTGCTGAGGGAAATCATACTTGAGCTCCTCTGGTTTGATCATCCGGATCACCTCATTTGTGGCACTGGGCTTGTTCACTGCAATAACAAGAGCATATTAAACAACATTCAACTTCTGCTTTTAGACCTACATTTACTTCCTCTTTTCTGTAATTTCAAGTCTCTCACTGAGCGATAACTAACTGAATCATAGGCACACTTGAGTTTTGCCTGGGATGCAATACTCACATATGTCCACCATCTTGGCCACATTGGTTTTAACCTCTTCAAACTCCTTCATCATGGCATCCATCTTGTCCTGCTGCACTTGCACGTAGTTCAGTAGTACTGAGGAACAGAAAATGCTGAATGATCTTTTTATAAATATCTTAAAAGGTTTAGTGAAAAAGTTGTCTATTGTTATGTCTGCAAGTAGAAACTATTGATACCTTCTTTGAGTTTATTTATCCTTGAGTTTTCAGACCATGCATTTAAAAATCTGTTTCCTAATGAGTTCAATGAGTCAACATGGTAACTGTGGAAATGTCCCACCACAATTTTACCAAAAAAGACTTATCAATAAAATGAAAGAGTGTTGTAAAATAATAAACATAGGCCTACTTGGGTGTACATGGGTTTGAACAGATTATTAGTTTACAATAGACTAGAAATTCAAAATTGATATGAATATGCTCATTTCCACAAAGCCCTTACATCTCTTGAGCTCTGCGTCATCTTCCCGTGAATCCATCTCGTCCAGCTTCTGTCTGTGGCTTATCTCGAACACTTCATAGATCATGTCACCGTGCTCCACCTGCAGCGCCCCCGACAAAACTTGGAAGGCATCGTTTAGCCGCTCGTTCACTGTGGTAAATCCATCCAAGTGGCTACCGGATTTCAGAATGCGCTGGACCCAACTGGCCTGTGTGTACTTTTCTATCAGATCCCGCGCCGATGTCAAGGTGATGGTCAGCTCCTGAAGCCCTTTCTCTACCACGTCCGATTTGAGGATGGCTTTTCTCTTCCTCGCAGACTGCACCAGCTCCTCCAAAGCTTTCACTCTATCTGCCACACGATGGCAGCGCTTTTTGTTTGCCTTGACGTTCTCAACCAGGTCATATATAGCAGACGCAATGGATAGTATGGGCTCAATGAAGTCCATGGCTATAAAGACAAATATAAAAGTGGTTACAATTACGTAGTGGAAATTACTGATAAAACAGTTACACATGGAGCTCAATGTAGGAACAATCTCATCTAATCTCAGCAGGTGGTTAGTACTTGGCTCGAAGAGCAGTAGGAATAACAGGTGGGGCTGCAATGGCTCTAGTGCATTCTGTTGGTGTGTCCTTAAGCAAGACACATCACCCACTTATTTATAGTATGAATGTGGTGTGAATGTTGGTGGTCACAGTGTCTAATGGAGAAGTGGTAACCCTGCTTTGCATTTTTACAAAAAAATATTATACTGCTATATTATATTATTATATTATTATATTATAACTACTGCTGGTGTAAAAAACAAATGTGCATTCTGTATCTGAAATGACAATAATCTATTCATTCATTGTTATGTCATGTTGCTGCATGGGCAGTTAGTGGAACAATATGTTTTGGTTTAATGGCTTAATATTTGGTTTAATATTTATTGTGTTGACATTTTCTATGTAAACAGAGGGGAGATTTTTGCCATTTTCATGCAATAATGTGAGATTTGGGTTGCAGAGGGTAGAATAAGTAACTTCTATGGCTAATTATTGGTTCCTTTTGCCATTTACTTTTGAAGCCCATACACTTAATGATACAGTTTATTTACAAACGGTTTCTTGTGATTATCTTGCTTTGTGTCAGTGGCATAAAGTGGTTTCAATATTACTGTTTATTGTAATATTTCTCTGTAGCAATATATTGTGCCTCAAATTTTGTTATCATGACCGGCCTAGGGATAGTACCCATAAATGGCCCTCCAAACAATACATCAATGGTCAATGCTTTTAACATCCATTTTGTTTCTGAAATGTTGATGGCATGAATGACCTGAGTAGCAGTGTAACTGAATCCTGTCTTTAGGGTGTCAGGTGTGAGAGAGAAGTCTAGTCATTAATAATTAGTATATGTATTTATTTTAACACAGTAATTAAGGTCAGAAAGGTGTGATTGAACAGATCTATTCACTAAAGCTGTGATAATACATGTATGTAGGGTAGGTAGAAATAATATAATCAACTAAGATGTAGGCCTACAACTTAAGCTAAAATATCATTGGAAGATTAATCACCTTATAAACCAAGATAATACTTTTAAATGTATGAACCTACTGCAATGTTTCCATTCAATGTTCCAATATCATCTCCATCTAGTGTTTTGGTGTTCTTTTAAACCTTTGCCAAAACTGTGATTGGCTGTTACCTCAATCTTTGCAAGTTTGCAAGTGCCTAGGGATTGTACCAACTGTGGGACAGAAGTGCAGGTCTTATGCTCAACATGTCTCAGTCAAATAGCATTATGGGAGGACTCATTGAGACATGTTCTGCTGTTTGTACAAATGTCAACCATTCAACTGAGGCTGCATTAAGCTAACATGGTGTGTGCTGTTGAGTGAATGCTTTTAAGATGCTGTTTAAGATCACTTAAGATCAAGCAAATGCAGCAACAATGTTTTTTTGAGGCCATTTTGTAGTAACCATTTGAGGGCTGATCTAGATTAAAGGTTAAATTAAAGGGCCTGTGCACAACGCTTACATGTATCTGAGCAAAATTGGTTTTACAATATTACAGATTCTGTGCTGTCTTCTGTGAGAATGAGCAAGTGTGTGGTTAGCTTGCTAGTTGCTGTTAGCATTACAGTGATGGCAAAACTCTGCATTGGCCTGTGAAAGTTCAGAAAAGTGCTTATAAACTCATCACTGTGAGCAATTATGATGCTTTATATGCATAAGGTAAGTGAGGAATAACTTTGGACCACTGTAAACTGTTTAGAATAAAATAGTTCTGTGTTTCACTTTTTTAAAAAAAGTCAATAGCTATGACAATGGGCCTTTCTCATCATTATGAATCAGTTATCACTTTATTTTGATCATATTATATAGCTCTCTCACCCTAAATCCCCACTATATAAGCAGTTACATTCATTTATGATTTGAGTTGTTCCTGTAACATTCTGGTCTGGTTTTAGTTTACACAATACAGCTGTAAGGGTTATTGAGATCGACCCTCACTGCAGTGGACACGCCCTCTTCTTAACTAAAACACTATAAATATGATTACAGAGAAAAGACAACCGCACTTACCTGCAATCAGAAATCCTGTCTCCACCAAAGCTCAAAATGAAACCATGTGGTAACACCTCCTGTGACAGCAGTTTCCTCTTCCTCTCTCTCTCTTCCTTTCTCTCTCTATCCACCCTCCCTCCCTCCCTCTCTCTCTCTCTCCTCTCTCTCTCTCTCTCTCTCACTGTTTTATTCATTGCTCCTTTGACACCTCAAGGAGACACATGTCACAGTGGGGCCACATATTATCCTCCCTCCATGTCTGCTTACCGACCTATGGATTCAAATCAAGACTTAATCTTGGTTTAGACCGGCTTTAGTTCGTTTTTTTGCTCCAGGTTGGTCATGTTTTTATTAGTACTGGTTTTGTTCTGGTTTTAGAGCAGACTTAGTCCTCTTCTCTCATTTAGTTTGTGTGCAGCTCTGAAGAACACAACCTCCCCCATCGATGTCTATAGATTACAGGCAGGTCAGCTACATGGGGATTTCCCAGAGGAACAAACATGGTCATTAGTATGTAAGGTGTGGAAGCTGAACAGGAGTGGATTTGGATAAGAGGAAATATTGTTTACAACCACATGTTGAATGCTAAATATTTTAAGTGTAATACCTTTTAAAAAGAATGAGCCACTACCACACCTGATATTCCCTACAGTCCTAACCATACCCAACCCTGCTCATCTTTACAAATTTCTCAGGCATTCCCAAGGTGGTATGAACAGTAATATATTAGATCTTCAGCAAACTACATTTAATTACGTATATTTATTAGTAATTTATTCATTTACAGTAAAAACACATGAGTTACAGCACAAGGCTGGTTGTTAAAACCAATATATAGTTAAACTTATTTATGGATTCTGGCATATTAATTAAAGATTTGAATGCATGTGACATTGTGTAATATAATTAGGAATAACATTATTTGATTAAAAGTCATAAAAATTTAATCAAAATAGTTGCACATACAATATTTCTAATAGTAATGCAAATTGTTGGATATGTTGCAGTTTTTTTTTTTTCAGTATATATGTAAAAGTGCTTAAGAATGAACATGAATCACTAGGTATAGTCCAAATTCATCATCATTCGAATCTCAAAAAGATGACCCATTTGTGTAACCAGATACAAGGCAAATATGTTCTTACAGATTACAATTGTAAAGCTGATTTATTCTTTATTAAAATTACACATGATAGTCAAGGTGTTTTTGTTGTAATTGATGCTTTAGTTCTTCTTTAGTTGTTTTAAACAAATTTCTATTCAAAAAGCAGATTGAGTCTCACATGACTTTCTCATTTGGGTTGCCATTTCCAGTGCTGAAGTCCAGTTGGTTTAAACCTGAAAGAACTCTCTCCAATCTGAATCCTCACTACCTAAAAACCATTACCTGCAGCCAGTCATTAATCAATGCTAGTGCAGTCTCTGCAGCTCAGTGAGGGAATTCTGGAGGGTCTGAACTTTCGCATGAGGCATGCCCTGCCCAGAAAAGAGTCCTGTAAATGCAGGTTAAGGCACTGGCAACTCAAGCTCAGTTGTGATTGTACTTGTTTTTTTAAACCAGCAGGCTACCCTACTGCACTGCACATCACATATCATACAAGCAAGGTGCAGGATTGTTCACAAACGCATATCCAAAAACATTTTAATAGGTTTCAGTGAATGAAAATCAAGCTGAAAGAGAACCCCATGCAATCCACAGGCCTGAATCCTAATGAAAACCTATGAAATATGATTATTGTATACTGTAATATTTTAAGCAGCAAAAAGTGCTTCATGTGGTATTGACCCTCTAGAATATAATATGTAAACAACCTAATGCCAACAACCCAACAGCACCATAAACCACAGTGAGGTTGGTTTGCACCTGTGTGTCAATCTGCAGACACACGCTCAGGGACAGATATGCCTCATTTAACCTCTCATTGACTGCTTTAAACTTATCTTCATAACTATTGGCATTTAGGTACTTGCTTAATCTACTCCTTGAGTATTTGGCCAGGAGGTTGGGCTTCTGTTAGAATCACACAGAGGTCTTGGATCACATTCTTGGTGGCTTCTGAGTGTGTGTCCTCTCCTCTCTCTCTCAAAGACTTTATGAAATGTTCAAGTAGTTCCAGTCTTCTGCAGAGGTGTTTGCATTGTGTATCATTGCATTGCTTCACATTCAAACACTGCTTAGTCTTCTGAATTAATGACCAGATTGCCTCCACATAGTACATGGGCATGGTGCCTCTGTGGAAGAGTGTAAAGTGTTAGAGAAGTTTTTACCATGTATTTTAGTTGTATAATGTGAACTGACCTGAAAGTTTCTCTTGTCTATATGAAATGTATTTGTGTTCAGGGCATCTTGTTGTTGTGGACTCCCTGCAGGCTATTTAATGAGACAATTTCAACAAATCCAGTTTAAAGATGCTCTCTGTAATTAGATCGACCCTCCCCTGTTGTGTTCTCACCTATAAGAGAGCACAGGTGAGCCTGAACAAAGGCCAGGTGAGGAGGGAAATGGTTTCACATTTGCCATCTATTAGTGAAAAAAATCAGATAAACCTGTAGATGGTACTTTTAGAGAGTCCATACCCAGTTTAAACCACTAAACCAAAGAAGATATTTGTTTCATCAGAATGTGAATTTCTTAATCCTGAAAAATTCTGTTTAAATAATTTTTATACTGATTTTTTTTTCTCTCAAATAAAAAAATAAAAAATAATAATAATCACCTTTTACAATACTCAACCAACAAAAAAACTGCAGCAAACTTTCACCTGTTTGATTAGTGATAGTAAAATGAATCAGAAAGCAAGAGAAAATAATCCAATAATTAATTGGTATACATATATAAAAAGAATGATTTATAAGAATAAAGATTTTAAATATTTGAAAATTCCCCAAAAGATTAAGAAAGAAGTACAGTTTGAATGCAGTTAAAAATAAATGTTAAGGCCCCATACAAAAGTAGTGGCCTCACTGTGAAATGTCTGTGAAAGGCGCTATATAAATAGCGACTTACTTACTTACTTACTCACGAGCCTTCAGAAAGATAGTTGAACACAATCTCAAATAATGAAAAAGACACTGGTCAATAACAGATGCACATTAACCTGTTCACAGGAAACAAGCAAATGGATAACTGTCCCAGAGCCCTCTCAGTCCTTAAATACTTCTTCTGCATGGAAAAACACCCAAAAGAGAACAAAGAGAAACCATAAGGAGTATCACAGTGAAGGACAGATCCAACCCCACGGACTGATAGTCTAGTTAATTACAAAATAAACTTTTGTGGAAAAAAGTAAAATTAAACTAATAGAAATATTTTGTATAAATAATAAAATAATAAAATGTTATAACTGGCATAACAAGTAGTTTACCTGCTGTGGGCGCAGATGTTTGTTCAAATGTAATGGCTCAAAATAGTTTGTCTTTGTACAGTGCACTCCTCCCTCCTCTACTCACATGAGCTGAGCCAAAATGACTCTCTCTTTCTATTTCATGGAGAGTTCAAACTGGTTTGCCTCAATACAAGAATAATTCTTGCTTGGCCAATCAAAAAGGAACTGTATAAACACTGCAATATACAGTTTTGAAAAAGGTACAAAAAACTGACGCTGAGAAGTCAGTGTCAGTGTCAGTCAGAAGTCAGTTTACCTGCAACCAGAGTTTTTCTTATTCTCAGTATATGGTTCAGAACCTCCATAATTTCTTCACTGAGCTGCAGAGGCTGAGCATTCATTCATGCTTGGTTGCAGGTGCTGGGTTTATTTGAATGTGAGGAACGAAAGCAGTGTTTAAATATGTCACATTTTGATGTCTCCACAATCACACCACAGAGTCTGTAATGAGTTCACATGAATTTATTCTTAAAAACTAATACTAATATTAAGCTTGAAAAATCAATTCCATTATCATTCAGTTTCAGTTGTCAATATTGTTCATTAAAGTACAAACTCAGTTTTGTCTGCAATTCAAACATAAGGCCTACAACATATTCTCTGTTTCAAAGTATGGATAAATGGACACGCCAAAAATTATATCTGTTGAAAACAAAACACAATGTGTAAATTCCTGGTAATTGTGCCTGGTGTGATTTTTCTGTGGTGATCCCAAAACACAGTTAAGACACACTTTAGCCTACAAAATGGAGTAAAATATTTAAAAGAGATCATGTATAATGCAAAGTTCTATATAATATTATATCATTCATCGCTCATCATAAGGCAGGGACCGCTATTTGAAAAGTTACATATTACCCCTTTAATTGTGGTTCAGATATGTCTCCTTTAAACAGGTCTGGTCATAACTACTGTCACCAATCCTGGATTAGTGAGCACTGGACGAGGTGGTGGCATAGTCACAATCATCTGTGGGGGGGCCATGGCGTTGGCATAAACCATAGGGGGCGCTGTTCTAGTGACTATGGACCCTGCGGGTAATGTCCCATAAACACTCTGCATGGTAATGATGGGATGCACAGGGGAAGGGGGTGGTACAGTTACCACTCGGGGGGGCATTGAGCACGGGACAGAGACATGTATCGTTGGAACTGAAAGGCTATTAGGATTATAGGTGGGTCTTTGGGCGGGAGGGTAAGGAGGGTTTAGGGCACCGGTAACTGTGATGGTCGGGATCTTTGGTGGATTCTGGGTGGGGATTGGAGACGTAGAGCTAGTTGGGACAACACTTGGAACTGTTGGTGTAATATTCTGAGTTGGTATTTGGAAAGTAGGGCTAGGCTGATGTGAAGGCCCACACATGTTGGAGAATCCTATTGGAAAGGGTTGTTTGGGCTGGGTTATTTCATTATTTTTTCCAGCTACAGCGTTCAACACTTGGTTCAACACTTCTCCGTGTTCAATTTGCAAAGCCCCGGAAAGGACTTGGAAAGTGTCATCCAGCCGTTCGTTGATTTTGAGAAATTTGTCTTCGTGAGCGCTGCTGAGAACAAAAGTTTTGACGATGTTAGTCTGTTGCTGGTACTTTCTCATGGTGTCACGAGCGTTGACCAGAGTGGCAGACAGTTCGTTGAGAGCATTTCGGACCACCTCAGAGATCCTTCGGGGGTCCCTCTCCTTCAGCTTCAGCACCAGTTCCTGCAGAGCAATCACCCGCTTGGCCACACGCTCACAACGCTCCTTGTTGGTCTTCACATTCATGGCCATCTTTACCACCGTTGTGGCCAATGAGACAATCAGGTCAATTGGGACATCACCCATTTTGATCTGATCTGGAGAGAAGAGAAGAAAAGGTTTAAAAATGATTGTCATAACATTCTTTAGGTTGTAGTTTAAAATTGTAGTGTGACTACATCTGGCCTCACGCTGGCACCAAAATATGTAGGTTGAAATCTACATGGGCTCACAGCGTGATACCATGATGTAGGGGGGTATTTCATGTTACAGATTGGAATTTAGGAGTTCTAAGTTAAAGTAGCACTCACGTGGCCTTTGTGAGTGTTCGGCTCTGACTAGAAGTAAATTTGGGGGCACCCAACAAATGTTGAGAAATATTACCAATCCAATTTAATCAATTACCTATGTTAATTAATTAATAATTAATTAAACAATTGATCTGAAGGTTTATAAATTCATCATTGGAAATAACATCACTATTCACCAAAGCAAACTGTGGTTTATGAATATTTATTGACCAAGTTAAACAGACAGCATTTAAATATCAAATATGCAAATGAGTGTAGGTCGCTCTAAACTGGTGTCTAGAGATGTGAGATTAAACACAACTTTAAGAGTTATATAAAGTTCTGTGCTGAGTCTAGCTTGATAAAACAAGCCATTCTGTGAAAGTGCGCATACCACCCAGGGAGCGTGGAGATGTCCAGTCACAATGTGGTCCTGTTGGGTCCAATGAAGGTTTGAGTTTCTCAGGACATCGGTTCTGAAGAATCAAACGCAATGAAACGGACGAAGGCCACGTGATCTGATCAATGTTCCAGGCTCTTTTGGCGTCAGGCTGAAGGACACTCTCCTCTGTTCCAGAGGATTGGAGGACACGTTTAATTGTCCATGAGGTCTAGCAGCGCTGGTCACGGATTAAGGCTAATCAATCAAAAAGACTATGTCTGCAAAAATGCGAATATTTAAATTTGGAAAAATATGAAAGCTTCGCTTTCAAATCAGATCAGCGACAGGTATGTGAATAAAACACGTCAAGTGACAGGCACAGCTTTGAACAGAGGGAGAACTCGGGCATTGTCTCTCCTGTTCGGCTCTTTACCATCTTTACCATTCTGAGTTGAACTGCTTCAGCGATCTTCTGCTGATGAACAGAGATCTGAACGAACTGGTCAGAACTGGGCGATCTGCAAAACTGGGGATCTGGGTTTAGGTCTGTTTTCCTTGTCTTAAATATTAAGATAAGCGGGAAAAACTGACCAATCGTGTATCTGCGTGTGGAATGTGAGTTAGTTGAGTGGGGGTTTTGTGACATAACTCTCATATTACACACTATGAACATTAACAGTTTTACACAAAGAAAGTATTCACATGACATTTACAAATCAGTATTAAAACACACTGGCCATAGTTCATTGAATGAATTGAATTTCATTCCTTTCTTTCTCTGGAGAAAGTCTATTGGCTTGAGATTCAGAGATTGTTCCATCAAAAATCCCATAGTGTCGATTATAGTCAGTGAACAAACTTCAGTCAATTGAATTATCAATAGGTGAAGCTTTGTAGAAAAGTTAGTTTGTAAAAAGATCTTTAATCCTTTAAGGGGTCTTTGTGTGGTACAGCACACAGGGAGTGCATGAAGACAAGACACTATATATCTTGCTTGGGTGACAGGTCCGAGATAGGAAGGTTCAAGCAAGTGGGGGAAGGGTAGAGTGTCTCAAAGTTAACCCCTGTCAGAGGTGTCCAAACTTTGTGCAAGTCTATTCCCTAAAATTTCGATATCATGGTAACAGCCATGATTTCACATCTTCCATAGGTCAGAGGTCAGTCCTCTTACAAAATAGTAAAGGTTTTTTGAGAAACAGTCAATATAGGCAAGTTTTCGGTGGCAGTGGCTGAGTATTTGCCTACCAGCCCAAAGGTTGTTGGTTCAACGCCAGCCCAAAATAAGTACACCATTGTTTAATCCCTTGGCATCTCACCCACCTTGCCTATAATTGATTGTGTGTGAGGCACACAATCAATTATAGGGAATGACATATCCATAGAAAAAAGCAGGTGACATACCCCCAATCAAGAAGTTACATAGTGCACCTTTAATATACAAAAATTACAAATCAGTGTCAAAATATTTTAAGTACGGAAACTTCTTCTAAACAGAAATAAGAAAATTCCACTTTAACCTTTATAATTTTCCAGATTTATAAAAAAACAAACTGAAAACTAAACTTGAGTCAATCATTTTAGAGCATGTTGACCTATCCACAAATGTATTAGTTTTGTAATGTAAAATTAAAACACAATTACCTGTATGCGGATCTCTTTATAAGTAAAAAATGTAAATCTCCTTGCGTTGAGTGTGTCTTCTCTCTTTTCAGTCCCGGTTTAGTCCCATGTGCGTGAGATTAATACATAGCACCTCACTAGTCCAACAGGTTTTCACATAGACAGAGCAAACCTACTGTTGACTGCCTAGACATTTGAAATATGTAATCAGGAATACAAATTGAACCGATGTACAAGAAGTCAGCCAATGTTTTCTTTGAAATGTGATGTGTGTGTGTGTGTAGGTGAGTTAATGTTGCTTAGTACAGTGCATCGCTTTGGTGAATCAGGAATCAGATACACAGCAAATTCAAGAGTGTTATTTCAGCTTGTATATTGTTAATCTTAACACTTTTTGCCATGTCATATGGGGTCTAAATAAAATGAATTAAAACTACACTTTCCAAAGTGTCGACGGCTCACACTGGTAACCTCACCCCTCATAGTTGAATTAGACACTGATTAAGATTAGATTTTTTTACACTAGTGTATAGTGAAAAACTAATAACTCTATATTTCTATGTTTTAACACTTTAAAGTTAACACTTTATGAAGTAGAAATAGTGTAGAGTATTCTTCATGTTACACTATTCAATAGAAACTCTTCACTAAATACAGTGTAAATGATGTGGTCATTCTAGTTCATAATCCCGTTTACAAATGTAAAATAATGAAAACCACCATAAAATTCCATTTCAACATTCACTGTATTAAAACAATGCACATCATACAATCAACTCAGTTTAAATAAGTCATATGACATAATACTATTTTTACAAAATCCAACTGACAGCAGGAATTCTCTGTGCTCTCAACAGTTGGTCACAATGACCAATTTTTTTAAAGTTGATTTTTCAATGCAAGCAGTCGATGGATGAATCAAGATCTTGTTTTTGAATGGAATTCAGGCATGTTCATCTCCAAAAAATGAGAGGAGCTTGTCTGACTGTTTGACACAAGATCTTCTCTCCATTATATAAACATAACAATGTTCACAATAGAGGCAGTTCTGCTAATTATGACACATTAACATTGCAGAAAATTTTTACCTCAAGAGTCAGTCTTTCATTCTTGGGGTTTCTTTTGACACATCCAACGTCCATGTTGTAGACAGCTCTTTGAATACAGGTGTAAAGTTTGTGAGAGTCTGAGGACCAAGTGCCTTGAAGTGTTCAAGAAATTCAGCCAGGTCAACGATGGCATAAAAAACCTTAGTCCTGCCCACTTCAGTCACAGATAGAAAGGCCGTCCAGGCTCAACCATCAAGAAATGTGTCCATACCGATCTGTAAAATAAAATAGAGAATAGAATATATATAACATGTTCAAGTAACCACCTTGCAAAACAGGCTATGCAATATTTAATGATCCATGAATAAAAATTAAAAAGTAAATATATGGTAAATATATATTAGTATGTTTTTGTATACAGGAACCATTCAAATAAATAACTTGAAGATTTGAAAAAATTTAGTCCCTTAGAAAAGATTATAATAAATGCATAAATGCCATTAATCATGAAAATAGAATGAGATTAAGGCAAAAATTGCAATTACTCAGCACATATATAAAATTAAATTAGTCAATTACAAAATTATTGATGAGGTTACATTTCAGTTCTACATTTAACCATTTCATGGCATACCTGCAACTCTCTGATGAGATGGTTAATGACTTGAGCCTTCATCTTTCCACTGTAGCCTTTAGGAGCTGGGGATGCAGGTGAACCAGCAGCAAGACACTCACCCTAAAGAAAGTACAAAAAAGAATGTATCATTACTCTTTTTGACTAAAGGGCAATATCATGTTAAGACATTGTATTGGGTAAGACATCATACTTGAAGATATTTTATTTTTACACAATACTACTAACCTTTTTATTCAAATAATTTTAATAATTCTCCACTTGATACAATATCCTACCTCAACACACCACACAAAAGTGTGCACGTTTATAAGCCATTATTAAAAGAAATGTGAATACAGCAAATGTACTATGATGGAGTATAAGGGTCAGATAAAAAAAATAAATAAATACTGGCACTACGAGAATAAAGTCGTAACATTTCGACATTAAAGTCGTAATATTATGAGAATAAAGTCAAAGCCAGAAAAAGTCGTAATTTTACGAGAATAAAGTCGTAATTTTACGAGAACAAAGTAGTAATTTTATGAGAATTAAATCGTAGTCAAAATAAAGTCGTAATATTACGAGAATATAGGCTGCTCGGAAAGTATGAATGAGTAGGCTGGTGCGCTATGGAGAATTTGGAGCATTTTGTTAAGGAGCAGAATCCGTGTATTATTCATTCATTCGACTGAACAAGGACTGAATCAGGACTACATCAGGTCCGGAACCAAACAGGATTGAGACCGGGACCAGACTGGGACCAGACCAGGACTGAGGTTGGGACCAGACCAAGAAAACGGTTTAGTCCTGGTTTAGTCCTGGTTTAAGTCATGGAAATGGGAAACGGCATTTCCGTGATTTTAAAATGCCATGCGGGACTATTGCGCTGCATACGGACTGCCAGGACTGAACCAGGACTGAACCAGGACTGAATCAGGACTAAACCAGGACTAAACCATTTTCAGTTCTGGTCTGGTCCCGGTCTCAGTTCCGTCTGGTCCCGGTATCACGGTTTAGTCCTGGTTTGGTCCTGGTCTCAGTCCCAGTCTCAGTCCTGGTCCTGTTCCCGGTCTCAATCCTGGTTTCAGTTCTGGTCTCAGTTCTGGTCTGATCCCAGTCTCAGTCTTGATCCCGGACTCAGTCCTTGTCTCAGTCCTGGTCTGGTCCCGGACCTGGTTTAGTTCTGGTTCAGTCCTGGTTCAGTCCAGAGGCACAAATAATGAAGAAAATTGTTGTTTTTTTGTTTTTTTTCGTTTTCTTATTTTTGGTTTTATATTAAAAAACAAGGTTCTTCTTCTGTCGCATTTTTCACTTTGACTTTTATTTTATTACGACTTCATTCTCGTAATATTATCATTTTATTCTCATAATATTATGACTTTATTTTAACTTCGACTTTATTCTTGTAAAATTATTACTTTATTCTCGTAAAATTACGACTTTTTCTAGCTTTGACTTTATTCTCATTATATCACGACTTTAATGTCGAAATGTTACGACTTTATTCTCGTAGCGCCAGCATCTTTTTTTTTTTTTTTTAATCTGACCCTTATACTCCGTCGTACAAATGAATGCAGACCCACGGTGAAGATAACGAATGCTAATTTACTCTTCACTTCAGTATAGATCGGGGGTCCGTGTCGCGACTATTAGATATTCTTTTGGAAATGGGGAATCAACACCGGGTGCAGGCAGAGATAGAGCCGTGTGAGGACGTTTGGATCGGGGCTGCGTGAGATCGTAGACTCGTTGTTTGCGGTCTCCTCGAGACGGAGCAGAGGCAGCGCGGGACTCACCTGGTTTAGGCGTATGCGGGTGTCGGGTTAGACCTGGTCAAATGCGGATTTAGTCCTTGTTTAGAGACGATTCCACCTCCTCTGGTGCCCAGTCCACTCAAGGCTACGGAGCGTACACCACGTCCCGCTGCCCGTGATGTGCAGCCTGCAGAAACACCGCGAATCCCGGACGCTCCCCTCAGACTCAGCTGCTGTGTAGCCGCTGAGAGTCTCTTCAGTCCCGCTGCGCCGTAACCCGGTCCGGAAAGTGAAGAGCATCACGGACACTTGTCACGGGGCTTTGAGGGCTGCTCCACGACAAAAACACGGATAAAAAGCAAATAGATTTTTGACTTACAACAAAGTGTTATGATTTTGAATTTCCCATTTCAATACTTTCAAAATCGAATGTAAACTTTACTCACAGCAAGACCTTGAATTTATCACTTTTGAATTTGCTCTACAGCCTCTAATAAATAGAGAAACGAGCAAAGACTTGTAGGACATAAAGAAGGCCAGCGGTGTAGTAGTAGAGCTTTCGAACCCTCATAAAAAAAAAATTAAATCTCCAAAATTATTGTTATGTCCATTGGGAAAACACCTCTCTCAATTTCCCTCCTGTGCCTATTTGAAGAGTGAACTACCAAATGAACTAATAGTGGTTTAATGCTGGGTTATAAAGAGTCCATTAATAAAAGCAGATATATGCAATTTTCCAATTATAACAAAAACAATAAAATCACCACATAACTTCATATTGTGTGTCTTCTCTTTTGTTGGGGTAAATTAGTGTCTTTTACATTCCTAAGCCATGAGACATATCTGTTTTGTGAACACATGTGCCCAGACAGGTTTAGCCTCTGTGCGGGAATAACATACTTTCATTTTCTATTGCTAGTAAATGATTACTATTGAGGTGAATGAACTGTGTTTTGTATATTAGCTATTATTATTTGTTGATATGCAAGATGAACAGAACGTACACTCTGTGAAACCCGAGATTGGACGGGGGCTGAGAGTAAAAGTCAACGCCTCAACACCCTAAAGTCATCCACCCCACTGTGTTGCCCAGGGTAGCTTGGTGTAGCTTGTGTTTAAATTGCACCTTGGCGATGTAAGGATTCCCATTCAGGTGTAACCATCAAAGAGGACAATTAGGGGTGTCAAATTATCACGTTAATTGCGATTAATTAATTACAGTCATATTTAGCGCGTTATGTTTTTTAATCTCGTTAATCTCATTTTTAATCTCTAACTTTACTATTTCTGTATGCGAGTTGCTTTATTATAAAACCTGTTTTTATGTGTTGTTGGGACAACAACACACACACAAAAAAACATTTATAAATTTTTTTTTTATTTCGGTAATTCCACTCATTGCCGGAAACCCACACAGAACGCGCGCAGTAAGAGCGACGTAAACGTCATGTTAACGTTGGCGGCGTCAGGCACAATGGACGAGGTCGTAGAGCCAGTAGAACAGAGGCAGCAGTGCACAGGTAAAAACACATTCGTGTCTTGGAAATTCTTCTCCCGACGTGAGGTATAAAAGAAAATAACAAATATAAAATCGCCTACAACTTAAATGTCACTGGTGAAAACAACCTGCATAGACATAGACATAGATGTCTGCACTACTGTCCTATAGTGACCTGCCACATGAGGGGACACGCACACAAACACACACAAACACACACAAACACACACAAACACACACAAACACACACAAACACACACAAACACACACAAACAAACACAAACACACACCTTCATCATCGTCATCAACCTGAGAACGCGCGGACCACGTTTCCTTCCATAGTTACTGCGCGAACACCGACGTGCTCCCGCGCGCCGCGTGTGGATCGTGTTTTCTCGCTACGCTGCGTAAACCGCGCTTCCTCCTGTGCGCCTCTAAACCAGAACTAACACCAAGACTAAAACCAGGACTAGTCCAGTCCAGGACTAAACCAGGTCTAAACCAGGTCTAAACCAGGACTAAACCAGAACTAAAACCAGAACTAAAACCAGAACTAAAACCAGGTCTAAACCAGGTCTAAACCAGAACTAAACCAGAACTAACACCAGGACTAAAACCAGGATTAATTCATTCCAGGACTAAACTAGGACTAAAGTAGGACTAAAGTAGGTCTAAACCAGGACTAAAACCAGGACTAAAACCAGTAATTTCATATATAAAGCATTTCTCTATCAATAATATTTTTAATATGGTTAAGGAAAGACTGGACTTTTTATTGTCTTTAAGTAGACAAAAGTTATTATGTTCAGATTTCCTCGTCTTTGCTACTTTACAGCAAACAGTTTCTTATTCATGGAGACTTGGGCTCAACAGCCAATTTGGAGAGATTTGTTAAACAATAAATTACTTTATAAAGTCACTTTTTTAAATCTATATCAGTCTTTTGATCTGCCACAATAATGTAATAATGAATTTAAATGAAAATACCTCAAATTGAAGGCTTTTCTCAGCAATTTTTAGGTGAGATTAAAATTAGATTAATTAGATTCATTAATTACAGATCATAATTAATTAATCTCTAAATTTTTTTAATCGCATGACAGCACTAAGGACAATATTCAAAAAATGTTAAGTCAGAAGGATTTATTGAGACTTACACAAAGTAAACAGCTTAGTTATGAGCACTGCAGAAAGACAGGATGAGAGCCCTGTGATTTATGTGTTTCCAGCCTTTATATGAGTGAGTATCAATAAATGTATGAAGGAAGATCTTGTCTAATCAGCAAAGTGTTATTTTCATGTCTCACAGTGCTATCCTAGATTCTGAGAAGAAAATGTATTCTGTGTGTGCAACTCACTGTTATTGAGCTTCATTAATCTTACCAATTCAACATTGGCATAGATGTTTATTTATAGGTATGAGTAAAGTTATATTGATTAATTGATTCATCTATGATGATTGGGGAGGGGGCATGGCTGTTGGAGGAAGCATGGTTTGGAGCATGGCCAGGGTAGGGGGCATGGCCCATGATGGGGGCGTGGCTAGGGTAGGGGGTGTGCCCAATGGAGGGGGCATGACTAATGTAGGGGGCATGGCCTGGATAGGGCGCAAAGCCGATAGAGGGCGCAAAGCCAAAGGAGGGGGCTTGGCTGGTGGGTGGGGCCATGTTGGTGGAGGGGACCAGGTTAACATGTGGGATGGTGGCCAGGACTCTCAGACTGTCCTGGATCTGCCGGTCCAGGATGTTAAACTCGTTCTTGTAAGTGCCCTTGTTCACCACTCGATTCACAGCACATTTGTGAAGCAGGCTGTCTGCACTCATCAGAGTGGTGTAGAGAGTCTGTAGAGCTCCACCCACCTGGAACAGCGTTTTTATTTTTTTAGACATAATTTTTTTAAAGATGTTAGCTGGCAATTGGTAATACAATGGACATTAAAATCATAATACAAACAAATAAAAACATAAATAAAATGTTACTTTTAATTTAACAACTTAACAGGATGAGTTAGGTCTTGTTACCTGTGATGTTAATGTAGTCTAGCTGTGGAGTTACTGTTGAGTTACTGTTGAGTTACTGTTGAGTTATCATGATGTTACTGTGATGTAACTGTGATGTTACTGTTGTAGGATGACTAAGAAAAGGGTCCCTTAAATGATATTAAAGATTGGAATTTAAGAGTTCTAAGTTAAAGCAGCACTCACGCGGCCTTTGTGAGTGTTGGGGCACCACTCAACCAATGTTGAGAAATATTACTAATACAATATTATCAAATGCCAACCTTAATTAATTGCTTAATAATTAATTAAACAATTGTTCTGAAGGTTTGTAAATGTGCAATGGGCAAGGAATGTGCCTTTCTTTAAGTTGTGTGGGGGTTTGTGACACAGCTCTCACATTACATTTTATAAACCATTAACAGTTTTACACAAATAAAGTATTCACATGATATTTACAAATCAGCATTAAAACACATTGGCAATAGTTCATGGAACAAACTGTTCATTTAATTCAGCCTCTTTCTCTGGAGAAAGTCCAGTAGTCAGTTATAGTCAGTGAACTTACTTCATTCTCTCATTCTCTCTTCATTCTATCTCGTAGCTCTTTTGCCAGTGAAATTTATTCCTTTGCAAAATAGCCTTTGTGTGAGATAGTATGAACAGAAAATGTCTTAAGTCAATAAATCTTAATTTGGCGTGACAGGTCCAAGATAGGGCTGTTGGAAGTGGGGGAATGATAGTGTGCATCCAAAGTTAACTCCAGTCCAGGGCATTGTCCAAACTTTGGTGCAAGTTCTTATTTAAAGATTTGCCATGATTTCACATCTTCCATAGGTCAAAGGTCAGTAATACTACACTGTTGTGTTACTGTGATGTTACTTTTGTATTACTGTAATGTTACTGTGATTACCTGTGGAGTTATGGAGCCAGATGACTGGAGGGTCAAGACCATTTTTTCCACAGAAGTGAGCTTCTGTCCCAGCTGACGGCAGTGACCCTTCATCACTCTGACCTCTGAGATCTTAAAGCTGATGTCCCTGCACTGGGATAGTACCAAAGACGTGTAGTCCATGGTCAGCTGAAAAGCAAAATACTACAGTTCATACACTAGTTCATGAACAAGACTGTGAATAGTTGTCCAAAATGAGATAAAGCACTTTGGCCTAGAGGTGAACGGTGCAACTCAGAAGAGCTAGGAGTAGATCTGTTGGGACAACCAGCAAAAACAACCCACGAGGAAGATTTTGTCTTAAAGTCCCTATTTGTGCTCAGACCGGCCTACCCGGCCCTGTTGTATTATCACATAACACAGGGCTATATACATTTCTGCAGTCTGACAGTGTGCCAGTTTTGGCCTGAGAGAAGAAGACCAGGCAGCACAAGTGAGTCTGAACAAAGGCCAGATAAGGAAAAGGAGGAGGATGGGACAAGTTTCATATTTACCATGTAGTGGTAAGCAAAGCAGAACAGGTGGTAGCTTTAAAGTATGATTTATTTTTGCTATTTTTGTCCATAAACAATGAATCATAAAATATACACTTATAGTGCATTAACTGGAGTTAAGGAAGTGTTTAGGGGAAAAAATGTAATTAGTTCCTGCAGCTGAGAAAACTGGTTTGTTTTGAATACAAAGTAATTAGACAGGATTGTATATTAATTAGATGCATATTGAAATTTAAAAGTATTTTGCGACTCACCCTGCAAACAGAAGGTTTTAGATTTGATGCAAAAAGTGTTGATCAGCAGTTACTGTGGTTGGAGTCGTTTGTATAGTATTTCTACTACAAAAAAATAAAAAATAAAAATAAAAAATGCACACACACAAAATTTTTCTGTCACTCAAACACAAATGTTTACTAGTTTTATTAAGTATTAAAATTTTATAATTAGATTTTTGAATTTGATAATTTGTAAATTCATAAAACATGGCATTCAATTTACTCTGTGGTACTTCCAAAATGCTATGATGCTATTATACTATGATTCATAATTGATTGAAAAGTAAAGTAAAAGAAATATTTGCATGTCTTACCTGAAGTGTGATGCAGTGGACTGGAAAGAAGTGAAAGGAAAGGTTGCTTTTATACGTGGCTCAGTCGCATCCTTATCTTGGAGTGTCATATTTCAAGCAGGATTTTCATTTAGAAAACAGAATCAAATGTATTCATGTATATAATCTATTACTGATTGCAAATTATAAACTTGAAAATTGAAAACATATGGAGTAAGGATTTGGATGCAGTATTGGTGATTGACAACTGAAAAGGAATACAGAACACTATTAACTATTCATCAAAATCATTTGATGTTGCACTTGAACTTTCTGCATAGAACTTTCTACAGTTCTTATGACCACTTTCATAGAGTGAGTCTCCAATATGCGACAAATGCAACTGATACTTTTATTTACATGTTTTGGGACTGTAAAGACGTCAATATATATAAAAAATAAAAAATAAAAATGTACATCATGTATTCTTATAATTAAATTGTTAGGTAAAGATTTTTTCCCCACTTAAAAAAAAAAATTATTTGGCAACTGTACTTGTAGAATATGGACTGAAACACATGTGCTTTTGATTTATCACAGATTTCTGGGGGCTTGAATTTGCTCGAAAATTCTACTCTTCAAATATATAAGGGCATATTTGAAGGACTGTGGAAAGTGCAATTTCAAAGACAGAGGTTTGATATTGAACATACACCTTCCCACACACACTGTGTACTTTGTATTTAAAAACTGACCGTCTGTGATGAACGCTCTAGAAGATATTAAGCGTTTAAAATGGAAAAAATCAATGTGGTGCCATTTTTACCATGTTATTCCAAAAAACGATAGCACCCACCAACATAAAATGGACAGTTTTAGAAAGACTAGATGTCTGTTTTAACATATTAGTCCGGTTCCTTATTGCCATTTTTTGACCTTAGTGGGAAGTTTTTGGGGATTTGCTAACCTATATATTTTTGGAAAGGTTATAGTATATGGAGTCAGAAAATCAATGTTTGCATTTGCCCACATGTCTTTATGGTGGCCATATTGGATTTAAAAAAAATGGCCGCCAAAAAACCCTTTTTGGAATATCTCAGCCTCTGAATAAGTTGAAATGTTGATTTTAACTGCTAAACCCACATTTTCAGGGTCAGGGAATCAAATGGTGCTAGTTACAAACCTGTAAGACCTACGCACATTAACCCTTAGATGAATAAGTGGGTCAAAAATGACCCGGTTTGGTTGTTTCTTGCATTTTCACTGTAATATTCATATGTAATACTCCATGTTCCTCCAAAAACATGTTTTTTATTTTTTTTATTATCCTGCTGAAATACATCAACAATATTGGTAAAACAAAATATAAACATCACATGCAGCTGGTCAGATAACTCAAAGAGTTTAAAAGTAGCTAACATAAAATTTGGATGTTGGATGTAAACACACACATTTAGACACAATATGATTACACAACTTTTTTATGAGACATTTTCTATACATCATCATTATCATCATCACTTTCATACAACCATAGACTGTATATATGAGTGGACAGATCTAACGCTGTAGCCGCCATGTGCCAAATAGGAAGTTCTCCAGGAGGCTCTTCCAGCTCCTTCTGACTCTGGCTCCAATGGACTTACATTAGGATCTTGTGGCTCCTCTCTCTGTACCTGCTGCAGTGAGCCTTGACATTTTGGTCTTAAAATGTTTGTATGAACCCGATCTACATGATCCTGATTACCTCCGCCAAGGAGGTTATGTTTTTGCCAGCGTTTGTCTGTTTGTTTGTTTGTTTGTTTGTTTGTTTGTCTGTTAGCAACATAACTCAAAAAGTTATGGACCGATTTTGATGAAATTTTCAGGATTTGTTGGAAATGTGAAAAGGAAGGACTGATTTCATTTTGGGGGTGATCCGGAAGAAATCCTGGATTCTGGATCACTTTGAAATTTTAGTTAACATTGTGGTAAATGGGGCCAAAAAATTTGTTTCTCAATATCTCGGTTAATTATTGACCAAACCCCATGAAATTTGACTCAGGGATGGACAATGAGATCCTCTTTCATATTCCAAAGGCTGATCCGGATCTGATCCAGAAGACTGATTTTATCACAATTTCTATAAAAAATGGGGGTAGTCCTTGGCGGAGGTCTGCGCTCTCTGAGTGCTTTTCTAGTTTTTTTTTTTGCTATTTTGTCCATCAAAAAAATCCTATTCATAATATAAAGCCCATGGCTGGATGAGATCCATCCTGAGTACCTTAAGTCTCTGGATGTTGTGGGTCTTGGCTGACACGCCTCTTCAACATCGTGTGGCGGTCGGGGACAGTACCTCTGGACTGGCAAAACCGGGGTGTTGGTCCCTCTGTATTAGAAGGGGGACCGGAGGGTGTGTTCCAACTACAGGGGAATCACACTTCTCAGCCTCCCCGGTCTGTGCCAGGGACTGGAGAGGAGAATCCGACCGTGGTTTTCGCCCCGGTCGTGGAACACTGGACCAGCTCTACACTCTCCATCAGGCGCTCGAGGGTTCATGGGAGTTTGCCCAACCAGTCCACATGTGCTTTGTGGATCTGGAGAAGGCATTCGACCGTGTCCCTCATGGTGTCCTGTGGGGGGTGCTCTGGGAGTATGGGGTCCGAGGTCCTTTGCTAAGGGCTGTCCAGTTCCCTGTATGACCCGGAGCAGGAGCTGTGTTCATTGCCGGTAAGTAAGTCAGACCTATTCCCGGTGCATGTTGGACTCCACCAGGGCCGCAACTGTCACCGGTTCTGTTCATTGTATTTATGGACAGAATTTCTCGGTGCAGTCAGAGGCCGAACAGTCTGGTTTGGGGACCACAGGATCATCTCTGCTGTTCACAGATGATGTTGTCCTGTTGTCTTCATCAAACCAGGACCTGCAGCACTGGGGCAGTTTGACCCGTGTGTGAAGCAGCTGGTATGAAGATCATCTCCTCCAAATCCGAGGCCATGGTTCTCAACCGGAAAAAGGCGTCTTGCCCTCTCCGGGTGGGTGGAGAGTCCCTGCCTCAAGTGGAGGAGTTCAAGTATCTCGGGGTCTTGTTCATGAGTGAGGGGAGGACGGAACGTGAGATTGACATGCGGTTTCCTTTTTCCTGATATTACCATCTCTTGGTATTGTGATGTCCACCACCACGGCTCTGCTCTGTTTCTTATCCACCACCACTATGTCTGGTTGGTCCATCACCATCCTGTCAGTGTGTATCTGGAAGTCCCACAGGATCTTGGCTCGGTCGTTCTCCACAACCTTTGGAGGTGTTTCCCACCTTGATCCTGGGGTTTCCAGCCCGTACTCTGCACAGATGTTTCTGTACACTATGCCCGCCACTTGGTTATGTCGCTCCATGTATGCTTTCCCTGCCAGCATCTTACACCCTGCAGTTCTGTGCTGGACTGTCTCAGGAGCCTCTTTGCACAGTCTACACCGTGGCTCTTGTCTGGTGTGGTATATCTGGGCCTCTATTACTCAAGTGCCCAGGACCTGCTCCTGACCTCCAGAATGAGCCTCTGTGTGTCCTTCAGACCCTCTCAAGCCATTGGGATGGAACCCTCCCTGCATGGTCAGGAGCTTTCGTGTCTTAACATCTGTGGTCTGTATCTCCTCCTTTGGCCAGCTTATGATACCTGCAGGGTATTTGATCACTGGCAGGGCAGAGCTGTTGATTGCCTGCGCCTTGTTCATAAGCGAGACCGCAGTGTCAAAAAACAAGCAGGACACCCCTATTGGACGACGGAAGAACTGGAGCTCAGAGCCCACGGCCAGACCAGAGCTCGGAGCCCAGACAGCCGTGGATCTATCCATCTTGTTGAACAGTAGCTAATGTTTATTAAGCAAATATATGCAATAAGTGCATGCGCAATTTGCTTCATTTAGTTTTCTTTAAATAAATGATGTCATGATAGCAGCAGTTGGTCCTAATGAAGGCTCAGGGTCCAGGTCCACGGTTCACCACTGCCAAGTACAAAGGTGACTGCAGAACTGCACACCAGAAACTAAAGGTTTATCCTGTACCGACATGTGTCAGTGCAGCAGCCAGTGCCAGAATGATGATGATTCCGAAGCCATGTTGTTGCATAGACTGTATAAAAGAAATGGACTAAGTGAGTGTGACCCACAGAGTTCAGTACTACTCAAATGAGGCTTGTCATGTTCATGGATACAGGAGCCAATCTGGAGCCAGACTCTATATTATGAATAGGATCATGTGTCGTGGGTTAACACAAACATTTTAAGACCAAAATGTTTGAGGCTCACTGCAGCAGGTACAGAGAGAGCAGCCACAAGATCCTAATGTAAGTCCTGGAGCCAGAGTCAGAAGGAGCCGGAAGAGCCTCCTGGAGAACTTCCTATTTGGCACATGGCGGCTACAGCGTTAGATCTGTCCACTCATATATACAGTCTATGGTTGTATGAAAGTGATGATGATAATGATGATGTATAGAAAATGTCTCATAAAAAAGTTGTGTAATCATATTGTGTCTAAATGTGTGTGTTTACATCCAACATCCAAATTTTATGTTAGCTACTTTTAAACTCTTTAAGTTATCTGACCAGCTGCATGTGATGTTTATAATTTGTTTTACCCATATTGTTGATGTATTTCAGCAGGATCATTAAAAAAAAAACATGTTTTTGGAGGAACATGGAGTATTACATGTGAATATTACAGTGAAATTGCAAGAAAACAACCAAACCGGGTCATTTTTGACCCACTTATTCATCTAAGGGTTAATTTGGGTAGGTCTTACAGGTTTGTAACTAGCACCATTTGATTCCCTGACCCTGAAAATGTGGGTTTAGCAGTTAAAATCAACATTTCAACTTATTCAGAGGCTGAGATATTCCAAAAAGGTTTTTTGGCGGCCATTTAAAAAAAAATCCAATATGGCCGCCATAAAGACATGTGGGCAAATGCAAACATTGATTTTCTGACTCCATGTACTATAACCTTTCCAAAAATATATAGGTTAGCAAATCCCCAAAAAATTCCCACAAAAGTATATAAGGAACCGGACTATATCCAAAATATGTGATGGTGTTCTGCATTTTGTTGAGTTTAAGCTGTGTGTCAAATATTCAGAGTGTTCTCTTAGCTTCTGAAAGTGCCTTCACAGACCATGAATGCTCTGCATGTAAGCAGACATGACATTTTCAAAAAATCATTTTGCAAAAGTAAGGCAGAACACCATCACAAATTTTGGATATGTTAAAAAGAGACATCTAGTCTTTCTACAACAATCCATTTTATGTTGGTGGGTACTATAATTTTTTTGGTATAACATGGTAAAAATGGCACCAAATATTTTTTTTTCTATTTTAAACACTTAATATCTTGTTCATCACAGAGGGTCAGTTTTAAAATACAAAGCACACAGCATGTGTACAGCATGTGTGCACAGATGTGTGTTCAATATCAAACCTCTGTCTTTGAAATTGCACTTTCCACAGTCCTTCAAAGATGCTCTCATATTTGAAGAGTAGAATTTTCGAGCAAATTCAATCCCCCAGAAATCTGTGATAAATCAAAAGCACTTGTGTAAAAGTCCAAATTCTAAAAGTACATTTGCCAAATTTTAACCCTTGAAAATTTGAAGGACCGACCTTAAATTGTTTTTTAGACACAGCAATCTGAAAGTGGCTCCTTGGACAACTCTGCTCAAAACAGGTCAGGGGAGAGTTGACAAAATATTTTTTTATGACAAAACTATAAGGAACTGGGAGCTAAATTTTGGGACTTTTCCCATTGGGAAGTGTGTGAACCTCTCAGAATTTTTTCAGTCAAATCTGAGATGGTCAGGCGGAGGCATTTGGAGATTTAGTGTGGAATGATCCACTTGGCTGTTGTTTGGTTATCTACTTTTGTGGCTACCTGGCTCATACACTGAGCAGATTTAGATTTTTTTTGTGTGTGAGCTCAATTTTTTATTATCATATAACCAGCTAAGAAGCCATTTGAGATGCTATAGGCTTTATACCTTATGTGTCAGCAAATGTGGAAGACGGCCTTCCAGAGAAAATACATAGAGAGAATAAACAATTTCATCTCCAACTGAAACAACAGAGTGGAATAATGAGTAATTACAAACTTCATTTAGACCAAACAAGACCAAGTTACAGGTCAGATATGTGGAGAAGCAACCTTGTTCACTGTCAAAATACCTGTTTTTCTAGGTATTTTTTTAGCTAAACATCACTTGTAATTTAATAAATGTAAGGTAGAGTTGTTAATGTCATACTATGGAACATTCCAGGCAGAGCAATGACATATTCATAGAAACAGACAGACCCCCATCCAAAAAGTTACATAGTGACCCTTTAAAATACAAAAATGAACAATTTCATCTCCAACCAAAACTGCAGACTGAGTAAGAACGAGGCCTCTCCTGTTGTGTTCATTGGTTTTACCTAGGGCCCTGACACAGATCTGCGGACCCTACCTGACCAGTCCTTCTGTTAAAGCGAACAGACTGAGAAGTGCAATGTAAATGTTTATGCAACAAAACCTCAAACAAGATCAATTAAGTATCTCTCTCTCTGGGGCGCCCGCGCTCTCGCTTTTGCGCTCTCTCTCTTTTTCCCTCTTTCTCTTTCTCTCTTTCTGTTTGCTGTCTCTCTCTTTTGCTCTCTGTCTCTCTATAAAATATGGGATTAGGACTAGTGTAACCCGCATTTGAGAGACTTTTATTGTCGCGGGTCAATTCCGTTTCACCCCGATCTCCCCCACTTCCTTTAAGTTGCGGGGTCACCGTGTCACTTCCTCCTCCTCCGCTCCGCTGTGGCTGTGGCGTGGTCTGGGCGTCGGCAAACAATTTCAATAAACTTTTAAACTACGAATCGTACAACATCCACAATTAGGTGAGTGTTTTGCCACATTATTAGAATGCTGCCGATTTAATAATCACGTTCAACAATTTCGCTAAACTACTTAATTCTGTAAAAATCGCTAATGCCACGTCTCCGACCCTCATAGAGCCTCCATATAGATTGTACACACCTGGCCGTGTATGGAGAGGAGATCGCAACGCGAAATTCGAAGGTACCTGATTTTCCTTTTGTACTAATAAGAGCCGAAATGAAGGTAAAAGATTCCTTAATGTCGCTAACTTTGTTTTTCGCGACTTTGATTAATTTGTGCAGTTTTAGCACAGTTACTAGTATTTGTTAAAACTCCGGTGGAGTTCGTCAATTGAATTGAGCGTAGATACGCACTTTACTTTGAAACATATTGATATTGCGCAATATTTGAATTTATCGGCCTTTGCTTGGGTATTGTTTGGTAATTCTTTGATTTTAATTGACTTAATAATGATACTTTACTTACTTAATTGTGATAAACCTACTGAATTTACTTTACTTTTTGAATTTCCTTGATTTATTAACTAACTTAATTAATCATTTAATTTTAATGATTTAAATGATTTAACTTTATAACTTATTTAATTTTTTTTTTCACTTATTGACATTGAATTCATTCATGAATTGAATTGAATATTAATTGTAATTGTTGAAAATGTTAATCCTGATGGACTGTTTGTGTCATTAGTCAATGACTACATTTAATTTATTGTTAATGTGTATTCTGATTAATGAATTAATTGGTATCTTGAATGTACTGATTAAGTGAACATGAATTGAACTGTTCACTTGTGCTTGTATGTTTATGCATACATTTAATTTATTTTTGGTTATTTAAGACCTGTTAATGTTTTATTTAAATGATATTCATTTGTTTGTTTTTTTGACTTTTTTAGGTCAGGTTTTTTCTATGGACTGATTGAACTCCAGCTTCGCAGAAACTCTCAACTAGGAAATGATGGAATGATGGCGAGCTTACCCAAAAACCTGAACTTAGATTAACCTGAATCAAAGTACTAGATAACTGGACAGTTTTTTTATTTTTTTATTTTGTTTTGTTACTCCTGTGCTCTGTAAAAATTTTCAATATACTTCACCCAACTTCATATTTATGACTTATGTCTCTTCATTCACACTCGGGCTCCTCAAAGAACATTCTTCTGATGCTGCTTTTGTGGCCGTAGTCTGCCCCTAGCCCTAACACATTTGCGTTACACTAGCAGCATGAAAATACTATCAGAAGCAGAAAAAGAAGAGGTGGTAATAAAAGTTAAAGGAGTTTTACTACAGCTTGTTTATCATAGAATGTATGACTCGCAATGTAATTTAAATATTTCTTTCCAATTTTTTTCTTACTTCTCTTGTAACAGAAGTCTTCACTTTGTGTGTGATGTAACTTTTCTAAATGAGAGGGTCAAGCACATCCATGTTTCAACTGTTTTTACTGATAAAATAATATAGTTAATTTAAAATATACGTTTTCATTGTGAGCAGTGTTGCCTCTCCACAGATTGTAACTTTGCTTTGTAGTGCCATCTGCTTAGATAGATGAAACATTCTGGGCAAAACTACAGCAAGACAAGCAGATGGTGGACCCTTCTCCAAAACTGACACTGGTTATAACTTGAAAATGTTTGGTTTGTGTGAGATGAGTGAAGCTCTCGTATTGACTGACAAGCAACTCGTTGAAATCAAGTTCCTAAGTGGCAGAGCCCGCCTGCAGGATACACTGTCTGATAAAGATGCCTAAGCTGTTGCCTTAAAGGCATTTAGTTTCACTTTATCACAACAGTCGAGTCAGTCTGCCTTCAAGGTAAGAACAATAAGTTACATTTCAGGAGTATCACAAAGATAATAGAAACCTCTATTGTTTTATTAACTTAACATTTAATTTTGAATTATCATATAACCAAAAGCATATCTCAGTAAGTAGTAATTTCTGTTACTTTTTGTATATTGGAGTGATTATTATTCTTTTTTTTTTTTTTTCACGTTCATAGAATAAATATATATAAATATTACAATCACATTCACTGCAGACCTAAACTTTTTTGCCTCAAGTCTAGGGTTAATTTAAATCTTTATCCAAGTAAACATATACATATGCATTTTCAAGAAAGTGTATCCAAAGTATATGTGAAAATGTGATATGTTAGTTCAGAATCGTGAACATTTACATTTACATATTCTGTGTATTTAAGATTAGAGCTGATGAAGTCACATATGGTTTCAAGTCAAACCAGTTCTGAGATCTAGGAAAGTTTCTGCCACTGATCAGAAGTGATTTTCTGTAAACACCGCTGTCTACAGTACATTCACTAGGCTTTATTATGTTCACTATTTATGGACACACTTAAATTGTTACCGATGTATCTATTTAACTGTAGTTTTGTATAACTTCACAGCTGAGGCAAATAGATATAATTTTAAATTTAGGACAAAATTGAGGATTTTCTTCTGTGGGATATCTTGTATTATCTTTTATATTTCAGCAGCTCCACTCCAAGCTCCTTTGAGCTCCACCTCAAGGGCAAATAGGGCCTGTGATCAAATGTAGCTTTGTGTTAACTAATTACACCCTAGTTAGAGTACTCATGGAGTATGTACTTTCAGTTGCAATGGACTACACATCTTTGGTGCTGTCCCAGTGCAGGAACATTAACTATAAGATCCCAGAGGCCAGAGTGATGAAGGATCGCTGTCGTCAGCTGGGACAGAAGCTCACCTCTGTGGAGGAAATGGTCCTGGCCCTCCAGAACAGGCCATCTGGCTCCATAACCTCACAGGTAATACACACAGAGATGAAAAAACATAGACAAGTATCTATGACCTAGTTGTATTCTTGTTCCAGGTGGGTGGAGCTCTGCAGAGACTTTACACCACCCTGATGAGTGCGGACAGTCTGGTTCAGAAGTGCACCATGCACCGAGTGGTGAACAAAGTCAAATACAAGAGTGAGTTTAACGCCCTAGACCGGATGATCCAAGACAGTCTGAGAGTCCTGGCCACAATCCCACATGTGAGCCACGCTCCCCGCACCAACCAGGTCCCTTCCACTAGCCGATACCAATCTGCGCTGGGCTACACAGTGGAGGAGGTGGATGACGACTCGGATGATGACGTTGGGGTGTTGGTGCCCTTTGCTCTAGGTGGCACTGTAGCTCTTGCTCAAAATCCATTTGCCATGCCTCAGGCCAATCTGGAGTTTGAGTCTGTGGTGTTAGTGGAAAATGGTCTTCTGGTCTATGCAGAGCGCCTCACTGGGCATTTTTAAAATGTGCTGAAATTATGCTATAGCACAACAACATATCTCAACACTGTCTTTATTCCACTGTGTCCTTTTTACTCTAAACAAAAAAACTTTCTAAGACACCTAAATTAAACAGATTTTCAATTGTGTCATCAAGAAGTCCAGCTCTGTCCTGGGCTGTTGTCTGGACTCAGTGCAGGAGGTGGGGGACAAGAGGGTCCTGACTAAGGTCATCTCTATGCTGGGCCATGAGTCTCACCCCCTGCAGGACGCACTGTCTGCTCTGGAGAGCAGCTTCAGTGACAGACTGATTGACCCTCGCTGAAGGAGAGATTTCGCAGGTCTTTCCTTCCTGCTGCTGTCAGACTTTACAACAAACACTGTTAACACTGAACATGTGCCATTCAATTATATCCATGTGGAATTATTTTTAAGTCTATTTTAAAATAATTTTTAAGCTATTATTTATTATCTGTTTTATTGTATGTTACCTTTTCCTGCTGTTCTGAAATTGCGCGTTGCAACACTGGAATTTCCCCACTGTGGGACTAATAAAGGCTTATCTTATATCTTTTGGGTCAAAATGTGTGCTCATTAAATTCTAAAAGTAAAATATAAATTTAGAGGTAATTATTTTTTTTATTTTGTGTTTTGTAATTTCACTATCAAAGCATTCCTTTTACACTCAGAAAATGAACTAAAGTTGAGTGAAGTGTGTAATGCCTCTATGTGGGATTAAACTGACAGCATCGATGTTATTAGGCATTTTAGGCATTAGGCACTATCTATGACAATTATTCTGTAAATATTTTATCCCTACTCTGTATGTATCATAACAATAATCACTACATTTTATGTTCCTTTTTAAGTAGCAGTTGAGATTAAAGTAAAGAAGATAATCTTACATAACAACCAATACTGATGGCTAATAAACAAAATAGCTCATTCACCTCAATAGCAATCATTTATATCTAGCAACAGAAAGTATGTTAGTATGTTATCCCCACAGAGAGGTGGAGCCTGTTTGGGCACATTTTGGCATCAAAGTCAGTGTTGAACGCATTTGAATTTGAAGGCAGATGCTTGAAAAAGTTGACACAAAACTTCACAAAAATATATTATTTTCCATAATTCAAAATTTTACATTATAAATACAACCACATCTCTGAATTTCATTATTTATTTTATACATCCATGCAATTTCAATAATCAATTTCAGCAAAAATTCTATTAAGATAACAAATGAGAATAGGGGCATGAAAAACAGGGCTATTATTATGGGCAATCATACAGATGGTCAGCCATCACACTGTAGTAACAAAGAGCCATTAATCAGCCAAAAATAATTACCCCTAACACATGAAATTCCTTAAATGCAAAAAGATACAGATAATATTCTCATGATTATTCCTCAGTTCTTCTAATTCTCAGATGCTTCACAATAGGCTTTTATGTCTGTCTATAAACCATTTCATAACTTAACACCACCAACATTATTATTATTATTATCATTATTATTATTATTATTATTATTATTATTATGTAGAAATTGTACAAGTACAATTTATAAAGAATATATATGTGTTATTTTTTTCCACTAAAATGCTTGAGTTTGTTGTTGATCTTGTACAATTCATACAATTTATTTTTGTAAATTTTAACCAGTAGAAAGTTAAAAATCACAGCTTGTTTATCAAGGGCAGACTCAAAACAGTGTCCAGATGACCACTGTTTCTTCAACTTTTTCAACTTTCAAATCACTGTTTTTGATTTATATCATTATTTGAGAACAGGGAATAGCACAACATACAATTATATATTAAAATCATGTACAAGTCTAGTATTTCTCAGCAGCGTGGCTTCTCCTCTGGCTGTGTTTCCTTGGTGATGAAGAGGCGTTTGAGGAAGAGCAGCTGCAGGTAACCTGAGGTGAGGATGAGGAGGCTGAGGGCCAGGGACATCCAGGACACATACTGTGAGTTAGACAGCAGCAGGTAGTAGTCTGCACTCTTCTTCATGCGACTTAACGTGTAGTAGCGAAACATGTGGAAAACATAAGTCTCCACTTTGTGTGTGGCCTCCTGCAAAAATATATTACACAATAAGAAGTGGAAAAGCATCTGCACTTAAAAGTGCACTATGTAACTTTTGTGGTGGAGGATCCAGCATTTGCTTATCTCAACAGGTGCTTACTGATATCACTACAAAAATATCATAAAACATGTATTTTTACAGATCATTGTATCACTTGTAACGGCCTGGTGGTGGTGGTGGTGGTGGTGAAACATTCTAGGCAAAGCAATATCATCTCCATGGAAACAGACAAGCAGGTGGCAGACCGTCCACCACAAAAGTTACATAGTGAATCTTTTTGGGTGGCTACCGTTTAGTTTTTTGCATTGGTTTTTGCATTTTGGTTCCATATCTGGCCAAAATATTTGGGGTTGCTCAAGACACTTGAAAATTGCCCTATACAGTTTATACTATAACATAGTGAGCCAAATAAAGGCGTATTTGAATAATCTGTCATTTTATTCTGCAAACACAAAATGAAACTTGCATAAAAATTACTTAGAAAGTCCATAAATGTTGCTTAGAAAGTCCGTAAAGTCCATGAAAAATTAGAAAGTCCAGCAACCACTTTGGCTTTGATGGCATCACAAAATATGTGCCTTTGCTCTTTGACAACTTTCTGATCTTCATTCTTTGTTAGGTTACAGTTAAAATCTTGAATAAGTTTCACTCCCCATTCAGCAACATCACTGACAACTGTCCTGGAATGCACAATTTTAGCAGCCTTCTGAAATTCTGTATCATCAGCCCAGTCTGCTGGGGAATTATTAAAAATGCTTTTTGCAGACCAAGAGCTTTGAAGAAACGCATCGTGCAGGTGGTGACAAAATCACTTATCTGCTTCCCTTTATAATCTGCTTGATTAAGGGCATCACAACATCGGAACCTCTGAACCTTCCTTTTCCATAATATTGTGAACCATCATCTTCTTCTGTTCTTCTGTCACACTGGAGCCGAAAAATGCCAGACCAACCATTTCTTTGTTCAAGTACCAAAAATGCTGTTAAGGCTACTTTCTTGACATCTGAATTTTCATACTGTGACAGCTTCTTAAGGAATACAAAATCATTTGTAGGGGTTTCGCTGGTGATGGGAGTTCAAACCATACTCTGATGTACAGGCTTACCGCAAACCGTGCTTGAGCACAGCATGGTTCTAAAGTCCTAGTGTGATTGCGCCCTTAAAAAAAAAAAAAAAAAAGCAATAGTTTCTTTCCCTGCTAACTGGTTACTCTTATAGTGGAATAACTCAGTTACTAACTCATTTACTTTTTGAAAGAAGTAACTAGAAACTATAACTAATTACTTTTTCAAAGTAAGGTACCCAACATTGCTGAAAGCACAAAATTGGTCAATTTCCAGGAAACTTCAAGCAGCTTGAGCAACCTCTAAAACATTTCCTTTTTCTTTCAAATTTCTTCAAATCAAGGTTATCTGAAACTTTTTACCATGCTGTGATGGACCACCCTAAATATCCATAGTAAATATAGAATGTTGTACCCCAATGACACTGAGAGTGTTGTTGAGATCCTTGCTAAGTTCCTCTTTCTTTTTCTTCTCCTCTTCCTTCTTTTGGGTGGCGTCCTCATACCCGTCGTAGTGCACTCCGAAACTCAAGAAGACTTGCATCATCCCGAAATGGTTGTGGAAGTTACTGAAGCACATCTGGTAGAAACCTGCTCACATGACAAAAAAAGAAATGATTATTAATGATGAAATATGCACTTTAATCATCAAGAATGACACAGGGTTTTTGATATCATTGTTTCTTTTTTGTTGTCAATACTTGAGAGAGTGAAACCTGACCACTTAAGTTTATAAGAAGAGAGAATGTCTGAAACTACTGTAAGAGGACTGACCTCTGACCTATGGAAGATGTGAAATCATGGCTGTTATCATGATATTGAATCTTAGGGAATAGACTTGCACAAAGTTTGGACATTGCCTCAGATAGAGGTTAACTTTGAGACACTATACTCCTCCCCCACTAACTTTTCTACAAAGCTTCACCTATTGATAATTCAGTTGACTGAAGTTTGTTCACTGACTATAATCGACAAATAAAAGACACTATGGGATTTTTGATGGAACAATCTCTTAATCTCAAGCCAATGAACTTTATCCAGAGAAAGAAAGGAATGAAATTTAATTCATTCAATGAACTATGGCCAGTGTGTTTTAATACTGATTTGTAAATGTCATGTGAATACTTGTAAACTGTCAATGTTCATAGTGTGTAATAGGAGGGCTGTGTCATAAAACAACCCACTCAACTAACTCACATTCCACACGCAGATCCACCATTGGTCAGTTCTTCCCGCTTATCTTAAGATTTAAGACAAGGAAAACAGACCTCAGCCCAGTTTTGCAGATCGCCCAGTTCTGACCAGTTCGTTCAGATCTCTGTTCATCAGCAGAAGATCGCTGAAGCAGTTCAACTCAGAATGGTAAAGATGGTAAAGAGCCGAACAGGAGAGACAATGCCCGAGTTCTCCCTCTGTTCAAAGCTGTGCCTGTCACTTGACGTGTTTTTATTCACATACCTGTCGCTGATCTGATTTGAAAACGAAGCTTTCATATTTTTCCAAATTTAAATATTCGCATTTTTGCAGACAGTCTTTTTGATTGATTAGCCTTAATCCGTGACCAGCACTCCTAGACCTCGTGGACATTGAAACGTGTCCTCCAATCCTCTGGAACAGAGGAGAGTGTCCTTCAGCCTGACGCCAAAAGAGCCTGGAACATTGATCAGATCACGTGGCCTTCGTCCGTTTCATTGCGTTTGATTCTTCAGAACCGACGTCCTGAGAAACTCAAACCTTCATTGGACCCAACAGGACCACATTGTGACTGGACATCTCCACGCTCCCTGGGTGGTATGCGCACTTTCACAGAATGGCTTGTTTTATCAATCTAGAGTCAGCACAGAACTTTATATAACTCTTAAAGTTGTGTTTAATCTCACATCTCTAAACACCAGTTTAGAGCGACCTACACTCATTTGCATATTTGATATTTAAATGCTGTCTGTTTAACTTGGTCAATAAATATTCATAAACTACAGTTTGCTTTGGTGAATAGTGATGTTATTTCCAATGATGTCATTTCAAAATATGCAGGTCACTGATGTGGACAAGAATTTACAAACCTTCAGATCAATTGTTACATAGGTAATTGATTAAATTGGATTGGTAATATTTCTCAACATTTGTTGAGTGGTGCCCCCAAATTTATTTCTAGTCAGAGCCGAACACTCACAAAGGCCACGTGAGTGCTACTTTAACTTAGAACTCCTAAATTCCAATCTGTAACATGAAATACCCCCCTACATCATGGTATCACGCTGTGAGCCCATGTAGATTTCAACCTACATATTTTGGTGCCAGCATGAGGCCAGATGTCATCACACTACACTACTTTTATTATTCTGAATGAGTGTTGAATGTAATTTTGTGATTGTTGAACCATTTGAAGCTATTATGTATAATTCATATAGACAGTGCACCTATCAATTTGCTCAATATGTGATGGTTAAGTGATGATATAATCCCTCTTCGACAGTTTCTCAGTTTCTTTCTGTGTCTTTACTTCAACAGGAGTGAAAGGGAAAGTCCCTTTATTGGTTTGTGTCTGAATGTTTGGCCCCAAACATCCCACTTAAAGGTTCCATGAGTGTGTTTATGCATAAAACATGTTATGGTCATTATAAATGTGAGCACAGACCAGTCTCCTTGGCCTCAAAGCGGATCTGTCCTGTAGCATCATCCACAGTGTCAAGCAGCAGACCTCCAGGGGCGTTTACTGTGACAGACAGGTGCCTGTCATGGCCCACCCCTGTTACCCACTGCACCTGTCAGCACATGGACACACAGCAGCACAATACACACATTTATTACAGGAGGGGATCAACCACCAAAAAGTTACATATTTAAACAGTACCTTCACACCTTTCAAATTTTTCTTTTCACATTTAAAGTACCTACATGTAGTCAGGTATACTGTTATCAGTTGTTATATTATTAGGTGTATAACTATAACTGCGTAAAATTGCACTAATAATCTAAAATGCACTGTTGAGTAATTTGGTCACTAGCTTCTCAGATAATACATTTAGTAGAAAACCTTTGAAAAGAACCAAAGTTAATGAATATACAAATAAAAAAAATACAGCTGCTTATTGCCTTACCATGAAGTTGAGGTAGAAGATTTCACCCACGTGAGCAAAATGCCAGACGCACTCAAGCCCTGCTGCGGGGAGGACAATAGAGAAGTCATACTGGTCAGCCCCCCAGAACAGCTCCTGGTCTGTGATATTCTCATGGAGCTGAGTCTGGGGCCCACAGCTCACCAGGGGCCAAAACACAGCCACAAGAAACAAGGAGCCCGTCTTCAGAAACATGCTGAAGGTTTGGAGAGAGAGAGACAAATGAAAGTATGCTGTGAGGGGCAGCAGATCAGGAATGATTAACAGAAGCCAATGGGAAAATTGGGAGGCTGTGACAGATGGAGAGAGGGAAAATGTCTAGGAAGAAAACAAAAATGGCAAGAATTAGTCTAATTATCATAGAAAGTTAAGTTAAATTCATAGTGCTTTTCTATCTTTGTTGCGTAGGGGAAAAAAAGACTCCCTATTACAATGCACATTCAGACACCAGTTTACACAGACACAAGAAGCACAGCAGGTTAAGTTTCTAATGACACAGCAACAGAATGAACAGGTGGGAGCTGGGATCGGAGCGTGAATTAATAAATATTGAATGAATAAATTATGCAATGTGAATGTATAAATATTGAATGCATAAATTAATGAATATGAATAAAAAAAAAGAATAAATAAAATAAATAAATACAAATAAAAATAGATAGCACTGATAGCATTTTAAATTATATAACACAAATCTAATTATATTCTGCATAACCAAAATTAGTGCTTTTAAATATATATGTCAAGTATGCAATGTGAGAGTAATGTCCACATCAGCCTAATAAGCTTTTGGTGAATAAACTGACAGAGAATCATTAGCAATATGTAAATGTAAAGTACATCATACTTTATAGTTGTTAAGACTTGGTTCTGAAAAAGTCCAACAGTAGCCCTAGTTTAGACCTTATTTTGTCCCACTAGTCCATCATGATTTAGATCCGATTTAGGTCAGTCTATGGTTTGAGAATCATTGCTGTATTCAAAGGATATAACAAGAAACATGGATAGTTGAAATCAAATGTTTATTGTTGGTTAACTCGTGTGTCAATTAAATAAGGCACATTCACAGAATTTCAAAACATCCAGCTCAGAAAAAAAAAATAATAAAAGTGGTACAAAAATAATTAAAGTGACAGATTTTTCATCCAGACCAACACAACCAAAACAGTGGAAAACTATGATCCTACCTAAACCATGGATGGGCGGACCATGGACTTGTGTGTGGTTCATTTTGTATAGAGACAGAAACAAGTGGAGGAGATACAGTACAGTACACATTTCTCAAGCCTTCAGTTTGTGTAAATTACAGTAATATTTTATAAGTTAAAAGACCAAATGTGTAGCTTTATTTCTTTATGGCAACATATCCCAAATCACAGACTCAGATTTCTTCCTTACCCTTTCTATGAATTGAACCTGGAACCTTCTTGTTGGAGGGCAATAGTGCTAACTAGTATATGGGATTACACTGGATACACCCAGGCAGTCCCTTGTAGGGTTAACCTAAACATGCACATACACAGCAATTCACTTTCAGATTTCTTGTTGGGAACCAAACCCACAACCTCACTGTAAAGAGGAACAAAATACAAAATTTATCGAATAAACTTAATTTTGGTTGTCATATGAAAAGAAAAAAACCCAAAAAAAAACATGATTTTTAAGTAATAATAGTGTTTTTTAAATCAAAGTTTGTAACAATACAAAGCTATCCATTCAGTCTTTTACTCTTGTGGTGTATACAGGAGACGTCTAACCTCTCTGATGCACCAAAACTTTTCTGTATAATATTAACTCAAAAGGCAAATCAAAACATTGCAAAAATCCATTAATTTAACACTGAAGCCATCTCTAACATTCAAGTAAAACAAAAGTGATTTCAGAACAAGCTCTAATTGAGTCTACAATTAAACACTACGAAACTACAATCATTTGATCTAGAAATACTAAGACAGCTTGCATCCCTTTACATTTTTGTGAAAAAGTGCTTTGATGAAAACAGGAGTATAAGAAAATGCATGCAGTTTTCACCATCTGGTAACACATTAAGATGATCAGTTCTTAACCTTTTTGACCTTGGAGCCACATTTTTCTGTACAAAGTAGGGTCCACTCTCATACTAAATGTATTATATTTTTCTGATTGTGCTGCCCTCAAACTTTGGGCCCCGAACCTATGATTAAGAATCACTGATCTAGGGCTAAGTGTTCAAAAGTATGATACAATTTCATTGTTTTCTATGACAATGACAATCAAATCTTGAACAATTTTTTATGATTTATAATACCTACACCTTAATTAGCCTGAATAAAGTGGCACGCAGTAGTTTATGTATTGACAATATCAATCGTGTAACTGAAAAATGATAAAAGGACATGATAATAGTGGTAGTATTTAGGGTGTTAACCAGCTACTGTCAGTCAGCTGAAGTACTAAAAATGAAGTTAAAAATGTTATGGAGTTAATGTTATGTCATTTTCAGTTTAGTGATTAACATAAGATTTTAACATCCTTGGCAAATACATTTTTGTAGTTGATTTTGGCTAGTTGTATGCGTAAATGAATGTTGTTATCTTGTTTTCTGATACTAGTAAGTTTACCTTGGCTTAAATTAGCATTGTTTTTTTTTGTCTCAAAACCTGAACAGTCAAAGTCTATTGATTAGCTGTGCCTGAGACATCTATACATGAGTGCATCCATCATTTTAACTGGACCACCTATCTATTTGTATTGTTTCATGCTACTACTGTAAACAATTGGTACTACTACAATTACTACTAACAATACTACTGGCTGGCTGTTTTTAGTTTAGATCTAAGAGCAGTCTAATGACATCAAAAGTACATGTAATGGAGAGATTAGTTATAATGTTGTCAATAATGTCATAGGGACCTTAAAACTATGGGGAAAATATATATTTATGAATTGGATAGAAAGTTAATACAGAGTCTCCGAATCTCTCATTCTGGAAGTGGCAATCTAAAAACTGTGTCAAAACTATATGCAGTATTATAACAACGTACTGGTTTAGCACGGTAGTACTTGTGGCAAATATTTATCATGATTTGCACTAGAAAAAGTTGAGAAGAAAAGTACAACAAAACAGAAAGTAGTGCCAAGTTCCAAAACAGAACCCCTACTGATGTTATGAAGAAGGAAAATTCCATTCAAAATGCAGGGACAATTTAAGAACAAGGAATGCATTTTCTGACAGATTTAACATTCATTTAGCAAAACAAAGATGTTGTTCTTTGTGCATTTTTATCTATTAATTTAGACAATTTATGACATTATGGTTGCTAGGTAACAGTTATGGAATTACCTCTATGTATGTCATATCTGTTGCCCATGTCCAACAGGAACTAAAATTACAAACTGCACCAAAATAATAAAAAAAATAATAATAATAATAATTAAAAAACTAGAAAGAACTCTGGAAGATTTTAGTAAAATATAAAACATAACAGCAAGGACTATGTTTTAGTGAAATTAGTATAGTAGTCAATATGCACAACTATTTGGTGTGTTCATTAATTTAAGCCACAGGCACAAATCCTAACATTTTGCATCAGTTAAACTCACATAAAGCAATGTGATAAGTGTCTTGCTCAAATATACAATGTCATTTTGCCTTGTGGGTGTGGAATAGAACCAGCAACCCATGCATTAATAAACTTCTCAATCAACTTATAATTGACTGTCATATAGGTCACTAATATTTTTCCCATAGTAAGATCCCATGACATCAATTGTATGTTTATAACCCAGCCTCTCCATCCCTTTTGGTGCTTGTTTCTAGTCTTGAGTACTGATCTCTTTTGGGCACATTTCTGGCAGCGGTTCAACCTCGTCCTCCTCATTCGACAAATTGGGGATGTTGAGTTCTGTGGGGCGGGGTGGACTTGGTTCCTCTGTATTGTCCGGCCCACTTTCTATTGACTCCTCTATCTCCTCTCCGTTCATTGGCTGTAGCTGTATGCTACTGGTATCAGACGCCCCATTGGGAGAGAAGTCTTGAGAACATGGGCTTTCCGTGGCTTGTGAGGAGGGCGAGTCTGAGCTAAAAGTACTGGGCTGGTCAAACGGCTGTGCTTGGCTTGTGTCTGATTGCGTTTTGTCCAATTCTTCACTGATTCCCATAGAGTCTTGGCTTAATTTTCGGGTGCTTTTAGGAGAGTTTTTAGGGGAGTTTTTGGCCTCCTCTTCTTGCTCTGATGATGGGTTTTCACCAGAGTCCAGTGTGTGCCAGCGACACAGGGGGCGTGCTCTCAAACGAGCCCCAGAATCGAGACTCTCTGCTGGGGTGCTCACATCCACCGTCTCCCCCCGACGCAGTCTCCTCCGATCTGAGTTCATCTATGATCATAAAATAAGAGAAAATAAGAAAAAGGTCAGACAGAAAAGAAAGGCTTTATATAAAGCAACCAACTCCCCACATGGATGTCACAACATGTGTTCCTACAGCCTTAAACAAACTGAAATGGGAATAGCATTAACTCCACAGTATTATATTCCAAGGATATGTCATTCCATCATTTCAGAGAGCAACCCAAAGTGAGGGACTCATTCTGCGGAGTAAATAATCAGTCACAAACACACAAAACAAGAAAACGAACAAAGTAAAATGTTTTGTAACTGAAAAAATAAACATAAAAATGGTTAGAGTATAGCATATAACATTACAGTGTATGAAAGTGAAATATTGACAAAAAACTACTTAAACTACTTAAATTACCGCTGAGTAGGCTTAGATAAAGAGCAGAATTTAAAAATTTAATTAACTAATGAATGATATTAACTATGGCAGAGCCATCTAGAATGAGCATCAGACCTGGTTAAGATTTGGAGATCGGTTTGGTGAATGACCAGAGGATGCTCTCTTCATCTTTTGAATCCTGGAACAAATAAAAAAGCATAAACACTTTGCAAACATTTTTGATATGCACATTTTGGGAAGGTGATGGTTTGCAGAGTCAGACCTGCTGATGGACTGAGCCAGTTTCTGTCTTCTTCCATTGGAGTTGTCCTGGAGTCTTAGACGCTGCACAAACGAGTGGGCTACAGACAAATGCATATATAAAAAGGTGGATTTATAATTAAATATAAATATTATTATTACTGTGCATGTTGTGAGCATTACCTAGAGCTCCTTTGGGTACAGAGAGCAGTTTGATGGGTTCAGCATCAGGAGACAGTCCAGAGGCTTTCTGCAGAGCTCTCAGGATCTCAGTGTTCTGTCAAACCATACATATATTATATCTACAGTTACAAACACACAATAATCCTACATGAGTGTGTATAGGCAATGGCTGAGGGTTTATATAAATAACATTAAATACGATTAAAGGAGCACTAAGTAGCTTTTCTCATTGAAGGCCCATCACAAATCATGTAAAGAGCCTTACCTTCCCTCCAAGCTCATAGGCACAGTCCAGGGCCGTCCTCTGCCTCTTGTTCCTGAGGCCTGGGGAGGCCCCACTCCGCAGCAGCAGCTCCACCAAAGCCTGATGCCCTCCCCTTACTGCCTCGTGGAGAGCTGTGTTCCCCTGGTTATTGGCCACATTCACCAGCGCATTACTCTGCACAACACATTTAGCTGATATAGACATGATGGAATGGGTACTAGTCTTACCAGAAAAATTGAACTGAATTTGATTTTATGAGCTTGCTATACAGTGGTGAATTATTTATTTATTATATATCTTCAATTAAATTTCCTCTATCAAATGAAAAAATAATATTACATTTCTGAGGGACAATTTTATACACAATTAAATAATTGTTCCAGAAAAAAAAATGTAATAGTAATAGTAATGGATATTATTGCTCTTCCCTAGATTTAAGATACATTTGGGACATGTGTTTACCTCTATGAGAACGGTGGCAGTCTCCAGGTTTCCTCGGAGGCAGGCCTGAATTAGAGGTGTGTTGCCAAAGTGGTCCTTTTTGTTCAGTTTGGCATTACACTCCAGAAGAAACCTCACCACCTACACATGGAAAATAACCATTTGTTTTTCTATTACACATTTTTGTTGAGTACATAATCAGTACAGCAGACAGATTGGAGTTGTTAAGTGCGATGTCACTACAAGGTCCCTCAGCGGATTGAAAACACGTTTACAATTTCCTCTTTTTTTTAGCGACAACACATCTCATATTAAAAAGAGATTTAGGTAATTTAAAGCTAACAAGGTTATAAGCATGGCTCTATGGTTATAACTGTGACAGAAAGTGTACAATGGCAGTTGAGGTAGTGCTTAACAATGACCATCAGGTAGATATACACACTGGTAATCCTATGTTATGATAGATTGATACAACATTATTTAAATTTGATAGAATTTGTGGTTAAATATACACTTTTAAAAGCTAATTGTCTATTTTTTGATTGATAAGGAACAAGAGAATATTAGAAATCAGATGTGAAGTTTCTGGTTGGACCCGGAAGTGACATCATCACTTAAAGGTGCTGTGACCTAACTCCTAAACCTATATGTATATTGCATCACCATTTTCCATACGTACTTTACTATATACTTTTACAGATACCCTTAACAGTGTTTTTGATGATAATCTCTGTGTATAATCCGAGGCCTGTCACCTGTATGTGGCTGTTTTGGCTGGCCAGATGCAGAGGGGTGGCGCTCTGGTTCGTCCGAGCATTTACATTTGCTCCATGTCGGATCAACAGAGAGACCAGAGCTGAGTGTCCATGTAATGCTGCGACATGAAGAGGAGTGAAGCCATCCACGTTACTGCTGTTCACGCCAAGAGAGCCAGGGGGCGCCACTGACAGCTGCACAGGACAGAGGGAGAGGGGGGGTCATTACATGCCGTTTCAAAGTAACACCAATACATCTCAGATTAATCAATTCTTTATTTTTATTATTTCAGCATTTATATAATTAATTGCTTAATATTTTGATGTTGTTTGGCTTGCAGGATACTTATGTTTATAAAGCACTGGGTGTTACACTCTATATCAGGGTAGGCAATTATTTTTTTCCATGGGGCCACATGAGAAACAGAAAATATTGTGAAGGGCTGGGCCAAAATGCTCAATTCTGCATAATATTAATTGTATTTCTTTAAAAAATGCTGTAAATAGCATTGTTTTGATAAGCTGGTAAGACTGGTAAGAGTATATGTGATGACTAAGCAAAAAAAAAAAGTGAGGTTGCCTTACAAAAAATGTCATTAAAAAAAACACCTGTAAAATAAAAGTAATGCAGCTTTAGTCCATGCACGAGGTAAAATTATAAAATATGTATATTTTGTAATTTCAAATTATCTTAAACAGGTCGGTCAGAGTCAACCAAAGGGCTGTATGTGGCCTGGGAGCTGTACAGTTTCCAGGTCTGCTCTATATGAATATTGAGATAAGCGTGTCTTATAACAAGGAAATTTTGCTGTGAAATGCCGGTACCACCAACTTGACACTATTCAATTTTCTTTTGCAATTTACTCAACAAAGCCACCCCTCCCCATTATTATAGAAGCAGGACACCAGAGTACCTTCTGAGTGGGAGCACATGTGGGACACTGACACAGAGGATGACACAGAGGAGCATCTGATCTCAGGTCTGTGTCCTCCTCCTCTGCCTCATCCATCCACTCCAGCAGGTAACGCATCTAGACACAGCATACCATAAGAACAATAAAGCATCAGTCACTCATTGTGATTATTTGGAGTATCAAGGTTGCTTTAGATTTAAATTTGTATTTAGTTTATTTATAAGCTGATTAAAGGTGCATTATGTAACTTTTCTGTTGGAGGGCTGGTAACTTGCTTGTCTCCATATTTTTTATGCTATGCCTGGTGTGTGCCACAGTTAAGGCATTAATGTTATATTTCTTGTTTTTTTCCCAATTACCCTCTCCTGACCTGTAAACTGGTGGTGTCACCTGCTTGTCCACAGATAAGCTTATTGCCATACTGTGGAACATTCCAGGGAAAGCAACAACATCTTATTTGAGATCAGAAAAGTTAAATAGTACAGCTATAAATCTCCAACAGGCACTGCAAGCACCAGTAACTCACACACAACCATTCATTGTTTAACATGGTAGGTTAAGTGTTATGCAACTCTATCACTATTTAATTACATAGCACAATATTTTTATAGTTTCCTGCTCAGTGACCTCACAAACTCACCATCTCTACATCTCCATCAGCTACAGCCCGCAGAAGCTTCTCCACCTGTCAAACAAGAGGACATTCTGACTTTGTGTGAAGCTTTATTAGTTACTTAAAATTACACCATTATTATAGCACACAGCTTGAAAGTAGGGAATGTTTCCTCGTTTACCTCTCTGTGTCGGACCCTCTCGGTCTCTGGTTTGACCTCTGACCCCAGTGAGGAGGTGCTGGACACGGAAGAGCGTCTGCTGCTGCAGTCTGAGGCTAAAGGAGAGCAGCTGGGAGACTAACACACAGAGCACAAGTCCGGTTTATATATGGTGGACAATTTCTATGTGAAATTTAAAAAATGTATAAATAAATAACTACACACAACACAAAGACATAACCTTTTATGTCTTTGTTAAGTAATATAGTGATATCTGAATTCAGATTTTTCATCCAATACTGTATATTAACAATGGAAATATTTTGATTCACATTAAATCAGCAGGTGGTATACCCATGACACAGAAAACGGTTTACAAAAATACCATTGTACTTTTTTACATTCATAACTGTGCAACTCAGTGACATTCAAGGACATTTCTTATTCTTTATCACTTCCATTAATGAAAAGCTTTATAAACCAACATGGCTCCTTTTTAAATATTGCCTTTTTAAATATTTACTATTGTCTTTTTGTCCTGTGAACCTATTGCTATGTCAGATTTAAAAATTTAATCTCTCAAATGGCACTTGTGATGCCTTTTTCTCAGATCTAGCATTAACCCTTTTTCCTCCTCTGTGTCTCTGCAGATCAGTAAATACTCACATCCACCCCACTGCTGCTGCGATGACGTCCATTTTCAGTCGATTGCAACAACATCAGGATCTGAAAGCCAAAAAACGGCATCTTTTTAACATTGACACACTTGTCATTTTGTAATTATTGGACCAAATGAATTATTGGATTAAGAGGATCAGTTGACTCTGGTCCTATGAATGGTCTAAGAAGCTTGAGCAGCTTAAGTTAGTAATATGGAGAAAATGTGAGCTTAGACATGGATTAAAATTTTTATGAACTGTGAGTAAAAGGGGAATAGGTAATTGGTTAAAATGAAGTGATTAAACAACCAAACTGGAAAATCAAGGGTTGGAAACAGCTCAGTGGTTAAAATTAATGCATTATTATTTCCCTTGTATTCATTTGTCAGTTCACATTTCAGTCTTTGTGTCAATACTTATGAAAGTGTTTAAAACATCATGTTTTAATAAAAGAATTTTGCATAAAGTTCAATTGCAAATCTAACTGCAGTTGCAATGCCTGTCAGAAAGAAAACTGTAATTAGATATTTTTCCCAAATCATTTAGCTGTGTCATAGGGTCACTTAGTCAAGGAGGTAGGCAAGTACTGTACTGCTAGGATTTAGAATACCTTATATTATTACTGTATTCTTGTGTCTGACCTTAGAGTTGAGTGCACACTGCAGTGGGGAGTCCTTGTTCTTGTTGACGATATTGGTGCTAGCTCCGTTCTCCAGAAGGACTTGGATAATGCTCTCATAGCCCCATCGAGACGCCATGTGCAGAGCAGTGTCCCCTTTGTCATTCTGGACATCCAGGCGACACGTGTGGCAGTCGAAGTACACCAGGGCCTTCACACACTGACGATAATGATACTTATTATTTAAGTTATCAAGATTGTTATTTAGTTGATATATTTAACAGCAAAGCAAACACTGATTATAGTGAGTATCATGCTCTTGAAATGCATGGAATAGTGCATGGAATAGAAGAAAATCTTCCACATAGAATTATATGTTTCACTGGGATGTTTTTGACCAAATTCAGTTATTACAATCTTGTTCTTGAATACAGTCTGCACACTTAAATCAGTATTTTGTAGGGTTTGGTAAAAATTTAGGCTTATATGGACAAACCCTCTTTCCTGATTCCATTGTGCTCTATGATCAGAACTTTAAAGCTCAAGTAGTTTAGAATTATAAGGGTCTATCAGCGATTTGGGTAGTTTGAGGGGATGTATACTTCATGATATACAAAAACATTTTCAGCATTTTCCACTAGATGGCAATATTTGTCTGTCTGCCAACAACTGGATTTAGTTTTTTTTTTCTAATAAGAAAAAGATTTTAAAAATACTGATGTGTTACTTACATCTTCATGCCCATACATGCAGGCCAGGTGCAGAGGCGTGTTCCCATTGTTGTCCTGAGCATCTGTGTTGGCTTTATAATGCAGAAGAAGCAGCTGGAACATAAAAATTTACATTAAAAAGGGGTGATTTTTTTCCCCCACCAACTTAGAAATGTGAATAACAGACCAGTTTATTTTAAACTGTTTGCAGTGGTCCAAACTTATTCCTCACTTTCCTACTGCATTTCTAGCATACTAATTATTCTCTGCAATGGGTTTCAGAGGTCAGAGGGGACTTTGGTTGTCACGGTAATGCAAACAACAACTAGCATGCTAATAGCACAACCTTATTTCCTGGTTTGCACATTATAAAAACAGTTCCTAATGCGATGCAGAAAAGAAACCTCAGTCTAAACACGAGTTCCTTTTACAGTTCTTCTGTGCTGGGGCAAAACATTTAGTTTATAAAATGAAAAAAGCAGGTACAGTGTATTTTTTGAAAATTGTTAAATACAGAATTGCACATGAATCCATTAAAGCTAGAACCTTCAAAATTGAATACTATTATCCATTTGTTTGCATGTATAACTACTGACTGATAGATACTTTATAAAACAGACAGAATAAATATGCTTAGTCTTACAGTGACCCCCTGGTATCCCCTCTGACAGGCAAGGTGCAGTGGAGTGAGGGCGTGATAGTCTGTAGCATTCACTGGAGCTCCTTTATGAACCAGTAAATCAATCAGCTGGGCTTGGCCTGAAAGACACAAGCAGGGGAATTATGGTTATTATGGTTTATATGTTTTTTAAACATGTCCAAGAGTATTAAGATTTTAGAAAAATATGAAATATGAAGTGCTAAACTAATAAAGAACAGAGAATGAAACATACTTAAGTTGGCAGGTTAGGGTACATAAAAAATGGGCAACAGTAGGTAAGCAGATTCATCTTCACTCCTACCTCTGCATATTGCGATCATGTCCTTAAGCAATACACTAAACCACCTCGGTGTCCCCAAAAAGCAAATCCAAAATGCTTGTACTCCAGTCTGTGAATGTGTGTGTGAATGGGTGAACAGTGGTACTTTGATGTAAGACCTACCTTTCTAACTAATAAAACTGAAATAAGTATACAATAATAACTTCCCAGTTACAACCATTCACATTGAAGTGTCATGCCCTTTTTTAATATTTGTAGGTGTTACTGTTGAAAATAGCAATATTTTGCTAACCACAGATAGCAGCAACGTGCAGTGGAGTGTAGCCCCGGTCGTCTCTAGAGAAAGGTGTGATAATGGAGGGGTCGTTAAGCTTCCTGTAACAACAATCACAAAAATGCAGTATAATTTACAAACATCAAATATGCAAAATAAAAATAAATAATAGTTGATTAATTGTAAAATGTATTAATTAATTGTAAAAACATTGAATGTAATACACCCAAATCTAGTGTATTTATTTGTTTGCCATTGCAAAAAAAATTAAAAATGTCTCTCTCTGAAACCACATTTTGGCCCATATATTTCAAATGCACAATGCCTTGTAATATTCTAATGACTAATTTGACCACACATGTATTGTATTGTTTTAAACCATGTGAAAGAAAAGTACACTTCTGTTTTATCATTAAAAATGGAACAGAAAGAAAACAGAAAGAGGAAATGTTTGAGGATTAATGAAACTGAAAAAAGTCTAAATAAAGTGTACAGCTCCAATGGTGCATTTACTTAAGGAAGTGATTGAGCACAGTACAAGCATCATTTGTACCGTGCAAAGTAAATTTAGCTGTTACTGGTTTACCTTCGGTTTGCACAAGTGGGGAACTTTTGGTAAATGACAAGTTCTGTACATCTGGAGTAGAACTTGCTCAGTCCTAATTTCCGCCCTTTCTCAATCAATTGAATAAAATAACATTATGTCAAAAGCCATATAACAGAAAGCTTAGATGCGCCTGGGAAGGAAATTTTACAGTGCAACTGCAAGTAGAATTTTTAAAATGTGTTGTTTTCTTCCACATTTTTAGGCTTTTTTCTGTAAGATACTCAGTACAGAAATGAAATGGTACAACAGATATAGATACAATACACTTTTATACGCTGTAACATATATATAAATATTTCCTTAAAAATGCCTGATATGCTGAAACAAGTGCATAAAAGTGCTGACCCAGAGAGCTGGAGGTCACAGAGGTCACAGGAGCAGAGCGGGTGGCACATCCGAATGTCCTCATCTGATTCTCCTTCACTCAAAAGACGCTCAATCTCTGCCTCATTTCCATTTGCTATGTGCTGAAAACATACAAGAAAAACACAAAATTCTGTTAAAACCAGATCAGAACAATGAGACATCATTACTTTTACTTTGTTTTTCCCCTAATATTTTTATACTAATACAGTACATTAGTTGAGGAAGCTGAATAGAATTCAAACCCTAACCAGAAATCTGATCCATTCAAACAGTTATTGTGTCCGGTCACTAATCTTTGATTTGATGGTGTGGTAGTAGTAGTGGCTGAGGCAGAAACCTCCAATGTGTCATATTTGTTCTATTAAATAAGTTAATTTAAGTTCCCTGAATACCTCCATACTCTACACGCCTGGCTTATACTGTTAATTGTCTGTTTCAAACAACAACACTCAAAATATAAAAATAAACCAAAAGCAAATCTCACCTCAAACAAACAATGTATAGGGGAGGCAGCAGTCTGAGCCAGCAGACTCATCCTCTCCTTAAACAGAGCCTTGTCGTTCAGCTCACAGCCCTGAGGGGAGGCACAAACACATGGTGTTTTAAATGATTGACCAGATTGCTAATATTTCTCAGGTAAACATTGTAAATTAGACATGGTTCTTAATGTCCTGCCTGGGGAGATAAAGGTAACTAAGGCCTTAAACTCGCTATGCAGAAGGTTTCACCAAAAATCAGCATATTAATTAATAGCAACTTTACCTAATCACCAGATATTTTAGCTTAGCCTAAAAGGTTGGCAATGTATGGCATTCAAGTCAAAGAGAGGGACGTACTGATCGCGCATCCTGCAGCTTTCCAAGGTTGATGTACTCCACCGCGGCCTCAAACGTGCTCAGACAGTAGCTCAGCTCGTCTTTGGTGGAGTGGCTGAAGCAGAAGTTCCTAATGTAGCTTAGATTGGCCATCCTAAAGAGCAAGGGCAAAATATATTAGTATTAGCACTTAGGATATTGATCTGACATAAAAACTGATCAATATAGCTTTTCCTCTAGATCCATATATGAGCAATACAAATACAGCCATGAGAATATAAGATATATATATTATTTGTTTCTTTTATAATATCATGAGAAGAAGATGAGCTTCCTTTTTAATTTGCCTTCTAGAACCTTAACATCCTAATGCTGAACTGTGTCAATCATAACATCAGGAAAAGATTCACATAAAAGCTAGCATCATAAATATACAAAATTACAATTAAGTACAAGGACATAAAATGAGCAGTGATCCAGTTGGGCACTCCCAGTATCTGATTCTTTTTTTAGTGTAACAAGACATGTCCCTCACAAATTTACTTTCTGACCCTTGAAACACTGCACAAACATCTCCAGGCAAAAGTCAGTCTCACCAGTTTGGGATTTCTGTCTTGACGAGGAGATAGAGGATGACGGACAGGAGATCGTCTGCACTCACTGCCTCTATGCTCACTGAGAAAAAGAGAAGTTCAAATAATACACATATTAGATTACTTTTACGTAATTAAACTTGAGTGTTGATGATATGTCCTAAATGATAGAAATTTCTTAGCTTTATCATTGACCAGCACCAGTCCAGTGCAAACAAATCTAGCTAAAATGCAGCATATGGAGGCATGCCGTTTTAAGACAATAAAAGGCAGTACAACAGATTTCTTGTAGCTGGTGTTCCCCACTCACTCTGGGAGGCTAACAACTAAATAACTTCTTTTACAAACATTAATTTATGGCGGATCGTACCACTCTGGGTTAAGACAGAGGGGTCGTTGTGCACTAACTAAGTCCTATTTCCAAAAGGAAACTGGACAAACGCATTAAGGGCCTACAGAGCAGGGGCTGTGTGTGTCAGATGTGATTAAGGGTCAAGATCACCCAGAGTTCACTCCTGGTAGTATGGAAGAAGTGTGCAGGTCAAAGTTGGTAAATTATTGTTTTTTAGCCAACAGAGAAATAAAATAGAAATGTATGATTTTCATAACTGATTTAATTTTATTTGTTGTACCGCCTGACTAGTTTTATCATGGAAATGACGGATAAAGATTACTCAAATGTGCATGAATCATACTAAATACAACTTTGAGGGTCAGTGAGAAGGGAAAACAACTAATTTATTTATTTATTTATTTAAAAAATGTATTTTGCATAATTGACCTACTTAAATTCTAACATTAGAAACAGTGGATTGAATGTATCCCTTTGCAGATGCTCTCATACAAAACCTTATTAACTATTCCTTCAAATCATTTTGTGAGATAATTCACTTAAACTTCCATAGGCCCTGTATAATAGATTAGTTTTAATATGAGTTTGTATCCCAAGCTCTCATGTTGGCATAATTATCTACAATTTACTTGACAAATGGTTAAGTAATGGTCAGAATACATATGAATGGTATTGGTACAACAAATTTCAGATGGAGGAAATTTATTCTTTTGATGATTGATTGAAGTCTAGACCAAAGAGATGGATGAGATGGACACAGTGAAAAAGGACACGATGATAATCTATAGTGTTTCCAGATAATGATGTATTTGAGTGCTCACCTGTGCGCTTGGTCGTTTGAGTTGCTGTCAGAGCCACTCTTCGTAAACACATGAGTTTGAGGAGCGGTGACGTCTGCTGGTTTAACTGACTCAGCTCCCTCTTGGCCCGGGATAAGTTTATACTGCAAACCATCAAAACAAAGTCACATTTTAATACAAAAGTAACACATCAAAATGAGCTCAAATCCCACAGGCAATAGGCCCCAATACTACCTATCCCACAGTTTGAGAACCAGTAATTTAAGCCATCTGAGCTGACCTGAAGTCCGGTTTGACCCCCAAGTCCTTCTGCTGCAGCTCCCCCAGACTTCGGGCAATTTTGTTGAAGGTAGCATCCTGTGGAGAGATGGACCACAGATTAGATAGACTTCACATAACAGCCATGTAGTGTGAACAATGCCAAATCAATATTCCACTGAAGCTTTGGTAAAAATCTTAGTGTCACATGTTGAGTTTGAGTCTAAGTTTAACTTGTGATTTATGTTATGTTAATTATTTATTAGCATACAGTATAAATGTTTCAGCATATCAGTACATATTGGCTTTAAACAAAAGGAGAGTGACATGGCTACTTTACAATAACTTCATTTTTAATAGGCTTAATAAAGCATGAACAATGGTGACAAGAATGATTCAGGCTTAGTAAATACATAATGAATGCTCTAACTCTTAACCCCAACACCTAGAACTAAGCTTGAATATTTCATAATAAAGTATTTGCTCATTATAATCTAAGGCTTTGTTCATGCTTTATTTAGGCATAGTCATTTTAGAGGCCCCCATATTCCCATAACCTTTTTGTTAGTGCCTACGTTCTTGTCCACATCTACATAAAACCAATCAATGAATTGATTTTGTTTTCTCATATAAAGCAGGTTACTACTCCTTATGTAATGTTCTTAAAGGTCAGGTCACAGGATCACAAATGGTTTAGTTCTGCAGAAAACAGACATCAAAGTGGAGAATAAGCCTCACCTGGCTGGCCTCCAACGTTCCCACAAAGTTAAAGATAAGATCATGGATACCATGAAGAACATAAATCTGCAGCAGAAAGACAAAGGCTGGTCAAAACAGACACACAATTATAGTATGGCAAAAGTTAACCTGTAGAGTGAGAATAGATTTACCATTTATCATTTATTAGCAATCTCTTAATATCATCGTGGGTGAATTGTCTTGGAGCATACAATGGGACAGGAATTGAACTAACAATATTCTGGTTAGCTGAGAACACTTAACCTATTGTGCCATAATATATTTTAAATAAATGTTTTGAATATTTTGAGACCTTCTGGAAACTCCATTTTACCAGTAGGAAATTTAAATGACCTGCAGGTGGCTAAATGCTTTGAATAATGTAAATCGTGTTCTACCTCCACAGCCTGCTTCAGAAGAGTCATCTGAACCTCCTGTTTGGCCAAGAGCTTCTGTGGAATAACCAGATCAGAGTGAAACACATGCATTAGTCACTGCATAGGACCTGATGCAACCGTTGCAGTCATATGGGCCTCTCTGCAAACTGAGAAGAGAAAGACATAGACATAGACACAGAGGGAAGGCCAGTGTTGTGACATACTGTAAACTAGGAGGTAAAAGGTTAAATGTGCTCTGTGTAACATTTTGGGGAAAGGGTCTGTCACCTGCTTGTATCCATGAAGAAGTTATTGCTTTGCCTGAAATGTTCCACAATATTGCAGTAAACTTGTATAACTTGAATTTATTTAATTACAGGGGATTTTATTGTCATGCATTTTTACGGAGAGCACTTCTCCACAGATCTGACCAGTAACTTCATGGAGATAGATGTTTAATGTCATACTAAGGGACAATTCAGCAGTAACTAATTTAAAGATACACCCATCTGTATCTCATCTCCATGGAGAGTTATAGTATTTCAGATGAACTAATTTCAGTTGCAAACCAAAAAGAACATATATTGGTGAGAAGGTCATTTGACAATACAAAAAATATCAAATTCCAACTTTTCTCCCTGTCACATACCATTTATATTTATAGATTTAAAAATTATCTTACTCAGATAATTGTTTCGTCCTACGTGTAGTTCTACTATAGTTTAATTCAACAATGTATTTTTGAGGCATGTAATTTGCAGAAGACATGAACTAAAAAAAGAAAAGGTGTGGCAGTGGCTATCCAATAGTGGAACAAGTTCAAACTGAACCATATCAACTCTTGAGAGACTTTTCCTGAAAAAGAACAGTTAGTTAAGATCTATTTAGTGTGGCATTTATGTATTGGTCTGTTGAATGTTATGCATTGTTATTCTCATTTAAATGTTTGGGAACTCCGATATATGCTATAAACTAGCAGAGGAAGTACGCCCTTAAAAAGTGACTGTATATTAAATCAGATCAAATAGGGTTAACTCACCAGACGAGAGTCCCTCAGCAGACACTGAAGACATTTAGTATAGAGGCCATTCACAGAGTCCTGTTTGGAGCAGACAGAAAAATATGTGCTCATGAGACTCATCAATCTGCTTTTAAAAATACTAAGACTTATACATGTGCAGTGTTTGCCTTTTCCCTGTTGAAACCGACCTTGTACATAAAGCAATATATCTGTTACTACACTAGCATACTTTTGGTTAAATTATACATCCTATGTCCTATTACAACTTCGGTCCTGTTCAGTCGTTCTGACTTTTAAAAATATATTACTAGACCATCACTGAGCACCAATTATCACATTTTAATAAAAAGTAAATATCAGAGAAGTAAATAAAGAGAAAACTCACAATAGCTTAATAACTTTACAATATACTGCAAGTCTAAAAAGAACACGGGTGTCATACTATGTGATTGCGCAGTCCCTTCCTCTCCTGCTCTTTGAATGATTGACAGAAGCTCTGGATGAATTTGTCCAGTCTGAGAGCGTGGCGTCCCAGGAAGTCCCGCACCTCCTCCACGCTCCTCAGGCAGTAGGGGGGTGGATGGCAGGGGTCAGAGGGGCTGGACTCGTCCTCCATGGGGCGAGAGATGCACAGGATACTGTAGCTCTGCTCCTGGTCGTTATAAAAGGTCTCCTCAAACAAAATGGGGATGGAGGCTGGGGAGGGGAAACCAGAGCCCAATACCACCTGTCGGTCCTGGATACGCACCTCCTACAAAGGACAAGAGCTTTTGATGTTTCAGAGATACATTTTTGGGACCAATCAATCATACTGTCAATAACTTACTTATTGACAGTATGTACATAAATTATGGTTTCAAATAATCATGATTTAATTTTGACCCAAATAAGTAAAAAATAAATAAGTATCCACAAGAAGTCATAAATCATAATAATACACAGAACTACAAAAGATAAGAAAAATCAAGAGTTACCAAACCTTTGGTTCAGTCTAAGTAAAAATGTTTTGAAGTTTGTTTTGATCCAAACAAACTAGCCACAACAAATTCTTATGTCCAGTCCTAATCTGTCACATTTTGTCAATATATTATTGAATACTGGTGGGATGTTATTCAGTCACCATAGAAATAAACTATTCCTCTGCTAAATAAATTAGTTTGAATCAAATTTTCATATTTTCAAAAGTTTATAATTAGATTATGTGTCAAGAGAGTTGCAATGTGGCTCTCAACTGGGACAACATGGTGACTTAGTAAATTTAAGGCCTTTCTCTGCATATTTGTATATGACAATACATATGTCAAAATAATACTATACTTGATTAAAAGCTTCAAACCAATACTATGTAATATTTGGCTGAAGGATAGATTTCCCAAGTATATTGGGTAAAATCCAAACCTTTCCATCAACAGTGTGGTATCCATCCTCTGTTGGCTGAAGAACGTAGCTCTCAAACTGAGAGTCTGAGAAATTGCTGCTCGTCAAACTCCCACAACAAGGAACCAGCACCTACAAGAGAAGACATTATTTAATAGATTATACAGTGAGGTCCTTTAAGCCATGTTGGAATGTTGTTACATCATCAAAAACATACCTGGAGTTGTGTTTTGTTTTATTCACAGTTTGAATAGCCTTTATTATTTTTCTACCTGCATCTTCAAAGTTCAAAATGATTTATTCCACCTTGTGATGTCATGAAGCGGTAGTTTTCAAGTTAACAGCTACCTTATACCTTTAGTTCAGTACAGACTGGCAATTCCGACTGTTGTTTAAAATAAACTAGATACATTTTTCACAGTTTATTAAATTATGAGTGGAAGTCCACAGTCAGTCTACAATCCATTCAAGCCCTGAGTGTAATCCAAGCATGTGATTTGGGAGTTCAGAATTCAGAAAGAAATTTTACATTTATGTTTGTTAAATGACAATGATTAGAAGGTTGTATTGTTTATCTTTGAGGAATATATACTGAAAAAAACATGTTTGAGTCAAAAATAGAATTCAAAATCATGATTGATTAAAGAGGAAAAAAATATATTTTGTCATATTGCCAATCCCCAGAGTTAGCCTAGTTAGGCATCACCAAGTACTGGTACCAAAAAATAAACTGAACAGTACCCAGCCCTTGTTAGAATACAAAGTGCATTTTATTGTGTATGTGCTACATACTAGGCTGGTGTATTGTTATGGCTGATCAGGGAATGTAGGCTACTTACAGAAGGCCCAGACATACTTCATAGACCAAGGTTTAGAGCAGAAGTCAGACTTGTGTAACTTATTTTGCGGTAGTCTGCTTTTCAGTGCATGCTAGTGTTGTAATTGATTAAGAACAGTAGAGTTCAAAATTCCTCTCATCTGATTTTAATTTTTTCAATATTTATGAAAAAGGCAAATGATTTCTTTTTATCTCAAATGTTGCTGTATCTTGTAGCTTGCACGCTTTGTCAAAACTAACCAGTGTCAACCTTATCAATTTAAGCAAATCCACATGTTATAATGAAGATAAGCTCCGGTGTTACATAATTACATCGGTGTAGAAAAGTGCAGTGTCAAATATGCACAGGAAGGACAGACCTCTGTCTGACTATTTCCTCTGTTGCGAGAACAATGCCAGTGACAATGGATGAGACAGAACATTTTGGAAAAATATCAATTGGGAATTAAATGTAGCAATTATTTAAATCAAAACATACTCAGAGTTGTGTTTTGTTTCATTTACACATTTAGCACACAAAGCATATTTAGCCTGAGTTCCACCTTGTGAAGTCATGTGGTAATAGAAAGTGCTTCACTTTTTAAACACTATAATCATTTGGATGATTTCAGCCCAGGAATTTCCCATCTCTACTGAACAAAAGGCAAAGACAAAAGGTAGCTGTTAATTTGAGAACTACCACTGCATGACATTACAAGGTGGAACAGAGCATTCTGAGCTTTGGAGATGTAGACAGACTAATAATAAAGAGTTACTCAAACATGTGTGAATGAAACAAAACACAAATCCAAGTATGTTTTTGAGGAAGTAATAGCAGTAACATGGCTTAAAGCTCATAAGAGTCAATTTTGTGTTAATATTTTAGTCCTAGTAAGTCAATAAATCTAACCAGTGCACACTGTTAACACACCCTAGTTTGAAATAAATAAATCCATTAAAATAAAATATAATAGAATGCAATACAAATAATACATTTCTAGCAATCAAAATTGCATTAATTTTGAGTGCCATATATATGTTACCTTCCCTTAACATAAAGACTAGAGCCCAAATGAGATACGATGATAATAGCACTACTTATATTATGAGTTGAGACTCACAATGCCATGTAGCTGGGCCACGTGGCTGCACAGGTCGGCCCTCTGCTTCTCCAAGGACAAATAAAAGGGGTTCTTCAGGATGTTCTCATCATAAACAGCCATATGGATCTGGAGGTCTGGATCCTAGATTAGACAGACAAGGACAATAATGTAGTTAAAGGGGATATGTTATGAGAAATACTTTTATCATTACTTCATCATGAACATACTCAAAGTTATATTTTGATGAAAATATATTATATAGTATATCTTTAGATTGACTCATGCATGCTTGAGTAATCCTGCACTGTTCTGTATTTGTGGCTTGAGAGAAAATTTCAGTTTTCACCTAACCCCTATGTCTTGTACTTAATTGCAATTATACATAAATGGTGCAAAATATTCACATAACCATAAATGAAAATCTGCTGTTTGCTACAGAGAAATGCAGGTTTGGACAGGAAGTAAATGCACCTGTTTCTATTTGCAAGAAAATTTTAAATTATAATCTTTGAATGCAATAGTTTAATATTCTTGGAAACAAAGCATAATATGTCTTTTATAAAGAAACAGATAAGATAGATAAGAAGATAAGGAAAATAGATCAACTCGGATTGGACAATTAACCTGCCCAGGGATGACAGGTGGAAATTAGCACTGGTGCTACAACCTGGTACAAAGGAGCTCTCCTGTTAAGGTTAATGTATATTGTGCACTGTCCCTGTCTCATTAAATAAAAAAATAAATGAAATAACTGAGGAACATGAACTGCTAAAACTGATACAAGAATTACTTGCTTTTTTGAACATGTTTGTTTTTTTGCTTTTAATTTTGCATGTAAAAAAAGGGATATTGTCCATCTAAAAACATTAAAAACAAAAATAGCTGCAGCCTTAATATAGCCTGATTTTGTCTTGTAATTTCCCTGGTGGATCAAAGGACTAGATAATAGAAATATTTCATACAGCAATTCAAACACTTGTCCACTCAAAATCATATGAAACTAATTGTTGTTGAACTTCTTTTCAAAGCAAAGATCTCATGATTCCTCATAACGTGCTCTCAAAGCAAAATGAAGCAGGACATGGTCTATATCCATTTATAATTGATTTGAATCAGCATATGGCCTTATGCTTTCACACAAACACTGACACTGAAATCAATTAGTATTGAAAACGAGTTTGAAATTTTAGTGTAAAAACTAATCAGTGCTAATATCGACGTAAACGATACACATGCATTGTATGCATATGTATTTTTATTGGCTCAATACATTAGCGTTAAACTTGTTTTACATGTCAAATCTGTGGAGAGGCACCAGCTCACAATAAGGTTACCGACCATCCACGAGGAAAAAACAGACAGTTCACCTAATTATATCATTATAGAATTTTCTTGGTTGAATAAAAGTATGTCCTGCCGCTCAATGAAACAACTGAAAGATATTCAAACTATTAAGTATCTCTATGCATCTAACCCAAACTGCACAAGGCTAGAAGAGCACATGAGTTCATGCAAAAGCAACTATTTATACATAAAAATACTAGGAAACAATGTATTTATATAAAGACAGAATAAACTTTTGAATCATGACTGTAATCTACTTTACATAAATACCAAAAATATTTTCAGCTCATTCACTCAGTCCCTAACTTCCTTTCTGCTGTTGTCCCATATAAATCCTTATAATCTCAATAAAATGATTAATCGACATACAATTTTTGTTAGACTTAGACACTATCAACCGGGTAATCGACTAAGCTAAAGGCCCTACTTCTCACAGTCGAATACTTGTTTTTTCATGATATTTTTGAGAAATAAGAATACCTGTAATTACAGTTACTCCAGTTACAGTAAGTGCACTTCATAAGAATTTGTACACAATAAAGTACTTTAATTGCTGAGGTTTACATAAAGGATTATTTACTGAAATGCACATTTACAAGACCACAGTGTCAGTGTTTGACTGCTCAACTTCATCAACAGCAAAATGGCAAATATTAAATCAAAGCCATAAATTCATTAATTTAGTTTTGGTAACATTAGGACTGGCAATAGATATTTTGTAGAGATGAAAATGTGCATTCAAGTTAGGGCAGTGAAATAAATATGGCCTAAAAAAGTGTGCTTCCACTCTTCACACCTTATGAGTTTTTATTATCCTCTGCAGTCAGCATTTTAGTCACACATGCCTCTCCTACTCAGCAACAAAGAAAACCAGCAGCAGTGCATACATAATTATCACAATATTCAAAATTTCATATCATCCCCATATCTCAGACCTCTAAAAACATATTCTGAAATGCATGGGACTGCATTATTAGTTTAGGAATCCATAGTTCTTCTCTATACTTTCTGTCAAATATTAACACTGCACCTTAACATGTTATGTATATTAACACTTAATCCGTACATGTTTAAAATGTAACTGACAATTCTACTGATAAAACATATTTTGCAAATCTAACCACAGTTCTTAAACTGAACTTTTTATTATAAATGTTTTTATTATTTTTTTAGTCCTACCATCTGACCTAAATCTGACCTCTGTGACTTCTGTGACTTTTTCTAAATATAACATGAGCTGCTCCTCTTATGTTTTCATCTTAACCATTTAATCAACATTATAATTGGCAAGAAATCAATGATGTAAAAGGTCAGACTAAGGATTGCGAAGAGGACAGCTGATACGGTCTGTGGTACTTGCCACTGTAAAAATAAGAAAATGCATTTAACTTGTAAATAAAGTAGTTATGTTTTTATAATAATTGTGCAAACACATAGCTACTTTTAGCTTTGTTGCTTTTCCATTTATATTTTAACTTACTAGTTGGTTTAAAGACACATCTGATGAACTGAGGATAACAGGCACACACAAACCGATGCTGTAAGATTAGATTACTTGCAATCAAATCAAAATTTAAATTCAAATGGACCCAATTAGCAAATCAGAAAGACCATATTTAAAAAAAAACCCACAATTTTCAACAAACAAACAAACTATCCCGTTTTATCTTATTCGGCATAAAGACTGCTAAGCCTAGTTAAGATCTGTACACATGTATGTTCTGAAATGTAATTCTCTGCAGAAAAATCCTAATTAGATATTTTCCCCACATCATTCAACTCTACAATACATGAAAAAAGCATATTGGGGATTATTGTTTCATTATCTTGTATAATAATTACAATGCATGATACAGAGCCACATATGTGCAAGGGACAGAAGTTTCCCCAACATACAGGACTGTACTGTAGTTGACAAAAGTCGAGAAGTATTGTTGAACTGCATTCGTATGTAAACACTGCAGTAGCATACTCATTCCATGTCTTCTCTTTCCTGATGTACTTAATATAACTGATTTTAATTTAGGTAAGTATTAAAATGTTGGTGAACTAAGACACTCAACCTACCGCCCTGCAACATAAAACTACACATAAGATCTCTGTGTAAAATAGACCTGTACAAGGTTCAGATAGTACAATACTCACCTCCTCACTTGAGCTTCATGTTCCCTGCACTGCTCCTTCAGCTCAACTCTCAGACTGAAGCATGACACGTTCTCCCTCTCCCTCCTTTCCCTCTGTCTCTCCTCTCTCATTCTCAGCTGAAGCAGTCATGTGGGTTCTCTGTCCTATGACCCAAAGATCTTCAGCTCAGAGGAATGTCCTTTAAGCCAATCACACTTCAGACTTCCAGAGGCTTTTACAATGCAATAACAGGTTATGTGGTCATGGAATAATATGTGCCACTTGTTCAGTACACATTTTATAATAATTATATTCAATCAGCCAGTGTTTCCCATTAATAAAATAGTTTATGGTATAGTCTAAAATAATCCCCCATAGTCCCCCACGAAGATGGACTACAAGACACTGACATAACAATATCTCACTGTCGCTATTTTGTATCGTCATTACAATAAAAAGTAAGAAAAGTCATATGCACTGAAACACTGAATCAGCATTCACCAAACATAAGGCTACAAGAATTGGCACTTGCTACAAAAAATACATGAACAATTCCAATTATTTGTCTTAGGGTTTGGTCCACTTTTGAGGCAAGTTTAGTTAGATTTATATAATCTTTTTTTTTTTTTTTTTTACTTTCTTTGACATATCACCTACCTTTTGTGTGAATGAGTGATTGGTCTTGGTCAGAGGGTTTTATGGCACAGATTGGCAGCCTCAGTTCAGTCAGTCTACCCCAGGGCAGCTGTAGCTGCAGGAGGGGCTGACCATCATCAAATATGACGTGCTATACAAGACTACTGCATTACTTTTATTTAGGGATGGATCGTCAGATTTTGGAGGGTTTTCACAGAAATCAGTCTGATATGACCGTATACTCACTCCCAGAAGGTGCTACGCTGTGGTGCCCCAGGACCTGCTTATGGACACATAGGTATCTTGTGATGACCTCTGACTATTGTCTGACTGTAGTGTGATGTGTGAGTGTAACTATGTTTTTAAGCTGTGGGTAATGAGTCCAAGACAAATTTTCCCTTAGGGACATTAAAGTTTATCTTATCTTATACAACCGTGCAATCATGAAATTATATCCCAGTTGTTAGTTTTTCAAAAGTGAAAAGTTAATTTCAGATCTTTAATTAATTTTGTGGTCCTTGGTGTGGATTATGACATCTTAATATCAGTTTTTAAAAATTACATCAGAAATGGCGATTGATCAACTGATTCATTGTTTACTATGTTACAGACTCTTTTACTCTTGAGGGTGAAAATATGTGTTATAATTGACCCCAACCAAACCACAGGCAACAATAACAGACAAAAACTCGATGAAGAGGCAATTTTGCATCCCAGATAACATTTCTCTGTGAAAGAAGATACCACTCCTAACTGCTGGTTTTGCTCAGTCGATGCACATATTTAAAGTGAAAACTACAGCTAGGCACACATGACAAGCCACATACACTTTCTTTGTTTGAACACTGCCTGGAAACATACAACTACAACCATGACTAATATTACAATGGAAATAGTCAAAAGGGAAAAACCATGCCATTTACAACTGTTCAGGTCAAACTAGGGCAGAAAGCATATAACCTTTCTATTATTTTCTAATTGAGATAAGTTTAAGTTGTAAAGATTAAGACTCACTTTTAACATTAGAAGCAGCTGATACTAAACTAAAACTAGTATTGATACTCCTTTCTCCAGGTGTCGACATTAAAGTCACATTCACCAATGTTAATCACACAGATTAGTATACGCTCACGGACGACTATGGAAGCAGCATGAAGACCACACGGTAATATAAAAGAATTAGGAATTAGTGTTGAAGTTTTTAACAACAATGACAGTTTTTAATTGTCATTGTGGTATAGGAATCAGTACTGAGAATAAAGTCTATTCCTTAGTATCAAAATTAAGTTTTAAATTTTAGTACTGTGACAACACTACATTTGAGAGTGAAATATAACCTAAATCTAACAAATACAGGAAATTCATGCATTTCAGAACATCTTTGGAGATGTCTAAACTAAAGTGCTGGCAGATTTTATAAATAAGTGGATTCCATAGATAAGGCAGCGTTTGTTTGCAGAAAACATGATATCACCTAAATAACTATTGCCCCTTTCCGATTTGACAGTCGCAACCATTCAAATGTTAGCATTTGATCCTACAGCCCTGCACAAGAAGGTATTGATCCCATCATATCTTAAAAATACATTCAATCATCACAAAATATTTGTAAAATATATCACACAGTAAACATGGTAAAGACAAACAGAAAACATTTTTCAAATATCTATAATAAACTCTAGATTGCAAACATAGGCTTACTCCTGTATATGTATTCTTGCAGTCAAAACCCCCATTGTTACTTACTGATGACCTCAGTGATATCAAAGGAAGAGGTCAGACAATGTATTGATTATTTGGCTTTGTTCTGGCCCACATGTGAATGCAGTTTCCCTGTCTAGCATTTAATGGTGTCCTTTGTTTATTTATTCCATATTTTTGTTTTATTAATCAACAAAAACAGCAGTCATTATAGGAATATAGGAATGCTTTGCTGAGTAATGGCCTACACTTAAATGGAATAAATTGAAACCAGATTTTGAACTTGTGATACTAAATCTTTATAAGCCTTGCTATCTTAAATTGAATTCAAATTGTAACTTTGAATGTTTTAAGGGTGTTAAGCAGGTGGCTGACCCTTCACCAGAAAAGTTGTTTCCATGGATATGTCATTGCTCTGCCTGCAGTGTTCCATAGTATGACATTAAACAGCTCTACCTTACAATTATTCAATTACAGGTGGATTTACAGCTCCAAAATACCAAGAAAAGCAGGGATTATAAGTGGTGTTGCCTCTTCACATATCTGACCTGTAACTCGGTCTGGTTTGGTCTCCATGATGATAGAAAGGTTTAATGCCATACTGTGAAACATTCCCGACAAAGCAATAACATCTCCATGGAGAAGGCATTTATACGTACCTTCCACCAGAAAAGTTACACAAAGCAGCTTTAAATGAATAGCATAGAATAAGAAGCTATATCAAACTAAAACACATGATTTTGAAACATACTGCTACTGTAACATCTTCATCAAACCATTACTCCACAATTTGGCTTTGTTTGCAAGTATAGGTTTATGACGTGTGATTGACTGTTCCAAATTATAAGACACGTAGACGCGTTTTAACAATCAAACGCGCGATCAGGAAGCTTTAAAATTAGCTTACACGACAACAAACAGCACGCGAGCCCATAACAAGTGATCCTAGCATCGCTAGCATTTAGCATTACGTTGCCATCAAAGCGAGCCATTGCACTAGCTAACAGCGTGTGTAAAGTGCAGCTATTTAAAGCAAACAGGGAGTAAAAATAGATGTTTACCTGTTTTCAGCTCGTATCACCGTTCATCCAGGCTTTGGCATGGCACTCCCAAAGCCCGCAGCCGCCTGTCATGAGCTGTTTACGGTCATCAGCTGGTGCAGGAGCGGCGGTAGTCTCAGGAGTACTAGTGAGGTTGTAAAATAGTAGCCAGGAATGCGATTAAAGGGAGGTGTTTTAAAACGTTTGTTCTTCTAGCCTATGTCTTATCGATAGACGAAATTATAAAGAGGACTACTCTCTGTGTGAACGAACTGCCGACTACAGCAGTGAGATCTGGGTTATTGGTTAAACTCCGACTTGACCCGAATTGGCTGTATGAGAAAAAGACCGACGCCGCCACCATCAGGGCAACAGCTGTATGCCCATTTAGTTCACTGAAAAATCACTAGAAATATTTGTGGTAAATACATTTTTATTCTAAAATTATTTCATCTTGATAAAATAATGAAAATATCATATCCTGCTGTATCTACTCAGAAGGCTAATTCCCTCATGTTTATGTAATGACCACTCAAAAATTATCTTTGAAATTAAGTTTGTAATTTATTTATACTATCAGACTTTCAAAGCAAATAATTAAACAGTGTTGTGAAAAGCATTTGGGACTGTTTCTCTTCTCTCGGGTATTATAATTTGTTCTGCAACAGTGGTTAACTCCCCAAAATCAATGCAGAAATGCATTATTGACTTAATAAATTAGGCTTGATTTGCTGCTTGCTTGTTCAATTGCAAAAAATAAATTCAGTGAGAAACAATAATCCGCAATCTCTGAAACTCTAATCAGGTTTAATTGCTGACAACGCAGATACTTTCACAGCTAAATTTGGTGGTTCATGCCATGCTCAGTTGGAGAAGTTTGACTTAGTATAATTTTTTATTTATTGGCCTTTTATTTAACCAAGGCCAGTCCCACTGAGATTCAAAATAGTACAACAAACTTACTAAATGAACAAGGGTATTTATCACAAATTTTGAACCACTTTAACAGTTTTTATGAACTTAAAACATATACATGCACATCAGTATCCCGATTACTAGCCATATCCCAATTATAGCAGTATATTACGTACACATGCGCACTGAGAAACTGGGACACTCATATCAGTGTGTACATGCAAATGTAGTATCCCGGTTTCTTGACATGATCTTACAAATGCGCAATCCCCAAAAATATATATTTAATAAACCAGGAAAAATACAAACAACCATGAGCTCCTTAAGCATAGGAACCTCTGGAAGTTCCTAACCAGCGGTAAGAAGCTACGATCTGCGACCAAACTATTTGTACTATTGTACAAGTTCTACACTGCAGCAGATTCTTAATTAAAATATTCTGCATAAATAAACTCAACTTTACAACATATAAACCATACCCATTATAGAGCCACATCAGCCTGTTAGATAATATAATGCAGCTTTGCACACATTTGTAATTAATCGGGGATACTACATTTGATCATGTATACAGTAGGAATGGGCATCGATTTTGATCGACAAACCGAAAGTAGCGTGGCTCCACTGCACGCGTATTTTGCCCTATGCGAGTGTAAAAACAGCAACTTTTGGACACATAACTTTTAGAACGCATTGGAAGTGAATGAGCGCGGCCCCAATGCACGCGCTAGACATGTGTATGGAGCACCTTGGCATGCGTGCGTAGATTTCAGAAAATAGGATCCATCCTATTTCTGACGCTTTACGCGAGCATAGGCGAGTATCCCTATCAAAAATACATAGAGAGCGTGCATCTATTGTTGTATTTGTGCATTTACCATGTCTCTCAATGGTAAAGCCGATCAAACTTGACTGGGAGCGTTTAGCCACTTGCATCAGGTCCACAGCGAATCTAACAGCTGAACAGGCTTGTATTTACCTTCTGTACATGCTGACCAGGGTAAACGCGAGGATTTCAAAAGTAAATTTAAAAGCACTAATTAACGGTCTTTCCAGGCCTGGGCTCTTTCAAACGATACCGAACCGCGCCGGGAGCACATTGTGCTGATGGTAAACGCACAAATACAACAATAGATTCATGCTCTCTATGTATTTTGATGGGGATACGTGCCTACAATCGCGTAGAGCGTCAAAAATAGGATGGATCCCATTTTCTGAAATCTACGTGCGCAGGACGTGCTGCTCCATACGCGCGTCTAGCACGTGCAGTGGAGACACATTATAATGTGTTTAATGCAGCTTTGGCTGATCTGGCTCTTCAGCGGTTATGGTTTACATATTGTAAAGTTAAGTTTATGTATGCAGATTAATAATAGTAATAATAATTATGATAATTTTAATATAAGACCATTAATGATTATCGATAATCGATTGTTAATTCTATGGTTGATAACCGGAATACTGATATGCATGTAAACTATTGCTTTATTAAAACAATGTAAACGCACTATTGATATTGGATAAACATTAGCTCAGTAAATTAACAATACAGGTAAATCAAATTGTCAGTTTTGCTATGAAGGATGAACCATAGCAACCTTGGTACAACTTACCCAAAACAGAAACTTTCAACATTCACAAAAAAAACCCACAAAATTATTGCCTCCTCCTAATCCAATTATTGCCCATTCTGCTCAATTTAATCCCTTATTGCAGGTGCCTGGCTGCTGCCGCACCTAATCCCCAGTACCACCTCAGCTTCTCATCATTTCAACATCCCCTTCACTTGGTCTAAGTGCTAAAGCTAACTCATTCAATAAAATATCTAATACTTTCTATTTTTGTCCGAGTCCCTCCAGGATGAACTGCAATGCCGCCCCTGGATTGGTCTGGTGACATGTTATAGCATGTGGCCGGCCTAAATCCCAGGCTGGGGACAAGGGCCTTGATTCAACAAACCTATTTTAGTGCCGAGAACTAGAACTGTAAAGAACCTCACGTCTACACTCCTACACTAAACAGGACAGGATGGTAAAAAGTGTGAGAAGATGCTGGAAAGGCTCCAGGGGGTAGACAGGGCATATTTAATGTGATGTCATGGGAAAGCTCACGATATGGTGGGGAGACTCACGTAACAATAGTCAAATCTTTTGGCACAATATACATCTCATGGTACGACATTTATTGCGATATTTTGTGGAGGCTAACAAAATTGAATGTGCTACTTTTTCCTCTTAAAATAACTTGACAAAACTTAATCCAACTAACTAAGACTAAAAAGTGCTGAGAACTGTTATTTCTTCTTGTAGTCTACACTGAAATGGAGAAAAGGATGACACTGACCATTACACTAGCTTTGCTATCGAGTGCTAAATGCCTGAAACACTGCAGCTGACTTAAAGGTTGTATAGAGGATTTTCCAAGGAACGAGAAATCCAGCGACTGTTTGTCCTTTTTCAAATGTTGCGCATGCGTGACTACAGCGTGGACCGACTACAGGGCTTTGTTGTGCTGTAACAGAGTGGTGCTTTACTGTGCTGTTGCAATCACCTGTATTTCTTGTCCATTTTTGTAAATACTGATCCATTACACAAAAAAATGAATATTCGTGAAAAAGTTCAATATCTCAATGTGAAAAAAAATCTATCAATACAAATATGGACAGAGCAATGTCTTAGGAATATTTTTCAAGAAAAATTTAGCATAAGTCAATTATTTCTGGACTGGACTTAGACCAACAGAATATGAAGGGCTTAGGGAATAAAAAAATCAGTCAATGTCGGAGTCGGTCTCTGAATTCACGTACAAGTTGTCCTCCCCAATGTCTGCCACAAAAGACAAGCCTGAACACAACACCACATCAATACTGTAACAGTCATTACATTTTACAATATTCTTGTCCATTTACCGTTACATGCTCGGTCCTCATCTTCCTCAAAATGATCCAAGTCGTAGTTCACAAATATATTCTGTTATGTGAAGTTAAAAATAAATAGAATTATAAGGTTGCTGACTCAAATCCCTCTTTAACACAACATCCATTAGTGTCATCTGTGATTTTCTAGCACTACCACTCTGTACATGTACAAACTAGCTGACCCTTAGATGTAATGATTTTCAATTCTGCATCAAAAGACAGCCCTTAAAATAATCAGCTCTACTTCCTACCAAACTAATTATTCAGAAGTGCTCATCTGAGCTTAACAATAATAAAGTACCTTTTCTTTTACCAGTTTCTCCCAGTAGATGGGAGTCTGCTTGATGAGTGTGAGGACTGGTTCATTAGCCTTGACTTTCCAGGAGCAACGATCAGCAGTAATGTTTTTGTGAAGGTCCAGGTTGGCTTCATACCATTTGTCATCAACTCTCCCACTGCAAATTCAACAACACAAGTTATATCTAGTTTACAAACTGGCAAAGTTACAACTTAAATTGTTTTGCTTCTAAACTTACTCATGTGAGTGCTTTGCTAAACAGATACAACTCACGCAAATGCTTAGCTTGGTCATTCAGAAAGTTTGTTTGATTTGATAAAGAAAAAAAAAAAAGGCTAATTTAATAGTAAGAAGAAATGGCACAGCATAAAAGCAACTTGCCAACCTCAACTTGGTCTGTTGAATCTGACTGTCCTTGCTTGTACAAACTCTACTCCATTTTCTGCTAATGTTAAAAACATCCCAAAAATCTTGAACAGCCTGTATATTTTGTCTTTCCGTTTATCCCAGAATACAACAATAGACACTGTTGCGTAAAACAAGAAAATCTATATACATTTAATATGGAAGTGTGCAAATGAGAGGAAGTCCAAGAAGTGTTAAATCAGCTTCATGCTGAATGGGCCTGATGATTAGTTAAAAATTTAAAACATATTTCTTGTTCAATAATGTGCTGGATGAAAGTCTATGTAATTGTGCCATTGGCAGCAGGGTGACTGAGTGGCAAACACTCATGCTTCTCCAGTTCAATGATCAGGTCATCTGGCTCTTTTGTGTGGAGTTTGCATGTTCTCCCCATAAGTGGGTTCCTTTCAGGTACTCCAGATCCCCCTCAACCCAAAATGCACAATAGGTCAAATCTTCCAGTTACCAAGACTGCCCCAGCCGCATTGGGTCAAATGCAAAGGACACATTTATCTACGAGAACAATAAAGTGTACCCATAAATCTACAAAAAAAATAAATAAATTGAATATTTTCCTGTCAGCGCCATAGACAATACTATGACACTAAATTAATTTCATAACAATTTAGTACAGTCTTTGGTAACTCTTGAATCAAAACCTTTCACAATACTCTGCAGTCAAGTGCCATACCAGCTGCTAACCACATCATAATCTATTCTATTACAAAGAATGCGAAACGTTTCATAGATAGTTGACACCTTTTGTTTTGGAACTGATATCGAATCGTCCTAGCTCTGTCAGATCCTTTAAATGTATTTTTTGGCCCCCTTAATCAGGTCTGAGTAGCCCTTTAAGTGAAGATATGAATAATGTATTTAAATAGAGACAGGACAAAATTTTGTTAGATATAATTGACACAAGATTGTGCACAGGAAAATAATCTTGTGAGAGTTAGCATTTGGTTTGGACAAAAAAGCTTTAAACACTGGTGAGTTAACATTTTGAGAAATCGTTGCTCCAAAAAGCAGCACTAAAATAACAGCTATTGTTTGTACAATACTTTTTTTTAAGCATTCAGTAAAACAAATAAAATATTGTAAGGGCTAAAACTGTAAAGTGAACCACAAAATGTATAAATTATGTCAAAATCTCTCTCAAGCCAATATATATCCATGTGTTTGCAGAAATAAGTCAACTCAAAATGAACTAGATTTAATGGAGCACTGTTAATATTGTGGTGGAAGTCCGTCACCTGCTTTTCTCCATGAGGATGTTCCTTAGTATGGTATAACATTTTATCAGCTGTGTTTATTGCTTTGAAAAAGCAATAAGGCTCTGCACCTATCTGACATGCATGTTGGTTTGGTGGCAACACCTGCTTTTCTATATGGAGATAGACAAGTTTAATGACATATTGTGTAACATTTCAAGTAATAACATCTCCATAGAGACAAACAGGTGGTAGACGCTCCAACAAAAAAGTTCCATCGTGCACCTTTAAAGCACCATGGTGAAAATGCTTTCTAATATGATTCAACAGTGCTGAACACAAATGATAAGTGGAAATAATAGCACACTCTGTGCATGTGCTCACCACAGACTTAAGAACAACTGAGAAACAAGCTGCTGAAGCTGAACATGTAACCACTGCCTCCTGTGTACAGGGCCCTAGTGAAGAGGCCCCGTGAAGCATAATGAATGCTAGTCAACATGAGCGGCCGGCTGCAGACAGACCTGAACACAACTCGATCTGATGAGAAAGTACAGCTCTGAACCTCCGGATTTGTCAGTTTCAGCGTCACTGTGATGGAGTCCAATGTCTGGTACCAGCGGACTGTGGGGTGCAGGCTGAAATTACAACCCAGAGATTATTAGAATTAATTTTAGTATTAGACTTGCATGCAGAGGACAATGCTCTTGGTCTGTGGTCACAGTTGCTCAGCATCTTAAAGCACTATTTAGCAAATGATAAATTAAACAAAAAATGCAAAAATAATTACTAATATAAGATTTGAATATATATACAAATTGAAAGAATAACCATCTTATGTCATAAACTTTGGGCTGTGTTCAAAGGAGTAGTACCATTTGAAGTGACTCTGCAATTATGGAGGACTTGGCATTTAACTGATGTACTGTCAGACCTATATTAGAAAACACGATTGCATTCTTAATTAATGTATCAGGTTGCATAGTCTAATGTTAGTCTAAATTACGAAAATGAAGTACTGGACAATCTGAGAATGTGTATTGCCTGCAAATGCAAATAATTTACAACTGTACCCATCAAACTACAGCATGTGCTCAGCATTACGTTCACAAGGAAGGGGACAAACCGTTTGAACTGATTTTCAGTATCAATGCCATTGATGATAATCTCTCTTCTGGTAATTTCATGCTTCTCAGCAACACCTAAGTGTAAAAAACAATACTGAACCACAAGCAAATGAGTTACACAACTAAATATTGTTCATCAGATTCATATTTTTCCTTGCCATTTTGAACAACTGGATTGATCTGTAGAGAGCCATCTTGACTACTGCAAGAAAATAAGAATGTATTCCAATTAATGTTAGGGAAAGATAAGTGTTGTCCTAACAAGCAGGGGATGGGAAAACAATTAGAATATTGTTTAAATAAGGGAAAAACAGTACAGTGATCCCTTGTTTAATGCGTGGGTTACGTTCTAAAAATAACCCGCAATAGGTGAAATCTGCAAAGTAGTCAACTTTTTATCTGTTGATTATATCTGTTTTAAGGCTGTAAAATCTCTCAACACACACTTTTTACACTTTTCTCACACTGGACAGTTACAACCCTTTTTGCATCCTTCTTAAAACTTATTGCTGCTGTCGTCCTTATGTTATTTTCCTCCTCCTTTATGTAATGAACTGAAGATTTATTTATTCCATAATGGAGGCCTACAGTGCAGAGTCCTGCACGGGTCCATTTTTGGAGACACGCAGTACAGCACCGCACCCACGCAGTACAACACTGCACCCGCGCTTTAACTCAAGATTATATCAAACTTTGGCGCTGCCTACACCACGAACTGAACCAAGACTAAACCAGGACTAACCTATGACTGATTCTTGGACTGAAGATGAAGACTAAACCAGGACTGAACTAGGACTAAAACAGGAGTAAAACAGGGCTAAACCAGGACTAAACCAGAACTGAAACAGGACTCACTGTCGGGACGGGCTCGGAGGAGACCACAGGAGAACGGACCAACTGAGAGCTCCACAGCTCACGGAGGTAAGCGCGGCAACTGCCCGATTGCGCTTTGCGTACACCCTACTCCAGGTTCTCTCTCTGAAGTCCAAGATTAGTCCTGGTTTAGACCTGGTTTAGTCCTGACCCACCTGTGTGTAATTACTACCTGCCCGTAACATGCAATACGTGTTCATACACTGTACAAAAAAAAAAAAAAAAAAAAAAAAAAAGCATGTAAAATTGCACACACAAAAAAAAAATCGCCAAACAGCAAGACCACGAAAGGTGAACCATGATTTAGCGAGGGACAACTGTAATAAATAAAAAATAAATACATTAGTTAACCATTTTAAGCAAGCTTGAGCATTCAAAACAAACACAGTGAAGGGATTGATGATGAAGATTCACATCAAGCAGTGGAAGATAAAACCCAAACCTCATGCATTGCGTCCCTGAGTTGATAGTGCTGGACAGATCAGCCATTTTCAGTTCAGTCGTTTCGGCATGGTTCAGGAGTTTCTCAGGGGTCAGAGACACAGGCAGAGACGAGGGAGGGGGGGTGGGGGGACAGGGGACCACAGGTTTGGTTATGACAGAGAGGGGACACAGCATCTGGACTGGTTCCCCTGCAGCCATGTAATTCTTGAATTGTCCTGTTCCAAACGCTTTTGCAAGGACCTCCTCTTCAGCCTGGATACGGTTTTCCAAAGAGGTTACGTCGTTCGCATACCTACGTGAACAAAAACACTCAGTCAAAAGTGAATGAGCATTTTTCATTAGACAGCAACTGCTAACAGTGTTTATTTACTGAATCCTTACTAGTCTTTTCCTATAGCGATGGAGAGAACAGCAAGATTGGAGGGCATAAAAGTCATACTACTGTCACAATTACACTGAATTATAATTTACATTTTGCAACTGAATGTGATTGTTGCCTCTTAAACCTCTGGGAAACATAAGCATTTTGGGTATACTAGTTAGTTCTATTATATTAATTAAAGGAGCATTTTTTTATATAGAGGGTCTGCCACCTGCTTGCCTTTACAGGGAAGTTACTGCTTTTCTTAAGATGCTTGCCAGTGTAATAATGCATGCACTGCCTAGTATTTCATTACAGGCATCATTACTCAAAAATGCCATGAAAAACATGCATCCTCTCCACAGATCTGACCTGTAACTTGGCCTTATAACATCTGGCTTTCTCTACGCCACACTGTGAAACATTGCAGGAAAAGCAACATCCCTATTGAGCCAAGCAGATGCCAGAGCCTCCGCCAGAAAAGCTACATATTGTATCTGAATACCCTGAAATGTTACATAATCTTATGAAATTAGAGATGTTCCTTTCCTGATACCCCTAAAGAACAATATAGCTAGTGTATAGCAATTTCTTACAGTGAGAGCTTGTTGCTGCTCATGTTAGTCTCACACAGAGCTTTGAGGAGGTTGATGTGCTCCGGGTTACTCTCTGCCATCCCACTGTTCAGGATCTCAAACTGGAGGTTGTACTCGTTTATCACCGTTTTCATGCCTGGTACGTGAGAGACTCGTACCTGAAGCACATTCAAATAATTTAAACACCCTTTGGAATTGGAGCTCTTATAAGTTTGTCAATATCAAGCCGTGTTAATGAGAAGCAAGCAAGCAAAGTTAAGACAAAAAAAAAAAAACTCCCATAATTTATTTGTGTAATTATGCACAAGATTAGGCCTTACCATGGGGTCAACAAAGATGGTGTTTCCCAGACTTAGAACTACTCGAGCTCTGTGCTTAAGTCCTTTGACCTTCTGACTTATCGCTCTTGTGACCTGTGAGGCAAATAAAGAAATATAAAGAGAATACACAAAATAAATTGTCTAAATTTGTGACAATAGCCATCAGATCAATCAATCTTTATGTCTAGAGCCCTTTACAACACTCAAGGTGACCCAAGCACTTTTTATAAAATCAACACAATATAAAAACATGCAAAAACATGTTATGACTGTTTTTTAGCATAATAATGCATAATACATGACTTGGCACCATGTCTGTACTGTGTTGTGCGTTGTAGACCTTTGGATGCCAGTCTTTCTCAGAGTCAGACGGTTTCACTCGACACACAATGATCTCCACAGCTTGACCTGGGACAGACTGGAACTGCTCCGGTAACTGCAGCAGCTGATGGGCTTTGACTTCCTCCCTTTTACCAATGTCAATAAACTCAACAAAAACACTGAAAAACAGTCTGTCTCGTCTGTCAGGGATAGACAGGACCTTCACCCTAAAAAGAACAGAATTAAACTCATAATAACAATACAAATGTATTCATCTAATTTTCACTCACACCTGTGAAAGACGTCATCATCTTGCACTGCGTACAAAGCCCCTTCTATCACCTCAGTGGCTCCTTGTTTCTTATCAGTGTAGAAAGCAGTGATCTCAGCTAAAATGCTTTCAAAATTGTTTTCCTCTTTTGTGACAATGCGCCCATAAAACAGTGAAGCAGTCTTTATTAAGAGAGGCACTACCTACAAAAAAGTTAAATCTATTTCACTTTCATGCATCATGGGCAGAGCCTGAATATATACTTCAAATTAGATTGATATGTATGGGTTTGCACAGTTTAGCCAATTGTGTGGCAATATTTGATGGAGTACACAATTATACTGGTATAAAATCACATATATACAGTATTCCCTTAAAGATGATCTTTCTGGTATTTTGTTGTCTAGTTATGTGTTTATTGAATGAGTGGAAAAAAAACAGTAAAGAAAAGTGTTATCACCTCTAAGACTCCAGATGTAGGAAGCTCAGATTCATCCAGATGTGGATTCCAGCAGTGACGATCGGCACACATGCTGCTGTCCCTGCAAATTTGAAAACAGACATTGCACTGAATAATGTCTTTCGTTGTTGGAGAGTTTACAATGAAGCTTCAGTGGGGTAACCTGCATGTCCCAAAGCTCTTCAAGTAGCTGCAGAGAGGTCTGTTGGTTTTCTGGTCCTCTCTGGCCACATTCACACTCTGAGCAAAGGACAGAAGCTCTGGAGGGAGCGGGGCACTGGTTCGGCCTAAATAACGCAAAACTCCAACCACATGACGAGCGTTTCTTTCGGAGATGATCAACACAGATCTGGAAAGGCAACGGCCAGTGTCTGTTTTATCTTGAGATCCCTGCAAAGACAATATTCCTAAATTAACTCAGTTCTATAACAAATAGGAAAATAGATCTTTTTAGTAGCGAGACACGGAGCTAGGGGTTAACAGATGACCAGAAGCTTATATTGTATCATTTTAACTATGAATGAATTGAAAAAACTGTGGTTGCTGTGTAAGTAAGCAATTTGAATTAATAAAATTTGCTGCCTAGATTTATTAGATCTTATAAACAGCAGTCTCATGAGGTTCCCACAGTGATTATGCTCTCCCCCAATCTAAAAGTTTGGACCCTCATTGAAAATCACAAAAATCTAAAGTTTTAGAATGCTGCCAAATGATCTGAGGGATCTAGAAATGTATTACAAAATTAACCAATAATTCTAAAATAATATCATGTGTGTTTTGTTATTGTTAGTGTTGACTTACGGGTTCAGTGAGGTTTCTGAAGTTTTTGACCATGGAGAAAAGACGACTACCAAAGTTTCTGGGAGAGGAAGGGAAACCATAGTGGATGATACAACTTGCATCATGGATCCCCAGGCATCTCAGACACTCATTGGTCGTCACTGGAGTAAAATTAACAGTTATAAAACAGGACAGAACTACAGCATTGGGGTGAATCATTCGTTAAAGAAACAGATTTGAGATTACCCAGAATTACATGAGTGCCAGGATCAATGCTTTTCCTCCACTGTTGGACGACGAAGTCAAACTCATGTGTTAGACCCTCGTGGGACTTCATGCAGAAGGCAGACTTGTTGCTCACAGCCTGTAGATGAAAAATACTCAGATACTTCAGTTCAAATATGTCACATCCTGCTTTACATTTTAAGCAGATGATAATGAAGTTTGAAAAGATTTGACATGTTTAAGTTTGGTGGAATAAAGTCAGGAAAGTAAAACAACTGGCAATTTCTGTTTTTTTACTTCAAACACATCATCCGCTTCCCGAGGAGAGGAGGTTATGATTAATGTTTTCAATCCAACTTCTGGACTAAAATCCAAAGTGCCCAAAAGTACATCGATTTTGCTGCTTTCCGGACTCATTAGGATGATCTAGATATAAGAGTTGAATTTACACGTGTCAATGAAAATCCTTTACAGGTGTTACAAATAAAATGTTTTTAAGCAGACCGACCTGCTGTATGTTTGCATAGAGAGCAGCCTCCTCAGGGACAGTGATAATGATGGATGGATGAGGCATGTGACTGGTTATTAAACCCTCCATCTGACTGGTCCACCGTTTGGACACAGCCACAATCTGCTGTGGACACGATCTCTTATCCTCACTGGAGACCACTTTCTGGAAATGTTGCAGGATGTTTGTCATCTGTGAAACAAAACCAAGTTTAAATGGTTTTCTTACTGAAATGTGTGTGAATAAACCTCAGATGTATTTCATGGTTAGTGTATTTTGAATAATTTAGAGATTTTAAATAATGGATGTAAAAAAAAAAAGCACAACCCTGCCCATTTATTAATTTGCCTGAAACATTACCTGCTCTGGGGCCAGGGTGAAAAGCTGGTCCACCTCATCCAGCACCAGGTGGTACATACGCAGAAAGAGAAAACAGTGATGGGAAAAGACCCGAACTAAACTGAAGGGAGTGGACACTACGATCATGCCTGTTTGAAATTACACCAGACAGTGAATCAAGAAACAAAATAATTCAAAAGTGTTGTGATGTTATGGTTTTGAAATGAAACTGACAGTTTTTGGGGATCTTAATGGTTTTAGCTTCATCTTCTTTGACCCCAACGTGGATAATCATGGGGTGAAGGATGTGGCTGACTTTGGTCTCCTCCATAAAGTCAAATACGGCCTGAGCCTTCTCCCAACCAGGACACACCACCACCACTACAGGCTAAGAGGTATACAGAAAAGTTTGAACTTTTGAGACATCATAATAAATCAAAGGTCAGTAAACATGAGCTGTAATGCAACAATCCCATGTATTTGTTTGTTGTCTTTGTTCTCTAAACCACAACAGCACCCATAAAGTCAGATGATTTGTTCTTTTTAGATATATTCCTTAAATAATTGGAGCCACTCAAACTGCAGTTTCTTTATTATTGCAAGACATAAGTTGCAAGACAAGTGCATAAATTTAACATTTTGAAGATATGCATTTAAACAAGAGCCTGGCTGTATATTCACAGTCACACTCACCCCAGTGCTAGAAGTGAGGGAGAAGAGGGAGTTGAGCAGGACATGGGTGAGGAGAGGGGGGAGGTAGCTGATTGGTTGATCAGCATTTGGAGACACAACCAGAGTGTTACATCCACGAACCACAGCCGGCCAGCTGTATCGGTCAGCGGGGCACATAGAATAGAGCTGCTTCCTCTGTATGAGCTGGTGAGAAGACAAGACCAGAGTGATATTGCTTTGGTGTACTCTAGTGTTTAATTTAAAACACTATAAAATCAAATACATGCAGTTAAAACAATTTGAATATTCAATATTTGTTGTTATGCCAAATGATGTAATCAAAACTATCATAAGATAAACTAAAATAAAACAACTAGTCTAGTGATTATGAGTCTGAACTTAAGAGCAATGCTAAGAAATAGAAGTGGTTGTTGTTTACCCGGCGAAGTTGGTCAGTGATGGGAGCATTGTCCAGGCTGTGACATGGCTGCAGCGGGAACACAGAGTGAACTAGGTGCAAGTCCTTTTCTGGATTCAAAGCTGGTGGAACCTGACAAAAAATACTTACAAAATTATAACTTTTGTCAAACAATTATTTTAAAGCAAATCACTATTAGCCCTAGTACTAAACTAAAAAAAAATACCTCTGCCTCTTCTATCTCAACATCAGGATTTAGGGGATCCGGGTTCAGCCACTCCAAAAGCCTGGTAAAAAGCAGTTGTGAGCAAATTATTAAAATATATCTACTATGAATACCTACTTACAGTGCATTTCAACAACCAAGCCAAAGACTTCAAGCTTGGCTTTCTAGTGTCAAAAAGATGGAATAAAGAAAACCATAACATAAACTAGAGGTGTACATGTATTCGTGCCGAAACGGGATGTTCGGTTCGGTGCAGGGCTGTGCACAAGTGAATTAGCGCAATTTGTCTGTGTTTATATTCTGCCACTACTACAACTACATAGAAGGTTCTTTAATATTGATGAGGGAACTCATCCGTGACTGAGGTGGCAGTGTTTCCCACATCGTTTTATAGTTAGGGCGGCCGCCTTGACAACAATTGCCCCCAATTGTTCCTCCGAACCATGTGAACTCCAACCCGGCCAGTGCTGCACTTTACTTTTTGAAAAGTTTTGTTTACTGTTTACAAGGAATTTATTTTCTATAATATCTCATACATTTGTTGCTTATTTGAGAATATTTTACTTAACTTATTAGTATTACGAAGCAGCAGTTATTGCATTTACTGCACACTGCATTTATTTTACTTTCCCGTTTGTATAATGTTAAAACAAATTGTTGGTTTAATAATACACAAAAACAACAAGCAAATGGTTTTGCATTTTGTTCCCATACTGAACCGAGCCGTGACCTCAAAACCAAAGTATGCACCGAACCATGATTTTTGTGTACCGTTACATGCCTAACAGAACACACTTCAGTCCAATTAACATTACAAAGACTGAGGTGAGAGAAGTTACAGATTTGTTCTGAAAGATACAAGGATAATTTGGAGGAAATTATGGGAAAACTGATGTGGCTGTGATTGGATTGGCAAACATTTTGATAGAGAAAAGGTTTACTGTGAAAGTGATCCCAAACACTGGCTAGCATTTTAACACATTTTACATGATTCCAAAGCTATATTTACCGAGAACAGGCCCAGTGCTCCTCACTTCTCCAGGATCTCTCCTTTTCCACTGTTTCAGACCCAGACAAACTACTGGTGCCGCTGCTACATAAGGCAAATTTAAGATTGCACAATTATTTGATTGTAAAATAAATATATTAGGTTCTCAGAGAGCACATTACCTTTTTGGCTCATTGTTAAGACTAAGCTCAAGTAAGCAGTCATCATTTCCTCTGTAAACATTTTTATATTTCATGTAAAACCAGTGAAAGATGACAGGGCAACAGATATCATTACATGCATCAGCTATTCTCACCTTACACTTAAGTCTTCATCATTTGCAAGTATGGGTTCACTGTAAAATAAATGATTGTTATTTCTCATTATTTACTATGCACCAATAGAAAAAAAAAACATAACGAAAAGTTGTATTTGCCATACAGTGTGCAGTTTTCAGTGGCTGTAGACATGTCTTCTGGGTTCTCAGGTTTGTTCACACGATTAAAGAACTGCACATGAAAAGACCAATTACATCAAAAGAAATCGTATAATTTGTGCCAATAAGATTCTGGTAATAACAGAGCAATGTTTCTTTTTTTGAATGAATAAAGAAATCCAAATTATGAAGATGGCTGAAAATCATCTTCACTGAAAATCATCAATTATGAAGATGAGTGAAAATCCTTACACTACTGGCCTCATTGAAGGTGCTTTGTGGGTTCAAAAACTTTAAAAACCTAGAAGGAACCACCATAAATTCATTATTATTATAAACAATGGATCAATATTATGAAGTGAGGAAACAGAAACACTCACTTAAAAAGACTAAGGTTTTTGGTCAAAGCTGCAGCCAAAGAGGCGTCTGTCTCTTCTGTGCAGTCACTAAACCTTAAAAACAAAACAGGCCACTCAGTGAGAATAGAAAAACATTCAAGTTTACAAGATCGATAAATAGTTACACAATATTCATATTAGATAAAATACCAAATAATTTACCTTTCAGCAGCACAAGCCATTGATCTTGTATCTGACTGGTTGTTAAGGAGTGGTTCTGTTTCAGTCACATCTGGACAACAATCTTCCTCAACATTACTTCTGTCATTTACAGTCTAGGAAATACAATTTTTTTTAGCTAGACAGCTTGATCACTCTATATTTACTGTACACATCACATGTTTGAAGGCACAATAAAATACAAGAAAACTGTAATACAGACCTCAGGTGCACATGCACTTGTTGGCAAATTGCATGTCTCTACAGGGCCCATAGTACAGGTTGCTGTTAAATAAAACATAGTAAAAAGTCCTAATAAAAGACCATCTTCATAGTGTATTCAAAACACAGTTCTCTTTTACCTGTAGATGGTGGAGATTGTGGGGCAAACTGTGGCACAGGCTTTGTCTGATTGACAGCCTGGTTTAAGAAGCTGGAGGATAACATTACAGGCTTTTGATCTTCCTCATCCAAACCACTTGCTGCTGCTGGGGCTTTGCTGTAGTAGGCAAACTTTTTGGCCACTAGTTCGTCATTCACACAGATCTACAATGAAGGAAATGCATTTGTCACTTTCCTGAATCACTCCATAGCAGCTCAAATCAAGTGTCAAACCTGCATGTACGGCATATTATGCACAAGGCACCAGTTTTGCATATCCTTGCATTTCCACAAGTACTATGACTAGCAATGACATTTTTTCACCTTAATGGTACCAAACATGAGGAAGAGCTGGATCGATGTTGAATTATCTTCTGTTTCATACAAGACAGCTTCTGTTTGAGTTGAGCCTAAAAGTAGAGCAAATTAGAGCAAAAATTTCCCAGCTGCATAGATTTTGCCATCATTAGCAAAGAATTGTTTAACATTGTTTTAATCACATGTTCTTACCTTGAAGGAGATTATGCAAGAAAAGTGTGGCAGAGCTGTCCCAGTGACTAGATGGTCTATAAAACACATAAAATAGGCGTTTAAAACTAAACCTTAAAACTAATATCAAAACTAGAGCCCAACCGATATATCGGTTGGCCGATATTATCGGTCGATATGGGCACCTGGAGGCATATTGCTATCGGCCGATATGCTTGCTGATAGGGGCCGATATTGTGGGCATGTGATACGTTGTTAAAAATGTTGGACTCTCTACATTCTGTTCATTTAATCCAATTTACAGACAGATAATTGTCCTCATATGTGGATCTGCATCAGTATTTATCTGCGGAGTCATTTGTCTCTGTGTGCGTCTGTACTGTCCCTGAACACACCACAGAGTCGCGTCACTCACGTGTGTTTGTTTACACCCGCAGACATAGATCCAAACATTGAGATTATATTCTTTTTACGGACAATCGGCTTGAGTCTGGATTAAAAGGACATTTATTAGTGCAGACTTGTGATGTGAGGAGGAGCCTGTGTGAGCGGTGAGTGTTGGAAATATGTCAACTCTGAAGGTAGTTGGTAATTTGTTATGGGTTAGCTGCTGTAGCTCTCACACATAAACAGGCTGTTTTCTATTGGTCTATTGTAAAGTGACTACATTGGCCGTATATTTGTTACTGGACCTGCATTGATATGTAAATGAGCTGTGAATAGACGTGTGAATTATGACATTTGCGCATATAATTAATTATTGCGGCATTGCGGTATTTACAGCTAAAGGCTAATAGCGCTACTTTCTTTAGTTATGGGTCGTTCGCGAACGAAATGGCTCTTAGAGCCGGCTCTTTGAAGCGAACGACGGGAGCCTGATCCTTATTACGAGCCGTGTTTTCTCTTTCTCTCACTTTTTTTCTCTTCACGCCGCATGCAGACTCGTGGTAGTTTGACAGCGGCAGCGGCTGAAAACGAAACTTTGAGAAATTTGTGTGTACATAGGATTAAAAAAAAAAAAATTTAAACGAGCATATTTGGCTGTAGTTTAGCATAAAATAAACCAGGACTAATCTTGGGCACGAGATAGAGACCAAGTCCCGACTCGACTCCTGGTTCAGTTTTGGTTTAGTCCTGTTTTACACGTGGTCTAGATCTGTTTTAGTCCTGGTTTAGTCTTTTTCAGTCCTGGTTTAGACCTGGTTCAGTCCTGATTCAGTCCTGCTTTAGATGTGCTTTAGACCTGCTTGCAACAAAACAATCTGAAGAGTCGCTTGGGAGCCAAAAGAACCAGCAGCTTTTAGTGAGCCGAGCCAAAAGAGCCGGTTCTCTAAAAAGAAGTGGAATACCCATCACTAGTGTCTAGAATGTGATGAAAAAATGCCATTAAGCCAACCTACTGTCTGTAAATATGATGTAAAGAGGCAGAATAACAATAAATGTTACCTAAATAAACCCAATTTAAAATCCACCAGAGCCAAACCTAATTTTTTTGAACAATTCAACATTTACAGTGAATTTTTACATCACTAAATATATCGGCGATTATATCGGCTATCGGCAGCTCCAACTCCCATTATATCGGTTTCATATCGGCCACAGCAAAATCCATATCGGTCGGGCTCTAATCAAAACAAATCTATACTGTATGATACATTTTGTGTTGAACTTACATCATCTTTGCCTTCTCATCATTTATAGAAACTTGAAGTCGTGTTGGTTTTATTCCTGAAAGGTGGAATCTCCGAACCCAAAATGGTAGCAGCAGGAAGTCTGGCATAGCCACTCGAATCCTTACAACAAACAAATGAAAAATGGCACAAGTCAGAAGAGCACTTGAAATGCAAAACCTGTTGGAGCCCAGACATCGAGGAGTGGGGCTATCCTGATCTTAAGAGTTTGTTCACCCAGTATGCACCTTTTATATTTTTGGCATAATTAACCACAAAAATACTTTTAGGACAAAGCTTTACAACACTTCTTCCATAAATTACAAAAAAGAAAAGTTAATTGTCTAGGTGTTTATTTTGCCAGTTTCTCTAGTAAATCTTTGTAAAAGGTGGAATACTTGACTATATTCTTGTAAATGAGCAATGCAGACACAAACCCAGAAGAAAAAGCTGAGTGAATTGTCAATGAAATTTTGACCCACCCATTGGTGGTCCACCCCTGCTGTCAACTTTTCTGAAAAAAAATAAAACAGTTCTGAAGCTGCGCTCAACTTTGATACTACAATACTCTGCCGAACTGCCAAATAACTCATCAGATAATAAAACAATATTGATATAATATTTTAATAAGGAACTGCATTCTTACTGGTCTATGGGGACTACTCGCTCTTCTCCATAGTCGACAAGGAAGCATTGAGCTTGACTGGACACAGAGTCTGTGATGACTGCTTTCATCTTTGCCCGACACCAAGACTTCACAGCAGGCCAGTACACCACGCAGATCTGGGAAAATAGTATACATTTATTTATCATATAGTTTCCTAGAAGATGTCATGTGGCAGAAGCCCTGTGGGGTGACACTAAGCAGCAAAGACGATTGTTCACTAACGGGTGGGATGAGACAGAATTTTCACAAGACAAAACGAGACACGAGATAGAGTCCATGAGATGAGATGGGATTTTTAACTAATTTACAATAATTTTATCAATTAACAATGGTAACATGATTTTAAATTGGTTTAAGCTTTATATATGCGTTTTATGTGTTGATATAGTGAATTTTTCATGATATGTTATTAATTGCCCAGATGCTTTAAACACCAATTCTGCAGTGTAAATCCCTTCATGCAACACTACTAATTACTACATTTTACTCGATATCCAATATCCCGATTACACTTGATAAAAACAAAAACTGGACCTGCTCGTCTGTTATCTCTGTTCTCTCTCCCCCACTGCTGCTGGTCTACACACGCATGGTGCAGAACACCACAGAGGAGCACTTCTTTATCCTTTCTTACTTTAAACTAAGTTATAGATAAAGAAGCTCTATATATCTCTTTGAGGAACTTTTTCAAACTATGTTTCAGTGTGGAAAATATTGCATGTATGTTCTACGTATATTTGATTGTATTAGTTTGCTACCTTTTTTAACCAACTTTAGCACTGATTATTTGCGTCAACACTGGTCCTATCACTACAAAATAAAAACTCAAACAGAGTTTAAGTGTTCTCTGTCCGAATATGTGAGCTACATGTATCTATGTGTAGGATTCCTTTAGCTATAGCTGCTCAAAGATACACAACTTGGGTGAAGTGTAAGCGATTCATAGAATCTCATAAAATCATTTTTCCCTTACGCGTCTTGTGGCACGAGATCTTGTCCTATCCCTATTTATTAACACAAAAGTTGATCCTTCATTTATTCTTTAACAACTGCTGTTGAATCCCAGAGCAAGGTACTTGGCGGTCACATTGATGAAGTACTTTTCATTCCCTTCCTGTATTCAATCACTTAACATCATGAAAACATTCAAGAATTATTCATACTACCATCTTGGCAGAGACTAAAGGCAAGGTTGAGCATCTTGCCCAAGTATACAATGACGGTGTACTGGAGAGATCGGTCACAGAATCACTGACCTTGTGTTAAAATGTAGTTCTACTGTGATTTGGATGTTGAATCCAAGCCATAAATGTTATTTCTCACCTGTCCCTGCTCAAAAGATGTGAGCCTGAGTTTGTGTTGGTCCTGGGTAACGTCACTGTAGAAAAGGTTCATTTGTGCCATCATGTGGTCGAATTGCCCTGTGGACTGTGCGTAACCAGCAGGGCCCTCGACAACCCGACCCCAGAGGCAGCCAGGACTTTCCACCTGGAGAAATCAGAGCACTGCATAAAGGACCATGCACACAGGTCGTGATAAGAGGCAAGCACTGCATAGAACTCCATTAATGTGGATGTGGTGGTCAGTGCAAAGGCCATCACTGTGTCACCAGAGAGAGTGCAGATTTGCCACCTTTGCGAAGTACTGCCACTTTCTCTTCAGTTGGATTTCTTTCAACTGGAGCAGCTTGCACCCAGAGCCACAATAGCGCATGAGAGCCTGAAAGGTCTGTCTCCTCAAAGCAGAACAGGCCTCAATTTTACAAACTTATCAGGGCAGACAATGCTGTCATGGTCTGATTCCAAGAGAATTCTCTTGGACACAGCTGCATCCTGTGTAACATTCAACATTCAAACTGTATTGTATAATTAAAGTGGCCACACAGTATCAAAAGGCTCATCTGTGACAGTGACCGTTGTCAATTCTATCATTTATCATGATGTTTTCAGTAATGACTATCACTTATCGTTATCATGTCAGGAAAAGAGAACAAGGTAAATGTTGTGTTCCCAATGGCATGATTACCGCCATGTGTGTAACATAAAAAGACATACCTTCAAGATTGATATTTTCAGCATGTTTGGTTCTGGTTCAAATGGCTGTAACATAAGAAAAACATTTTTGTTAATATTTGCAATGGAAAATTCTTCAAAACGTGGAAAACACTACCGCCATTTTTCTCTACTTGCCACGGCATTGACCGCATGGCGCTAACAAATGCTAACCGCAGCCAGTGTGCTAAATGTTTTTTCAACAGCAGAAAGACAGATCACAATAACTTATATGCACGTCCAAAGACGAAAAATTATACTCGTAATAAGATCATGAGTTGTACTGCTTAGTGTATATTTACGCATTACAAAAACAAACCTCTTTCGAAGCAGAGCGGACAAATGCATTGCGCATGCGTACTGTATCCTGCACCTGGCGCCAAGCGCAAACAGCCACAAGATGCCGCAACAGCCACAGGGTCCACAACAGATTTCACACACAACAAGAGCTGCAAGCCCATGGAGCTATTAAAATAACAAGCAAGCCACAAGAAAACACCACACAAACAACTGCATTGCTTCTGAGGTTAGGCGACATTAGGCTTTCTTTGGGGGGGTGGTATGTTTTTAAGAACCAGGGTGTGAATTGTTGTCAACGTGATATATATATGGCTATTTAGATTATATACAATAATAGCAATAGGGACACAACTCACATTTCCAATAAATTTTTACTGCAAATTGGCCTTTAGGCACTGAAATAATAACATATAGTTAAAACAATACTGAATCAAAGTTTGTTTTAAGGTTTTATTAATGATAATAAATAATCATGTATTTAGTGAGCAACACACTGCATAAAGGTCCTTTTTTTCATTCCAAACAGCCGACATAGCAAAACAACCATGTTGCTAAATATTAAATAGTACAATGTTAGTTTCACAAAAAGACAATATAGTTGCAAATGATAACAGGCATTTACAGAGAGTATTAACAGACTATGTGGGTTTTAGGAAAAAGCTGTGGATATGTTGAGCAGCTGTTTGACCCACAATAGCCTCCAGATCTGCCAGGGGTGCATTGCAAAGCCGATGGATGCTGGGGAAGTGCTGGAGCAAAGCCAGAGCTTTGACCCTGCCCACCCCAGGGATGATCTGCACCATGGACAAAACCTGCAGGTCCATCAGCCGTGACGCGCACTTCCTTCTGAAGGGGTTTTCTCGGCTCTCTCCATGAACCTGTAGACAAGAACAGCCACACAGTTAGATACAGACACACATCAAACCATTTATTCTTTGAAAACACCAGCAACATATGAACACATGATGAAAATTTAATGAATAGATGAAAATTTTCCTGTATTCTTACAATTTGAGCGATAAGCTGGGAGGCTTCTGTCTGGCCGTTGACAGGCAGAAGTGTTAGGCCAAGGTCAAACACCACAAACTTCTGCACAGCTATAAAGTACTGCTCACTCAGCCTAGTGTTTTCCACCAAGACCAACCCCTGGAAGCTGCTGCCAGCCTAAAACAAAAAAGATACAATAATATTAAGTTCAAAAATATCTTTTATCTATCTTTTCTTTAAGGGGCATATATTGCGCCTCTGGTATATGTTATAATGGTGTTTTCTCATCAAAAACAGAGTTGGGTTTTGTTTTATTCACATATGTTTAATACATACATTCTGCATATTTAGAGTTCTTCTCTGTTCCAACTCATGATGTCATTTGGTAAAACAGGAAGTTCTTCACTGTGTTTTAAACACCATACACCTTCACTAGAAACATTTGGATAATTTCAGCTCTGGAACTGCCAATACTTAAAAGGAAGCTGTTAACTTGAAAAGTACCACTTCGTGACATCACAAGGTGAAATAATAATAATATAAAAATATTTAGAGCTTTGGAGGTGTAGACAGACTAATAATAAAGGATTACTCAAAATAAACATGTCTGTATGAATCAAAACGCAACTCTGAGTATGATTTTGAGCATTGCAACATTTCTCAATGTACATTTTGCGTAATATAGGATGTTTAATCTACCTACATTTCTATAGCGAACCAGCTTTCGTTTATAGCTGCTTCCTGCAATAATGTCACTTTCTGAGACATAAAGGATGCAGGTTTTATTGGGCAGGTGGAAATCTGCCACTCCAAGCTCACTTTCAAAGAGGATTTTTACTCCTCCACCTGAAAAATGGATAACAAATGGATAATAATTAGCTGAAGCATAATAAACTACTAGATAAGCTTCAAAGACACATAACGTTGTTGCGTTACAACGTTGTCGACACAACATTATAACCCATACACTAGTGACACTACACTTACTTTTTAGACTTTGAATAAGAGGACAGTTTCTCCATTTCTCACAGGCAATGATATGTCCATAAGGGGGAACAGCATTCAGCACAGCAGACGCTTTGCTTTCCATGAAAATGAACAGTGCCCGTTAAAAGCAAAGTTATTTTTATTTCAACAACATCAAAAGTGCTGGATGTAACGCGACTTAATGTTATTCAAAAGCAGCGAAACTTTGAGAGTAAAACTGGAGCCGGCTTTTTGTTTTTCCCTCAAAGAACAAAACAAGCACACTTCCTGCTTCAGTCAGTGCGGAGTGAATTTACTACCGCCCTCTATCGGAAAGCAGAAAACAACATCTAGCGTTATGGAGTTATCATGGATGAGAGGGGCTGACACCTGCGAACGCTTTGTATAAAATATTACAACTGTGGTAAGTAAAACTGTAAATATGATCACTAAATATATCTCAGCAGTTTTTAAATGATGAAATGTAAACTTTTACCTAAGGATATTTGAAAAGCCAATGACTTTATGAACACGCCACGTGTATCACATTGTTTTGCTGCTACTATCCTACCTGGCAGGTGCAATCATACAACTTATTTATTAATTTGCCACCAATTTGCCATATTTCTGCAATTATGCCTAATGGTCCCATCCCCTCTCTTCAAATCTTTGTTCCTCCGGTCCCTACTCCTGCCCACGACGCCCCTCGGTGGGTCCGTGTCATGGTCCGTATGGCAGTCAGAGGTATTTAACATTCTGCCCTGGACAGCCGCAGGTTGTTGCGCAAGCGCAGCCCTTTCACTGTGCATGAATACGGAGTGAGGAGAGGACAGCAACTCGCGGGGACTACTGGGACTCTGCAGCGCTGGGACTTGGGTCAACACTGCAGACTTGATGGACCGAACCGGACTCGGGAAGAAGGCGGACAAGATGGATGGACACAACGGGATGAACAGCATCAGCCCCCGACCACATCATCGGGCATCATCCGCATCCGAGAGCAGGAGGAAGAAGACCAAGAAAGTCCCGGATAAAGTAACTTTGAAGAAGGAGATTGGGCTGCTGAGTGCTTGCACCATCATTATAGGTGAGGCAAAATGCGCACAAGTCTACCTACTTTGTCACTGCAAAACTTTTACAACAGTAAAAAAATAAAAATAAATCACATTGGCCTACTCAACAAAAAAACAAGTCAGTAGGTTAAATACATTATATATTTCAATTAGAGATATTTGTGTGTACTCCTTTCCTTTAATTAAAACAGCACAGTATTTTTGCTCATCTCATGTCCCCACTGATTTTAACTTCATGTGTGTAAATGATAATTACAAATCATGTACAGTAACTCAGTTCAAGTCGTAAAATGCACTACCCAGAGCTGCTTCTGTGCTGATAGGCCTAGGTCTACGTGGCTAAAACATATCACATGTAGAAGTTAATGCGGTGGTCATGCAGAAGGGGATTGTGTGCAAGAGCAGAGCAAACAGTGGGGACTTTTAAATGCACCTAAGCACCGTAAAAATGAGCCAAAGGGGAGGCCTGCTGGGTCAGATCCATTTCTCCATGTCCTGCAGTGAGGCGGTAAAGCAGTGGTATTGGCTAATTAATGATGATATTACTGTAGAGTGAAGGCTTGTAGGTGCATTGTATAAACTGTAAGGCCTACAGATAATGGATATAAGGCATCTAATCACAATCATAGTTAGCATGATAAAAAGTTAATTTTATGAAGCTCAAAAAGATACCTGGACCTTGAGAATATAACTCTACAGTGTACCAGTGCATGTTTCTGTGCAACATATAACTCTTCTTGTTTCTTCACCTGCTTGTCTCCACATATTTGTTAATGCTTTGCCTGCAATGTTTCACAGTCTGACATTAAACTTATTGATCTCCATGGAAACAAGCAGGCAGTTGATGCTTCAAGGCCAAGGTTATGGGTCAGATCTGTGGAGAGGTGACTGCACTCTATAAGTGCAAGAGTACATACAGTGAAACAATATCAATCCCTTCTCTACCATAGAGGTCACATTGTTCAAAGTCACTTTGCATTGTTCCTCTCTCAACAGAAACCTTTGTACAGCATACATATAATTAAGATGCGTTCAGTATTGTCAATAGTTTTCAAGGTTTTTTGGGGTTTTTTGTACTAAATGTGGACTATCTGTGATAAATTAAACTTTGTAACTTGGATGTGCCTTTACTCAGAGGGGGTATTTATAAATGTCCTGTGTGGTGAATGCCGGAGCACCTTTTGCATGCAGAGAGATCACTGGCTGTGCTCTCTGGCTCAGCTTCAGAAGTCACGAGATTAAACCGTGCACTGCTTTTTTAGGGAGCCCTTTTTTTGGAACTTCTTTCGGATGCTTCACGCGAAAGAAAAAGGTGAGTCGGTCACTTCCCACCTCAGTGGCCCGGAGTGGATAATTTATATGGCCGTTATGTAAGATTTGTCTGTGCCACTTGGCTGCTCTCTGCTGCGTTACTGGTAGAGCCGTTGTCTGAATGCATGAGATGGACTGGTACTTTAACGGTGCACTGAGCTCTGGGTGAGTGATGGTCTTTACCTCCTACTCTTGTAATAGAGGCCTTTGTTTATTATTGCCCCCTGTATAAACTCGGAGGGGGAGTGGTGACGGAGGGGCCCAAAGTGTCACCAGTGCTTTTTAAAGGAGGGCAGCAGTGCTAAAAGATGCTGTGAAGGATGCAAACGATGTGAGAACTCCTATAAACAAGTCACATGTAGAACACACGTGTTGGCTGGTACAGATGACATGTCAACATGAGATAGAGGGACATACTATGCTTGTTATACCTATAGGTATTCAATGGAAAATAATAGTCTACTATATAATCTGAAGTGGACTGGGAACTGTTCACACATTTTCAATACTAGTTTACAGTAAACAATACCTGAACAATACTTAAGTCATGATCTAGGCTATGTTCAAACTATAGGTTTAATATGATAATATTGATATGATAATATATAATTTTTTTTTAACGATCTGAACAGAATCTGATCAGAAATTAAACAATAAAATAATAAAATGCCAGAGAACAACAGTGAAGCTAGAAAATGCAAAAAGTGAGGTTTTATACTTGACTTCACACAGGAAAATTTATTTGTGTTTTATTTTATTTGCAATGTGAACAGCATCCCCAGTTAAATCTGATTTTGAAAAAAATCTGAATTGATTGAGTGTCAAGATCTGCAGTGTGAACATAGCCCTGGTCAAACATAAAAACATGCAATCACTCTTAGTCTGTCTTAGTATGGCACTCATTCAGTCTTTCATTCATTCAGTGCTTGTCATGTAAATTTCCCCTATCCAAAAAGATCCAAATGTTTAAGGGCATCTTTTTCTCCTTCTCAGGTAACATTATCGGCTCTGGAATCTTCATCTCTCCCAAAGGTGTCCTGGAGCACTCGGGCTCAGTGGGAATGGCGCTGATTGTGTGGGTGCTGGGAGGGTGCATTGCTGCCTTGGGCTCTTTATGCTATGCTGAGCTGGGGGTCAGTATTCCCAAATCTGGAGGAGACTATTCCTATGTGACTGAGATCTTTGGAGGACTTATGGGGTGAGTTTAGTACCATTTCTCTTGTCTTCATCATTTTTATTTTAACCTTTGATCTGTTGTGACAAGTTTAACATTTAAAACTAACATGAACATTACTATAACTGGGTCATTTTCAGACTGTAGAGTTTCTGTACAATGTCAGATTTTGCCATTAAATTGTTTTAAATTTAAGTAATTATTACAACATTTTCATTGTTAACCTTCTGTCACTTGTTTCTGCAACTCTGATGTTTAAAACAGATCCCCAGATACTAATCAATACTAATTAAAATTTGTATCAAAACTACATAATCATTTGAGGTTCAAATGCCATACTGGCCTGTCAAACCCTGATCCCATCAGATCTCAGAAGCTAAGCAGGCTGGGCCTGGGTAGTACTTGGATGGGAGACTGCTGGGAATTCCAGGTGCCACAGTGGGGTGCAAAACTTTCGTTGTGTCCTTAGTCACTTCACCCACATTGCCGAGTATGAAAGTGGTGTGTGTGCGTGAGTGATGGTGGTGGTCGGAGGGGCCGATGGCACAAATTGGCAGCCTTGCTTCTGTCAGTCTGCCCCAGGGCAGCTGTGGCTACAGTAGTAGTTTACCACCACTGAGTGTGGAGTGACTGAATAATGAACTGTAAAGCGCTTTGGGTATCTTGAAAGGCGCTTTATAAATGCAATCAATCAAAGTTCAAGGTTACTTTGTCAAAAGGGTAAATTTTGTTTAGCAATGAGTCAACTCATTTATTCACATGTACACATCTGCATCTGGAAAAGTGACAACACTGCATAGTGCAGGACTAAAAGATCTAAAACCGAATTAGAAAAAAATACTTGAGCGAGGATTGATAGTGTGGGAAATTGGTATCCTTGCCTTGATATTGAAAACAAGTGTGGAATTTGTGTATTGTAACAACACTACATTTTTGTGTCTCACCTGCTCTAGATTTCTGCTGCTGTGGAGTGCTGTGCTGATCATGTACCCCACCACTCTGGCTGTGATCGCTCTCACCTTCTCAAGCTACGTCCTGCAGCCTGTGTTCCCAAACTGTGTTCCTCCATACATGGCCACACGGATGCTGTCTGCCACCTGTCTTTGTAAGTGTCTAACTGCCTAGAACTAGATGGCATTAGGGATGGACAATGTGTTTAGATGATACCTGTTACGATATGCTGTTTTGTGATTTGGTGCTTCTCTGTTTAATGCAGCTCTATGATCAAATACTGAAGCTAATCCCCACCCTCTGCTCCTATTAGTCTGTCCTTGCCATGCTCTGAGTGATTGACAGGTGAATTTAACCAGTCACAGCGAAATGTGAACTCTCAGAAGCAGCAGGTGGCTTTATTACTTTTACATGACTGGAAAATATTGACAGATTTTATAGCACGTTGGGGACTCAAAAACACTCTATACTCCAATATTCATTCACTCCAAATAAGCGAGGCTGCCAATCTTCACATTCACAACATACTCATTTTGGGCTATGTGGGTGAAATGTTTTGCCTAAAAACACAAGTATGAAATTGTCTGAGTGGTAATCACCTACTGACCCACTGCTGCTTTAATTATATATAATTCCTTTACATACTTTACAAAATTATTAATATTAAAATATTATTTTTTCTAAAGATAGTGTTTCTTTTCTGCTCAGTACTTAAACATCATACCCACATTTAAGTTATTAATTTAAATATTTAAGAATTTAAATATTTCCCCTACAAAACATATAGTATGTAATATGCTCTCTATTGCTGACAAAGTTCTTGGAACCCCTTTAGTCCATAGGGATAATATGTTTCCATTAATTCTGTTTTGAGAGTGGTCAGTCACAACCATTACTGTCTGAGAGGAAGTGGTCACATGCTTGTTTGTTGTTACATAACTCTAGTCTAAAGGCTCTGTAAAACCTTGTGTAGTAAAAAATTCATGGCATCCTCAGAGAGAAGAGAGCACAGCAGAGCGAGGAGACACTTCTAGAGAAAAACAAGAGTGGACTGAATACCTCCACAAACGCCTGGGGCTTCTCTCAAGTGCCTGTTTACAGACGCTAATGAGTTGTTTAGCCAGTACCAAACTTGGAAGAATTAGATTTTTATTTATTTCTGTTAAATTTTAATCTAAAAGAAAGTATTCTGCATTTAACTAAAGATATGTTTATGGATAATTTCTTATCTTAATTTGTGCTTAATACAGCCCAGTTGTTGGGACTGACAAATCACAGATAGAGAATGACAACACCACTATCAATATTTTAGATACTAAAAATTTTAAATCCTCCAATTGATCAAAATATTTCAACTCTGGGTTCAAGAGTTGCAACTCAGGTTGTATGGTGAGATTTGTTTCAGTTATTGTGAACACTGTGTTGTATGTATTTGTTATATTTGAAAATATTTTATTTTACCAAATGGGCAAAAGGCATGTTTGGCGTAAAGCATGGGTCCAACTGGGAGTGGCCCTCTGTGGCAGGCTGGGCAGACTGTATTGAGAGGTGCATTGGGTGTTCAGCCACTGCCTAATTGCCTTGTTGTCTTTCCTGAGAGTACCTGCACTCGCGCCCATTCATCCATCAGCCTCATTCAGAAGCATGATTTAGCACCTCGGCGGGGAAACCCTGGGACTCAAGTGTGCCATAACTCAGCCTTAGTGTTTTTTTGGGTAAACGTGAGCGCTGCCCGGCCCCCTCTATAACGGATGGGGTCCCTTGTCACGTTTTGTGTCGCCTTTGCAGCGGAAGTGGTTTGTTTTGTGGCTTTTGTGATGGAGAGTGAGGCCACCGAGAGAGAGCAGGCCCAAAGCTGGTGACATTGACAGACGAGCTAAACATTCACACAACAGTTGGTTGGTTGGTTTTCCATCTTCCACTTTCTGAGGTTATGCATTTGTAACTTAAGGTTAATGTCTGCTGGTCCATGGCTCATTTATTATAGTTTCAGGTACAAATTTAGCAGAAGCTTTGAACCAGGGGGCTGTTTGAGAAGTTAACTAACTCCATAAACCTGGCTTATTCAGCTAAAAGTCTGGCTTACTTTACCTGGCTTACTATTTAGAGGGTTGTCTTGGTCAGTCACTGTGGAAACTTCAGCAGAAGCTGAGCCTGGTCTGGAAAAGTCCTGAGTGAACTTTACTGAATGAGCTGTTATTATATGTTTATTGTACTTGTACTTCAAAATATGACTAGAAATGAAGTAGAAATACAAAGTGCTGACCCACTGTGCAACTGTTAAGACATAAAATCTAAAGCAGGATAAAACATTAAACAATGCTCTGATATTTAGTATTTAAAAACAGTAAGTCACAAAAATTTCAAAACCAAAATCATATCCGAGTGTATGGTAGATGTTCATATAATTTAATTTTGTAAATCCTGTATGCTTATTTACTGTGGAAATGATACTGGGGAATGGTATGATGAGCACTACCACACTTTTGTAAGATGGAAGTTAGAGAAATAAGGCTTTCTTCTCAGTGCAACTTTTAGAAACCTCCTCCAGGTTCAGGACTGAAGTCCTGCAATAGTTGATATCATTTCAACAGTAGTCAACAACAATGCGCATTTGTTTGGATGAACAATAAGTGTGATGTTTTGGTTATTCAGTTAAATTTTTCTTGATAGGAGCAGCTTATTGTTAAACTAAGTCATCACTGATAAATATGTTCTGTGAATGCTCATTCATAACAAACTATGACAAGGTGACACACCTATGCCCTTTTTGGTGATAAAGGATTTTATTATTGATAATACTGTTTCGGCCCAGTGCTGCTGACTTGGGTGAACTGTTGGAGTGTTCGAATGGCCACCAGGATCCAGGACATCTTCACTGTGGGCAAACTGGCAGCTCTGGGACTCATCATCGTGGTTGGTCTCGTGCAGATCTTTCACGGTCAGTAATGTAATACCACATTGTCCCTAATTACTTAAAAATGATGAGTCCATTTGCCAATAAAGTAGACCTCCAACAATGCACAACCAAAATAAACCTATATCTTATATTAATGTTGCTGCTTACATGACTTCCTCTTGCAGGACACTATGAGACCTTGACTCCACAGGTAGCCTTCACCTTTGACAAGACTCTGTCAGTGGGACAGATGGCGCTAGCGTTTCTACAGGCCTCCTTCGCCTTCAGTGGATGGAACTTCCTCAACTACGTCACAGAAGAAGTGGTGGAGCCCCGGCGGTAATTACACTATTTAGGTTATATTTTTATGTAATAGTTTCATCCACTTTGATTTTTGCTGCAATTCTTTATTTACTGAAATCCAGTTACACTGTTAAAGTCTCTCATATCCAGGGTACAGAGTATGGTTGTCAGCACAACCACACAGGATAGTGTGCAAGTAGTTTATTGATATGTCTCTAGTTACTCTTTGGCCTACAAGCATTGTGGAATATTCCTAAATGTGTAAATGTATACGATTGTAGGCCAAACCCCCCCCCCCCCCCCCCCCCACAAAATTTTGCTTTGTCACAATCCTTGTACTTTTAGTAGCATATTGCTTTAGGACAGTGATTGTTTTCACACCAGCCTCCACTAGACTGCTATCAGAAACCACATCTAAATGAATTAAATCATGGATAAGGTAGTTCTAAATAATAATTATCCCAAAGGAAGATGAAAACATTAAATTATTTTCATACATATACTACAGCAGGGGTCTCCAGCCTGTAGCTCAGGAGCTACCAGTAGCTCTCCACCCCCTTTAGATTAGCTCACCAAGGGATTTCTAAATTAGATGTATTGTGCTAAATAAGTAAAATATGATTAGTTACCATTTTAAATGTATCATTTTCATGCCTGACTTTGTACCTAATAAGTGGATAATGGTTTATGTTTTATAGGCATCTAACTGTTTTGCTTCTAAGGCTTGCCAAGGGTCTTATATGTACTTAATTTCTTTGCGACTGCTAAAATAGGTAGCTCTCTGGCATTTTTGTTTTGTAAAAGTAGCTCACTGGAGGAAAAACACTGGAGATCTCTGTACTATAGTTTGAAAAAGACTGCTTTAGGAGGTAACTAAAGCTATCTGCTGCTTCTGCTTTACACACTCCACTGTGATTGGTTAAATTATGCCATAGGCTGACCAATAGGAGGAGTGGGTGACAAACATTTGACAGCATACAGAAAGGCAATGAATCACATTGTTCCCTAATTGTTCCCTAATCCTGTATATAATCTTGTGAAGAAGACTGCAGTTATAGAAAAAATGTCAATAGTACAACCTAATGTTCTGTTTTGTGTTGGCATCATTTTCATGCATGCCTTGTTATTTCCATTTTACCATTGTCACGTGGTGTCTGCATGTTGTGCTCAGGAACCTGCCTCGTGCCATTTACATCTCCATCCCATTGGTGACCTTTGTGTACACGCTCACCAACATTGCCTACTTCTCCTCCATGACCCCAGAAGAACTGCTCTCCTCCAATGCTGTGGCTGTAGTGAGTAACATCACTATATAATGATAAACCTGCCTTTTGTTCATAGGGTTCCAACTTCCATTTGAACTTGAACTTGTTTTATACTGTACGCAGTTTGGAGAGTTAGTATAGAGCAAGGATTACCTCACCTTTTGCCTTGGAGGGACAAAATTGATATATATTTGCATGCCAGGAGCCACATCTAATCACAATTTGCATATAAAAGTTTATTTGCAAAGACATGTTTGATTATTTGTCTTCAATTATTGTGCTTTTTAGGAGGATAGACTGGATTGGTCTCTCTTGCAATCTTTTCAGTGCAAAACTGTAAAATTGAGTCAAAAATAGATGCTCCTTGAAAATCTCAGCATCCTCTCACACCTGGAGGACCATTTATTCCAACTTTTAAAGAATCAAATGCCTTTTTAGAATTACTTTGTTATACCACTACACATTTTTAAGAAGCATTTTAAACAATTAAGTTTGTATAATATATATTTTCACATTTTACATACTACTTAATACATCAGTACAGTTCTGCTGATGTCTTCTGGATGTGTCCTAATAATTCATTAACTAATTTTTTTCCTTTAGACTTTTGGAGAGAAGCTGCTGGGCATGTTCTCTGTCCTCATGCCCATCTCTGTGGCTCTGTCCACATTTGGAGGGATTAACGGTTACCTGTTCACATCATCCAGGTCAGTGGTTTCTGTATTTATTGATTTTGTTTTTGAGATGCCACCTTTACTCAGTCTTAACTGTATTAGTATGAAAGAGGTGTGAGCGTGAGTGATGGTGGTGGTCGGAGGGGCCGATGGCGCAGATTGGCACCCTCGCTTCCGTCAGTCTGCCCCAGGGCACCTGTGGCTACAGTAGTAGCTTACCACCACTGAGTGTGGAGTGACTGAATAATGAACTGTAAAGCGCTTTGGGTATCTTGAATGGCGCTATATAAATCTATCAATCAATCAATTAATTAACTAAATTTCACTTTAAGTCCTTTCTCACAGCACACTTATGTATGCTTAAAAACAATAGAAAAGGTTATAGTTATTGGTAGAGTGGATGTCTGCATTTGGTCTTTACTCAGACTAGTTTAATACAATTTAGACTTGAGTAATGGGTGCCTAGCAACAGCAGTTTCTATAAATACTTATAAATACTCTATTCATCTCATGTTTGCAGGTTATGTTTTTCTGGAGCCAGAGAGGGTCACTTGCCGAGTCTTCTGGCAATGATTCATTATAAAAAATGCACACCCATCCCTGCCCTACTGGTCTGCGTAAGTATTTTTAATTTTCACATAATTTTTCTATAAACAATAATACAGATGAACTTGGCCTGGTTGCTATAAGTTGGCTCTATTCACAGTATCTACATATATGATTGTTTATTAACGTGCATTGTCAAAAAATAAACAAAAATGCATTTACATAATTGAAATGCCAGAAGAAAAAAAAAGTAAAACTTTTTGCAATGTTTTTCAGTGTGCTGCCACCATCGTGATTCTCTGCATCGGTGAAACACACAACCTCATCAACTACGTGTCCTTCATCAACTACCTGTCGTACGGTGTGACTATCGCAGGCCTAGTGTACTACCGCTGGAAGAAGCCCTACCTCTATCGGCCCATTCAGGTACTCTCTAAAAATTCAAAAGTTGCAAAAGATTCTTTTATTTTAGTTTATTTTTTGGCAAAAAGATAAGATTGATTTTTTTCAGTTACAGAGAAGATATAAGAGAAATGTGAACTGCTAAAACTGCTAAAGAATTACTTGACTTTCAGAATTAAATCTAAACTAAGCAATTTTTGTGGTTTACAGAGGAGATTCTTTTCCAATTAATCCTGGTTGGTTGTGTGTGTGTGTGTGTGTGTGTGCAGGTGTCAGTGCTGGTGCCGATCTGTTACCTGCTGTTCTGGGCACTCCTGCTGGGCTTTAGTCTGTACTCAGAGCCTGTGGTGTGTGGGGTGGGGCTTGTCATCATGCTCACTGGTGTACCCGTCTATTTTCTGGGAGTCCACTGGAAAGAAAAGCCTAAATGTATCCTTGACTTTGTTGGTGAGTTACGATCATATTGTTTCTATTTATAGTACTTGTAAGTAGGGGGTGTAACAATATCCAAGTCTCACGATGCGATATCGTCACGGTATGAACCTCACGGTACGATATTTATTGCGATATTTTGTGGAGGCTAACAAAACTGTTAATATGCTACTTTTTCCTCTTAAAATGCCTTGACAAGACTTAATCCAAAGAACTAAGACTTAAAAGTGCTTAAAACTGTTATTTCTTCTTGTAGTCTACACTGAAATGGAGCAAAGGATCATGGTCTATGTAGTTCCCTTTGTGTGTTTTTTTTAGCTATTGTTGCACCATAACCTTTAATTTAAGCAAAGAAACTTGTAATTCGATATATTGTGATAGTCCATGATATTATTGTGAGAACTTTGACGAGACGATATCACAATATTTTGGTTATTGTTACATCCCTACTTGTAAACCATTTGTTGTAAATACAGAATCTTATATTGTAGTTCTTTGTTCTTCCATAAGGTGGTGTAGATTTACACTTTTATGCACAGTAACATATCACTCCATCAACTGTGAATCCAGTTTGGGTGTTTGGTCTCACAACACAGCAATACTGTAATCATGGCCATATTCAAATCATGGTTATATTATTGTTAAACACTAAATTTAAATCTTTCTATTTTTCTGCAGAGAGAGCCACACATTTGGGCCAGAGGTTGTGTTTTGTGGTATTTCCTCAGATGGACCCTATCGAGACCCCTCCTCCTGACAGAAGAAGGTCCTCAGCGCGAAGCAGCTTCTCGTTCCATTTATAAAGACTTTGTGCACCTCTAGGCTATACAAGCCTCTCAGACTTTTACTGGATCTGCCTGTTTTAAGCTCAGGCCACTTGAACTTCACCATTTTGCCGCACACTGTGAAAAGACCACAGAGTATATTTTTCTGTGGACCCTGGAAGATATGTGGCATTTTAATGAATAATTGTGTCATTTTTCTGAATTATAGTTTACTGTGCGTTTGGGTATTTCATGTATTTTCTGAAACACCTATGTCCCAAACCCATGATGGACATGCAGAATGTAAATTTGTACATTAAAGAAGAATTATTACTTAGACTGAAGTAGACTGTATGTGAAACTAGACATGAGAATATACTGTAGTCCTTTGTACTGGATGGTATGCACAGAAAATACCAGGACTCTTCAAAATTGCACAATTTTTTTTTTTTTCAGAATGTAGGTCTTCATTGAAGCAATCTGTTGTACAAACTCTTGTGTAATACTAAAATAATTAATGTACTTCTTTATATTTTAATATATTGAGTGCCTTGTGAAATATAACTTCATGTGCATCTCTGTAGTATGTTTTTTATTTTTATTTTTTTGTTTTGTTTTTTTATGCTTTTAGATCTTTTTGTACTCACAAAGTAAGGACCAATTTAATCATTAATCTCCATCTGAGTGCTGTAACCTGAGCCACTCCCATCTTCCCCTCATACTTCTGTTCTGAGGATTTACTTTAAAAAAAATACTTGTTTTATAATTAGCTACTGTGCACACTGTTGATAATTGTTGACACTTTTCATAAAAACATAAAACTATATTCAATGAAATGACATACTATACATAAGTGTCTGATGTGTCTTTGCACACGTTAGGTACACTCGTTACATTTGTGCAATATTGTTTACGTTTCCACGGTTTACTTGATACTTTGATTGATCACGTTTATAATATTAACACTTGATGTGGCTATAAAAATAAAACCCACATTTGGTTAAACTCGAAATAAATTTAAAATCCCCTGTATATGTTCTTTTATACTTGTAATCTTAAGAAATTTTGATCAAAGGATCCAAATCTGAAAATCCCAAGGCTCGAGATGTCTAAAGCGGAAGTTCAATGTGCGCATGCGTGACGTTGCTCCACATGATCCACGTTTCAGTGGCTGTCAACAACAGATAAATGCCGGTAAGCTTCGTTTAAAGTTGGGCTGGATACTCATTGTAATGTACAACATTTATATACATGTATAAACCCCATGGATCGGTTTAGGTTAAATAAAAGAGCAGACTAATGCTAATGCTATAACAGTTAGCATAGAGTCACCAGTGTGTTTGCCGTGTTATTTTGATCATTGATTTACGAACATAGCTTCCTTGAGTACAAAATTACCTTCACCTGTTTATGTCTTTAAAATATTTTGGTACTTCTTTAGTATTGGATTTTGTACTGGACCACTTGTGCTATATAAACAACTTTTCTATGTCTACTCCGG